TAAAGATAACCCGACTCTGAGTTAAGTCATTGTAACAACCCAGCACAATGGTTAAATAATGTAAACCAGCCAGTTGGGTTAAAATAACCCAGCATAAGTTCTGGCCAATATTAACTTAAAGCTCAGTTGTCAGGTAACCCGGCTGAATTGTTTTCAGCCCAGCATTTTTTAGAGTGCAAGACAGATGCAACAAATAAAGAATTTAACACTCATCACCATCTCAAATTTCACCAAGATTTGACAATTATTAAAAAAAAATTCACAAATGTGACTGAAGGTCTTATATGCACATCAAATTCATAAAAACAATAACAAAACACCACCATTTATTTTGGAAGTTAATGTCAGAAAATGGCCAGAGAACTTTATTTTGTTCCAATGTTGAGTGAACACATTCTAGAACAGTGTGGATAAGGAAATAATTCTAGAACAGTGTGGTCGGGGGATCTCATTCTAAAACAGTGCGGATGGGCGGATCATTCTAAAACAGTGTGTAGTATGGGGATCATTCAAGAACAGTGTGGATGAGGGTGCTCATCCATGAGAGGGAGCATTCTAGAATGATGTGAACAGAATGTGGACGGGGGGCTCATTTTTGAACAGAGTGGATGAGGGAGCTCGTTCTAGAGCAGTGTGGATGGGGGAGATCATTCTAGAACAGTGTGCATGGGGGAGCTCATTCTAGGTGAATGAGGGAAATCATTCTAGAACAGTGTGGATGGGGAAATCATTCTAGAACAATGTCACTGAAGAAGTTCGTTATAATGTAAATGAGAGAGGATTCTACAGTGATGCAAATGAGGAGATCATTCTAGAGCAGTGTAGATGGGGGAATCATTCTAGAACAGTGCGAACAAGGAGAACCTTTTAGAATAGTGTGAATGGAGAAAATCTTCTAGAGCAGTGTTAACGTGGCCGCACATTCTCGAACAGAGTTAATGAGGGTGTGCATTCTAGAACGGTGTAAATAGGGGGCTCATTTTAGAACAGAGTGGATGAGGGAACTATTGTAGAACAGTGTGGACGGGGGGAGTTTATTATAACGTCGATGAGAGGGAGCATTCTAGAATGATGTGAATAGAAAGAACCTTCTAAAACAGTGTGAATGGAGAGTACCTTCTAGAACAGTGTGAATGGGGGAGATCATACTAGAACAGTGTGGATGGGGAGATCATTCTAGAATAGTGGGAATAAGGAGAACCTTTTAGAATAGTGTGAATAGAGAGCACATTCTACAAAAGTGAGCATATGGAGGATATTCCAGAACAGTATGCAAAGGGAGAACATTCTAGAACAGTGTGCAAAGGGAGAATATTCTAGAACAGTGTGACTGAGGCAACCCATTCCAGAACACGTTTAAAGAAATTGATGCCTACAACACTTTCCGAAAAAGTTGTGAGCAATTAAGACAAGGAACATTGTGAAATATTCAATAAAACATTTTTAGAAACATATTTAACAATAAGGTACTTTATTAATAATCACTGCTTTCTGTGTTTATTAGCATTTCACACAGCATTTGTGTCTCTCTTGAACAAAAGGCGATAGCGATGATAAAGATCCCACAATAATACCAGCCTCAATAGGAGACAATACGCGTGAGAGAATGTTATAATTCACAGCACATAAATGCAGTTCCTCATGAATTACTGTAATTTTAAGGAACACAGATTTCAGACACGCCACATTCAGAGACATCACAGTTCTAAAATGCTCTGTAACGCAGCTTAGAAGTGCGATCACTGAATGTCTACTATCACTTGGATCTACTGAAGCACCTCTGAAAGCGTGTTATTCTTAAAACAGATGTTTTGCATAGTTAGAACTGCACCAACACATGAACTCCTGCTGTGCTGTTCATCGTAACGCTCTTTATTACTGCTGAGTTTAAGGCCACTAGATGAAACACTTGGGAAAGCACCTTGTAAAAACAGATGAAAGATAAATAAATTAAATAGCAATGTTAAAGTTTCACACCAACTGAATGCAGCAAAATGCAGCAAAAACGTTCACGGTTAACACGGTTAGATGTGACAAAACAGATCATACATAAATAAAGTCATAAATGAAAAAATACAATACAAATGAACAGCTAACATGGCCAGCCACTAGCATGACAAAGCAATTTTACCTTCTTTGTGCTCAGATTCATCTTTTACAATCAATTCACTTTTCAATTAAGAGTGGAAACCTGCATGTGCATTTTTTCTGCTTATTTTACTGCACAACTTTTATTTATCTGCTTTTTAATACAAACAATATTAATAGAATAAGTAGTGATTTTATGTCTGTCAGTGTGTTTGTTTAACCATTTCCAGACCTCTCCTCAAGTAAGCCTGGTATTATTTGCAGTTACCATCCAACACCTGGTTTGGCTCATCAATACTTCATTATATAAAAAAAGAGAGCTGGTGATAAAGTTTAACAAATCTATGTGATGGCTGTGAGCGTCCAGAAGAAATCTGGATCCACTAGCTTACAAAATATCAACAACTTTTTTAAGGCAAGAAATTCTTGAAACTTTTTAAGTGTTTGTTTATTTGCATCTATTCTAGTGATATATGGTGTATTACGAGCACAGTCACACTTGATCAATGGCTTTAAATACTGTGCTTAGGTGACTGTAAATATAAATTATCATTATTATTATTTTCAAATGAGTTTCATAATGAAAGCCTAGATCTTAACAAAACTAAGCTAAGAATGAAACAAAGGCTAATGTCATACATTCTCATTGGCCAGATGGTAAATAGTGAACAACGGCAGAAAAAGCCACAAGCGAAAAAGGCTCCTTGTTGCAAAATGTAACAGATTCGTTAACTCCAGTATTGTCCAGTGTTCTCTGACAAAAACAGTCATTATGTGCTCAAGCAGAGACGTTATAAATGAGGAGACCGGCTGCTGGTTGAAATATGAATGGGAAAGCTCTCAGCGCTCAACATTGTGTCTGTTTGCAAAGAAAGTTCCACCCTTCAATAAAAAGAGCCAATCAGCTTGATGGTTACACCACAAGTGGTAATACTGAGATCTGCGCAAGCGCAGTAGCCAGGAGAACCCAAAAAAACACATTTTGGGCCAAATGCTACAAAATGTTAATGAGGTTTTTACCAGCAAACTCAAGTTTGTTTTTAAAACTGTAATTTGACCCTCAATTTTGAGTATTTTGGTCTCTCACCATTCAAAGAGATAAAAGCCTGGTCTTGTATGGATCGAAATAACTGCCCTGCGGCGTTGCAAAGGTGGTCGCTGAGTGGACAGACTTTCCTATAAGGACTTTGGCTCAAGGCAACTGTAAACAAGAAACCAAACGTAGATGAAACAGATACGTCAGCTTTGCTCTGCGTTTAGATATTCTCATCCAAATTTCAAGGAATAGGTGAACAAAACATATTAACTCAGTACCCCCTTCACCCTAATTAACGTCAGCTAGCTTTAGACATTTGCTGTCTGAATTTCGCTTCTTTACTTTTCCTCTTAAGCTATGAGGCAAATGTAGCTAACAAGTAAAGGATGCGCATACCTCTCTAATTAGCATCATGCTAACTGCAAGCCTGAATCACCACACACTTACCTCAAACGATGTTGAAATATTAAGTAATCTTGAATAAACTTGATTATGTGGCTTCCGGCACTGCATGACGTACTAGTATTCATAATGTTGTACAAATGTACAGACAAACTTCTGGCAGGGCCTGTTATGATCATGAAATTTCCTTGAAGGTGGGGAAACGACTGCCATGTATCCAAAAAGTGCTGTTTTTCACCACTTGAGTATTTGTATCCAAGGAAAATACTAGAAACAGGAAACGGATGAAGCTGTAGTGCCTACCATTCTGCAAACCTGCACCCAGAAAAGTGACATATGGAACTGTGCAATCGATCTTTCCTGTGTGCAGACTCGAGTAATACGGGCAAGTCTGAAAACGCCCTTAGCTGACGAGTTACCATCTAAAATTTAGATGAATAATTTAAGTCCTTTTTTGTTTACTGTATGTCACCATTACAGTACAACCTAACAATGCTAATTTAGCTGATTAGCTATCTTCCTTCCTAGCTATCGATACTCAGCTCCCAACTGACGAAAGATACAATCGCATGAACAAGTTTGGACATCCTCGGCCAAGTTCCGTTTTTAAAAATAAGTGAACACGTCCTCTACAGAGGTGCACAACTTACTGCACAATCACTGTTTATTTGCTGAATTTAACATACTGGGGGGAAATTAAACATTAAACTATGAAGTGCAAAAGTTATGCCAAATTGTAATGTTTTATTTATAATGCCCATTAAAAAAATGTGTTTTTAAATGGTTAACTTTTCTTGGATGCTTCATTATGGTCATACAGACTGCATCAAATGTGTTACTACAGTAGTAAAAAAAGCATTATCTGGGGTGCAGCAGCTGTTACAAATGAACTTGAACCTATTACTGTCCAGCACAGTAAAATATGCTAATGAGAAGCCGTGCCAGGCGATGTGACATAAACGCAAATACATAGAAAACTGTACAATTAGCACAAAAACGCCATACTTAAGTGTGTATTTTGTAGAGGCTGTGTTTCAACAAAACATGGAACTTCACCGGGGTTGTTCAAACTTTTGCACACAACTGTATTTCCGTTCTTCATTTTTTTCAGGGTTTACATTTCCAGGTCTACTTTCTACTACTTTCTAGGTCAGTTCAAATTTTTGAGGCCTACACTCTTAAAAAGATATTCTTCAAGGGTTCTTCAGTAAAGTAAATGTTTCCATTTGGAGCCATGAGTTCTATATAGGGCCATTTCAAGCTTAAATAGTTCTTCAGATAGAACCTTCTTGAAAATGTGGAAAAAAGCGTTCTGCCATCGTTACAATATCACACTTGTACCATATACAACACATTCTTCATTAACCTAAAGAGCCATTTCACCATGCAAAGAACCAAAGCATGAAATTGCTCTATATAGAACTCATGGTTCTAAATAGAACTATTGTCTTGACTTGACAACCCTTAAAGAACCATCTTGTTTAAGAGTGTAAATCAGGCGTTTATGCCGCTGCTACCAGTTTTTAGCTATGCCATCTACTTTTATCCATGTTTATAGATATCATACAGTGTCAGAAACCACATAAGCAAGTCTATTAGAGAAACTCCATATGGTTTGCATGCAGTAAGCGTAATGCTAATTAGCTTCCATTACTCGTTAGCTACGTTAGCTTTGTACCTCCAGTGCAAAACTGAACGATACTTCACTGAATTATTTATTCCTTTTCAATTTTGTTCTTGTACATTATTCAGATGTCAGAAGTCATCTGTATGCAGTTTATTCTTGTGGAGTGCTTTTTCAAGGTGTGGAGCTTTTAGAGACAAATCAGCCTCTTTAGCCCATTAAGCTGAGAGCAGGAGTTTTATCGTTTTGCTTTGTGTGAAGCGATGGCTGTCATAGGTGTCCTCTGAAGGTGAACTGCGATAAGACGCTAATAATCACACGTAGAGCTCATTTTCTATCATCACAGCACCTTTCCAGATGGATACATGGGGGCGTTTTAGCTGTGTTTAACACTAAATTTAGTTCTAAACACTAATGAGATTTCATTCAGCGCTTTTTTCCTTCCGCTTCTGTTATCTTCCAACTTCCTCAGTCTCGCCCCAGCTGGGTTTTCTTAAGGGGGGCATTGCATATGAAACGATGCATTAAATAAACAACTGATACTAAAACAGAAGCACAGATAGAAAAAAAAAATGGAAATGAGGAAAGGCAAGCTAAACACGATACAAACGCTTGTAGATTAGCGCCAGTAGTGAAAAAAAGGAAAAACAACTAAAACGAATACAAACTGCATGGAACAATGTGTCCCGTTATCACAGTCCAAGCTGAATAAACAAACAGTGAAAAATGGTTTTCGGGGTCCGTGGACTGCTCTAGCGGAGATGGCCCGGTCTTTCAGCTCCCCATCCAATAGGCTGCCTGTGCCTTAGAGCAGTGTTCCATAGCCAGCCATTATACCAGAGTTTCTGGTTCAGTCCACAGGAGAAGTCGGCAAAACAGCACATTGAAAAAACAACACCTGTTGGTTTTGTGTGGCTGTAGGCTTCCTTGTCCTCCGGTTGAGGTGGGGGGGGACATGTCCTGTTGCGAGACGCCTCTACTCTTCAGCTCAGTGCAATGGCTCACCACCTCCGCCCGGCTGCAGCTGGGCCCGCAGTAAAGCATTCTCGCTCTTCAGCTCGTCCACCTGAAACCACCAGCAATAGACCACTGTAGTCATGCATCAGCATAGTCCACGTTATTATGCCCATATTAGGAACTCCGGCTCTTAGCTCAATTTCTCTATAGCCAGAATTAACAGGGTTTTTTTTTTTAAAATCTCCTCTATCGCACCCTGTGGTAGAAAAAAAATGTTCAGAACCCGATACGTTTTGTCCTGTGTACATTTTTGTCCCAAATATCACTGGATTCTCTAAATTAGGAGGTTGTTAAAGAACCTTAATACTAATATTGGTACATGCGAGCTAAAGCTACTGCGCATCAATTTGATGTCACTAAGCTACACAACACTAAGGCGGGCTGTGGTGGTGCTCTGAGGAGCTGTGCTACCTTACCAAAATCTTCAACCGTAGCGCATAATTACACGTATACCTGTTAATAAAACATCTAGATAGGATATTTTGATAGGCTAAAACTCCTTATCAAAAATACTGCCAGTATTTAAACTATGAGGCTGAATTTAGTTTCTTTTTTTGCAGCTTCCTGTTTGAATTTTCCAATTCCACCTTAAAGTCTAATGACGTCAACTGAGTGAGCAGTCGCTTTAGCTTACATGTAGCAAATATTCATATTTTGACTCTTTGACGACCTCATAATTCAGAGGATCCAGTGGTATTCGAGAGAAGAACGTTCACAGGACAAAACGTATCGGGTTCTGAACATTTTTATCTATCACGGGGTGCGATAGAGGAGATTTTTCAAAAACCCTATTAAATCTGGCCAGAGAAAAATGGAGATTAGATCCGGAGTTCCTAATATGGGTATAAGAGCATGGTGCTGACTACAAAATAATGACACGACTACAGTGGTCTGTGGTTTAAACCTTTAGAAGTCTATTTAAAATGGACAATCTGGTCAAACTGAAAAATGTAACCATTACTATATCTGTCTACTTGCCTCCTACAGCAATGCTGCAGCAGTCTCTAAAGTGAGATAACTTGATTTAAAGACTTGAAAAAAAACCTTTCTGATGATGCACCTTGAAAGGAGGAAGGACTACAGCTATTTTTTTTTATTAGGGTGGGCTGTTTTGTTTTTTTTTAGCTGGTTAATTCAGAAGGAAGGTAAATAGCTAACATTATTGCCAGAAAATCTCATTTCAGCCTTGTAATTGTAGTAACTCTCTACAAAACATTGTTACTCAAAATAACAGAAATGACTGGTCAGTTAAGAAGGACAAGAAGCTAAAAAGCTAAAGTGGCTATCTAGACATCTTAACTTATTTTTTCTGGCTGAAAATGTAAAAAAAAAACTAGAATAAAAAGGTGAAATAAACATATAACTTTATACATGTTTTCTTTCTGATTTTGTTTGACGACTCAGGTAAGATCTACACTAATGCTAGCTCGCTTGTATTCATTAGCCTATGGATCACTGGCCAGCAGTCAGGATTGGTTGACACCAGGATTCCCAATAGTTATATGACATATTTGCGTAATGCATGCCGGGAATTGTAGTGAAAGACAAACAGAAACATGAAAATAATACATAATGAATATACATTATTATACATGAATTCTCTTAAACTGATGAGGCTGAGGGATACAATGCCATGCTACAAAATCCTACATAACATGCCAAATAACAGACCCAGTTTTAACCTAGAATGTCCCTTTAATACTAACACAGTTAAATAATTACATGCATAGTTATGTACCAAATTACGTTTATATACAATTTACTTTCTGCATTAACAGGTTCAAGTCTGCACTTCTGTCTTTCCCTTTCAGTGTCAATACATGACAAAAACTAGGGATCTACGTTGTATTGGCAGCAGGTATATTATTTCCTATAAACTGGAAAATGTCTTTTTCACTATTGGTTCGATATTGGAATTATAGCTAATAATTACAACCGATACTTGGCTAAGTTGTGCTGAATGCATGCACAAACATACACCTCCCAATACAAATGCTCTGGAGAAAAGTGTCTGCTAAATATGTAAATGTTTATAGTTTATATATAAATAACAGTCACATGATTTATCTATGCTATGACTAAAAAAAAGACTGTTAAATTATTGTCAAGACTTTTGCACAGTACTATATATAGACACAATCTAATAGTATATATGACAGTTAAGAATGGGTGACTGGACAAGATACTAACTGAACCATAAGAATGTTCAGTGAAGCTTAAAAAGAGTAAGTATCACAAATCTAGGCAGTAAATTGAACATGTTTCTCGCTCATGAGATTAATTATTGTACCTAAAACATCACAGATTATCCAGTCTATTTCCAGATGACTCTACTCCCTGTAGCTGGTCTTTTCTTGTGGAATTCTCTCAGGCCCCTGGCGGATCATTTTGCTTCCTTCAAGCACTCGTTTCTTAAAGCCTGTGTTCTCTGCGAGGCAGTTTTTTGGCAGAGATGAGCTAGTGGCAGGCGGCCTCTCCAGGCGGACGTACCTGCTGTCGAAGAATCTCGTTGTCCATCTGGACTCTCTTCACCTCTTTCAGGCTCTCCTGAAGCCTGTGGTTATGCTGCCGCAGCTCCTGGATGTAATCACATGCCTTGGACAGGATTCCTCCTTTACTCTGACAAAGAGAAAAACCGAGAGAGAAAAATGCAATTGTCAACGGTGTGATAGATTACACTGGTAGTGATTTAGATAGTAATACCACATAATTTTGATAATTGGCAATAATTTGGCTAATAACAATAATAATAATCAGACATTTAAATTCATAAGCAAGATCAGAAACCATTCCCTTGCAGCTGGTCTGGTGGCAAATCACTCAATTTGAGTGATTTTAACATGAAATCTAGTGCTTTCTTAGACTAACGTATAGTTCTAATTACTGTGGAATTATTCAGTTCATTGAGCTTAGTTCTATTCAAATATGTCATATGCCCCAATAATGACTTGTTTTCTAGGTATCTGGATTTTGAGACGTTTATTTTAATTAGAGGGCATTCTATATCCTTTGCCCATCATTTGTGTTCTCCTGGCTCCATAATAGCACCTAGTGCTTGGACCCCTAAGATTGCCACTTGCATTTAATTAGTAAGTGGTAGCTAAGCTCTCATAGGAGTTACAGTCCAATGAAAACGTTCTGAAAAATGTTTTAAACCAATTTCAGATGCAAATTACATAAAAGCTGATTGTCTTGGTCACTACAAATGATCAGTTACATGTTAACCTTTTACCAACTGCTGTTCGAAAACTATTGAAGAAGAAATCTGAGTATATGAAAATGAAACTAACTTCACTGCTCATGAAACATGGCTCTCTTTTCACTGTTCAAAATGGCAATTCTTCTGCGAAACGGCAACAAGTTAGTATGTATAATATCCTGTTGGTACCTCTGTTACCTGCCGAGTCAGTTTTTGTCCTGTTTTGCATTGTTTTGCATTACAAGTTGAATTTTACTCATTGTGAACCAACTATGACTCTGCAATCATGACTTTTGGTTTCAGGAATGCCCCATATTGTTCTTGCTTTGTTGGTTTAGCGTTTTTATGGAACACAGTACAGCTGCATATGGTGGAGTTAACAAGGCCGAATACCTACAGCTCAAAAGGTCCTATCAACTTTCAGATGGCGAGACTGTTGTTTGGCCTTCGACTTGCAAATACCCCCGAAATATTGATAAAAAACAATTAGAGCTGCAAACACTAGGCAGCTACATGACATTTATTTCAGAGGAAATTACACCGAAGCCTCAACAACTAAATATAATACAAACATTTTCAGTATTGTGTCCACTTTTTTCCTTCATCAAAGCTTCCATTGTTTTCTTGCTTTGAGTTTTTCAAAGAAATCTGCAATCTGCAGGGATATTCTTCCACACCTCTGAAGTTCAGTCTTAGAAGTTGGTTGCATTCAGTGATGTTGCAGTCTGGGCTCTGGGGTGGCCAGTCTATCTGACAACAGAAGCAGCTTGATTTTCTCTTCTCTCTCAAAGATGACAGCTGTCATCTGAAGGGGACAGTCTGGTGGTTAGGAGCCCCATTTTCTCTCTGTCTCTTTATCATCTCCAGTTTTGAAAAGTCCTGTATTTTTCCCACTTACTTTCGCTTCCTTATGTAAGTGGATTATCTTTTATCTTAATCGCCTTAGGAACATCTTCTGAAAAAAGTGAATAACTTATACTTAATGATCGTTTTGACTGGATATTAAATAAATGAGGGGGGTGGTTTCAGACTTTTGCACAGTACTGTATATGTTAGCCCTACATAAGAAGAGTAATGGGGCGATGACCTTGCTTCAGTGTATTAAGTCTACAGCACTACCTACTGTTTGTCTCGGGCATCATTTGCAAGTGTGTATTTGAACAAAGAGCATCAGTCAGCCATTCAGTGACTAAGTAAGTGACAGCAACTTTGATTGGCTGCAAAAAATGAATTGCAACCTAAAGGCAATGCTTCATTCCCTCAGTTATCACAGGGTATAAGTGATGATACGCTGCAAGTTGCAGATCCTGTAATCTCCCTCCTGAGTTTTTCCCATGTTATTGTCGCTATACTACCATTAGCAAACTGCCTCTAAAGACTATATTTAGAACTACTCTCAAGCTCCAGTGCTTCAGATTATTTAATGTGGGTTTTTAATCGCCGCATGATCTCCTCTGCTTTGCTTTCTGTTAAACAATTCGTAACTTGCTCCATCGGCAACAACAGAAGCACTGACCTGTTTTACTATGGTATTAAAGAAAGCTATGTGTCTCATGTTCTATCACCCTTGGGGCAATCAGACCGCAACTGTGTGTGCTGAAAATACCCCACGCTTGTTCACGGCGGGCTATAATAACAAAATCAGTGCAGGTCTGGTCTCACGAGGCCTATGAGAAGCTGAAAGGGTGCTTTGATTGCACCAACTCAGACTATTTTATGTGAGGGTAATAATGTAGATGGTATATTCGAGTAGGAAGTTATATATTTCTGTGTATATGCTACGATTCCTAGTAAAACTGCAAAGTGTTTCTCTAATAATAGGCCATGGGTGACGAGAGATGTTCAGATTGCTATCAATAGGAAAAAGGCAGTGTTTGCCAGCAGGAATAAAGGGAGGATTAAAGCTGCACAGAAGGATCTGAAAAGGGCTATCAGGAAGGAAAAGGGGGATTATAAACAGAAAGTAGAGGAGGAAACTATAAGACAGTCATAGCAGAGCAGTGCAGCAGAGGCTAAAACTCATCACCGGCTGTGGAGGCACCAGCATGGACCTACAGAGGGGGCAATTACTCCAAAATAAGGCCAATGAGTTCTCTGCCAGGTTTGATGAGCAGGACATTTCGACAGAGCATGCACAGGCTTCCCTGTCTCCATCTCAGAGAAAGCTTGATAGTTCAACGTTCTCCTGCCATTATCACTGCTGGCCAGTGGTCAGCATGACTTTAGGGAGATTTCAAAGAAGGAGGGCAGCATGTCCTGATGACATACACACTTTATAAACCTGTGCTGATAGTGTTAAGAGGTTCATTACATTTTTTCTTCTCATCTGTGTCTAAACTATCAAAGATGTCCGTAAAAAAAAAGTATGTCTATAATCTGAATGTCTTAAGAAGCCCGCCCACGAGATGTTTTTCCAGCAGCTGCAACCTCAACCTTGTCCTCGTCTGGCAGGTAAAAGGCTTTTTTATTATATTTTCAATACATAGTGGTCTGCTATCTATGAGTGTTTGCCAGTTTTCAGACATTACTGTTAAGCATAGCATATTTATGAGCCTACATTGCTACAGTGCTTGTTAACTAGCAATAAAAGGACATAAATTCTACACTTTTCTTGTATCATTTCCCCCTTGAAGTCAACTTACGATGTTTGTGTGGCTTTATGCACCAAAAGAGTTGTATTTAATTTCTTCATGGACAGCAATTCTAGGACTTCAGGGGTCTGCATTTTAAGTCAAAGAGCTTTGTTATTATCTCACAATATCTCCAAATAAAGAGGAAAATTTATTAAGCATCAACCACTGATATACAAGTATATGCAGAAGTTTGAATAGTCAAATCACGTTTTGTTGATTTTCTAAGTGAAAATAAGTTAACACATCCCAAATTCTAGTACACAATTTCCATTTGTTAGAAACAGATAACTTGTACTCCGACTCACTGGCCATTTTATTAGAAACACCAGCCTTGTACTTCCACTCACTGGCCACTTTATTTGAAACACCTACCATGTACTTCCACTCACAGGCCACTTTATTGGAAACATCCCCCTCATACTTCTACTTACTGGCCACTTTATTGGAAACACCTACCTCATACTTCCACTCACTGGCCACTTTAGTGGAAATATCTCCCTCATACTTTTACTTACTGGCCACTTATTGGAAACACTGTTGTCATACTTCCATTCACTGACCACTTTATTAGAAACACCTCCCTCATACTTCCACTCACTGGCCAATTTATTATAAACACCCATCACCCAAAAATATCCAGACAAGAGTGAATCTTGGTCAGAAACTTGCATGGTGGGGCTACAAATGAGGGGTTTCTAATAAAGGTCAGTAAGAGCATAACCTTGACTTTGCGTATTATGGAATGTGTTGAAATAGTAGAGCCTCCAGCTATGCGAGTTTATCCATTCCAGGATCTTTCAGTTTGCTTATAGAAAGTTGGTGTTGATCATGCACTGTTAGACAGCATCTGTATGATTTGAAGAGCTAGTTCTGTTCGAATGGCATTTTCTGCTTCAAGCCTGTTAATACTATTCACCTCCTGGCACTAAAATTGATGAAGCATAATCTCCACAGTTCTACTACACCTTGGGCTGAGGATTATCTTATCCCCATACTAGTATATTAGACTTTACAATAGGGTTTCCGATGGTATTCTTACACAGCATGCTCCAGCGTACAGCTTTATCTGCTCTTCTGAGTATTTTGAGCATTGAGTATACAGCTGACTGTAGTGCTATATACTGAAGGGCAAGGACCAGAGGAGCTGAAGTGGAGTGATTTGTCAGCTGGTGGTGGATAATCACCTGAATCTTAACAGAGGTGGAACCAAAGAGTTAGTCACAGACTTGGAGAACAGAAAGATGCAGCTAGAGAAGTTATTATTTAAAGGTCGCCGAGGTTCAGACTGTTTCCTTTCACAAATATAAGGGTGTTCTTACTGATATAGGCATGAACTGGAGCGAGAATACAAAGGCTGTACTTAAAAAAGCTCAATGCAGGTTGCCTTTCCTTAAGAAATGTATGTCTTCACAGCTTCGCAAGAAACTTTACATTGATGTTTTCTACTGAAGCGTCTTCGTCAGTGTCTTATTCTGGACAGGGTTGATGCTATTCTACTCTTGGACACTGTATACTGTGTTTAAGCTGTACAAATTGTTAAGGAAGTGATATTTGGGGTTTGCATATCTCCAAAATAAGGCCATGACATGGATGCACAATCAGCAATCGGCAATTTATTAGTATTTTCGCCAATCTGTGTTATTGTGATGTAAATGATGAGTGAAAATGTATATATATATATATATGTGTGTACAGGGTGTCCCAAAAAAACTGACATCGTTTCGTAGTCTAATAACATAGCCAATTCTCCCTCAAATGATGAGGACCCCCACAGGACCACAGAGCAGGTATTATTTGTGTGGTGAATCATTCTCAGCACGGCAGTAACACTGATGTGGTGATGGTGTGTTAATGTGAGTTGTGCTGGTACAAGTGGATCAGACACAGCAGTGCTGCTGGAGTTTTTAAACCACTCACTGTCCACTCTATTAGACACTCCTACCTTGTTGGTCCACCTTGTAGATGTACAGTTGTGTTGGTCATCCTCTGGATATTTTCGGTTGGTCAACTATTCTATAATCCAGCAGTGACACTGAGGTGTTTAAAAACTCCAGCAGCACTGCTGTGTCTGATCCACTCAGACCAGCGCAACATACACTAACACACCACCACCATGTTGTGTACTTAGTTAAGCAGCCAGTGTGTGTGCGTTTGGTGAGTGTGCAAATACAGCGGGATATTGAGTCATTCACCCCCAAAAACCTAAAGAGTGCCTAGCTGGAGAAAAGCTGTGGTAGTGAAACTGCACAGAAGAGTCTGAAAACTTTTGCTATTGTGAAACTGCATATAACAGTAGGGATTCTAAGCTGCAGGGTCGCTACAGCAACCAAAAAAACTGAAAAGTTCTTTTCCTGTCACAGGGCTGCCAGATTTGTGCTTTTCCCAACAAATACAGCCGGTTTAAAAGTGAAGTGGGGGTGGATTTTATATAGTTGCGGGGTGCATTTTCTAAATGTGGCTGTGGAAAAAGATCTGAATTGTCTCATGAAAATATATTGATCACTGTGTTAAATAGCTGGCAACTCAAGGACACACAGGCACAAAGAGTCAGAAGAGCAACGGAGGAGTGCGGTGTGATCAGAGGCGCTGAATACATTATTCAAAAAACAGATTTCTGTAAGGCGACACTACCAACAATTAATAAATGAGCAAGTGATTTGAGTTGATATAAGGCTTGTCAGGTGTGGAGATTATTTTAATATGTTTTTAATAAATGTGTTTTTTTAAACTGTGTTTCAGACGTTTACTTTTGCACTTCTGAGTGAAGGAAAATCTACAGATATCCTTTAAAATCAGCCACTTTGTTCAGTAAAGATATAATTCTTTAAAGAGCAGGAAATTCTTACTTGTAATTGGGTGATGGAATTTGCGTTTTTATAATTTTTGGGGGGGATTTTCATTTTTATTGATTTTTGCGGCTTATTTCAGAGTATTTTGCTGCGTAACACTTGCGACTCCTTGTCTGTAAATATCTTGTGCTTTAGTGCTGCTCTGTACACGGTCTATGTGAAATCTCTGACTTATTGGCATTAGCACTGCAATCAAAAGCAACATGCAAAGGTTAATTAAAAATATTTTCACTCAACAGCAACACTATCAATGAACATTATGAGCAGATCACACTCTTCCACACTTTTCCAGTGCCAGAGTGAAAATGGTACAACTTACCCAATGGGTTTCCATGCAAGGTTAACTGTAACAGACCGAGGGGCTGGTATGCTAAATATTACAAGTCGTATTCAAATGTTTGGGCGCTCTTGGTTTTGTTGATTTTCTAGGAGAAACTAAGTTTCGGAACAGAACATACTTCTTCACTTTTTAACGCATGCTTACTTTTTGTTGAATTTAACATATTAGGAAAAATTAAACAAACTATAGCACATTTTATACATAATATACACAAATGTATTGGTACACATTATTGAGTTCAGGTGTTTTAGCCACAATCATTGTTAACAGGTGGATAAAATTAAGCACATAGCCTTGCAGTCTCAATAGACAAACACTGGCAGTAGAAAGGGTCGAACTAATAAGCTCAGTGACTTTAAACATGGCACTGTCATAGGATGCCACCTCTGCCACAAGTCAGTTAGTGAACTGTCTGTCCCGTTAGATCTGCCCCGGACAACTGTAAGTGCTATTATTGTGAAATAGAAGTATCTCGGAGCAACAGCAGCTTAGCCACAAAGCACAAACTCACAGAGCGGGGGCCGCAGAGTGCTTAAGCTCACAGTGCCTATCTTCTGTTGAATCACTCATTAAAGAGTTCCAAATTGTCTTCACAAAATGGGTTTCCATAGCTGAGCAGCTACACACAAGCCTTAAATCAAAATGCACAATGCCAAGCGTCGGATGGAGTGGTGTAAAGCATGACGCCGCTGGACTCTGGAGCAGTAGAAACGCATTCTGTGGAGAGAAAATCACGCCTCTCTATCTGGCAGTCTGAAGGACGAGTTTGGCGAATGCCAGGAGAACGTTACCTGCCTGACTGCATTGTGCCAACTGTAAAGTTTGGAGGAGGAGGGATATGCTATGGGGTTGTTTTTCAGGCTTGGCCTAGGTCTCTTAGTTCCAGTAAAGGGAAATCTTGATGCTTCAGTGTACTAAGAGATTTTGGACAACTGTATGCTTTCAACTTTGTGAGAACAGTTTGGGGAGGCCCTTTTCTGTTCCAGCATTACTGAGTCCCAGTGCACATAGCAAGGTCCATAAAGGCATGGCTGGGTGAGCTTGGTGTGGAAGAACTTGAATGGCCTGCACAGAGCCCTGACCTCAACCCCATCAAACAACTTGAACTAGAAAGGAAATTGTGAGCCAGGCCCTCTCATCCAACATCACTGTCTGACCTCACAAATGCTCTTCTGAATGAATGGGTAAAAGGTCCCACAGACACTCTCCAAAATCTTGTAGAAAGCTTCCTAGAACACTGAAAGCTGTTATAGCTGCAAAGGGGGACTAACTCTATATTAATGCCTATGGATTTAGAATGGGATAAAAGCTCATGTAGGTGTAATGTCTAGGTGTCCCATACTTTTGTCCATATTGTGTATGTTATGTTTTTATTTTTTCTGGTATATGAAAGTCAGCGATTAAATAGAAATTGAGCACTACATTAGGAGAAAATTGCCATATTTGAGTTTTTTAACTTATTTTCACTTAGAAAATCAATAAAATGTCATTTGACCAGGAGTGTTCAAACTTTTGTATTCAATTTTCTTCAGATATCATCATATTTTGCTCATCAAGTTTATATTTTGTCTTTATTTGTGCTCGATATAAAGTGCTGCTCACCGCTCCAGTCTTAGTGCTGTCCATGTTGCAGTCAGGGATGATTTTAGACAGAGTCACGATCCAGTTGTTGATTTTGTCTCGTCGTCGCCTCTCCACTGCAGTGGACATTGTAAGAACATAAGAGCAAAGCATGAGGGTTTAAGCTCAATGTTTAAATGTAGAGTCAAAGACATGACAAATGGCAAAGAATTCAAAGTCAATCCACTCCGCCCTCTAGTGGCAGACTGAAGGCTTTACAGTCAGAGACTTCAAAAGGCATTTTTCAGCCTTGATGTTTATGGAATGAACACATATTTGGTGTGACCTCATTGCTCAGATGTTGTGAGTATGAAATAAAAATGTGTCACAAGTGTGGCATCAAAACAACATCAGAACACACTGACTTGCCTTCGTTGTGCTGCGCCCTCCTCCTTTCATCTCTCGGGGTCCGCGGGCCCTCCATCTTTCTGCAAGAAAAGAGGGGATAGGAAAAGTCAGCCATTCTTTATTGTGACCTTTCATTACACAGCGATGTGTTTATATCACAAGAGCAGAACATGGAGAACGGCGCTGAGCTATTCACCCCTATTCACAGAGGCATTAAAACCGCACAGGTTTGGGTCTGATCCGCGGCTTTAGAAAAGCCTGCAATCCGCTCCGGATCACTGGGGTGTTTATTTTAAAGGAGCGGCTGATCTGAGGGGTTTATGAAGCCACTCTCCGGACCATCAGGAGGCTCCATCCGTATGCAGCCCTTCCACGCGGCCCAGGCGCCGCCAGACAAGGCTCAAGACAAGGCTCAAGTTCTGAACTGGCAGATCTCTCTCTCAGCGTCTCTGTGGAGTCCCTTCTGTGAAACTTGCCAGTGACGTGATCATTTATGTATTTCTATCACATTATGTTTTATTGATGCTGTAGTTCACTTCTGTTCAAAGGTCTGGAATCAATGCTGTCAATAATATACAGTCAATACAGCAGCAGATAAATGTATAAAATGAATCTAATATGTTAGTATTTTACAACTATAGGTCACAAATACTTCATAGAAATTTGTAAGAAAGAAATGTAGATAATGAACTTAATGAGCTCAATTTTGTTAGAACGTCATTCAAGATACTAATTTTAATGATATGCAGAATGAGCTTTTAATAAAATTGAAATTCAGAATTAACATCTTATAAAATTAATATTTTGAATAAAGTTATAATAAAATTCATTCATCAGAATGAAGTTATAATAAACATAATATCGAATATGAATTTCAAATAAATTGTATACATATTATATGCAATTTAATAATGTCCCTAAATATCTACATAATGTAACAAATAATAACAGAAAAACAATACTTTGATGGGGTCTAAGACATATTAATATGTTAATTTATAATATAATAATAATAATATATTTTATGACAACTGATTCCAAACTTTTTGAGTGATAATTTTGTATTATATTTTGCATAATTTTCTATTCCTTAGAAACATTCACAACATTATGTTATGTGTATTTTATACATATTTTACAGAGCCTTGCTGGTGACATCGTGTATAAATAAAAAGAATGTATATACAGTGGTGTGAAAAAGTGTTTGCCCCCTTCCTGATTTCTTATTCTTTTGCATGTTTGTCACACTTAAATGTTTCAGATCACTAAACAAATTTAAATATTAGACAAAGATAACACAAGCAAACACAAAATGCAGTTTATAAATGAAGGTCTTTATTATTAAGGGAAAAGGAAATACAAACCTACAGGGCCCTGTGTGAACAAGTGATTGACCGCCCCCTTTAAAACATAAATTAACTGTGGTTTATCACATCTTTGGAAAGGTGTTCAATTTCCCTAGCCACACCCAGGCCTGATTACTGCCACACCTGTTCTCAATAAAGACATCACTTACATAGGACCTGCCTGACAAAGTGAAGTAGACCAAAAGATCCTCAAAAGCTAGATATCATGCTGCAATCCACAGAAATTCAGGAACAAACGAGAAACGAAGTAATTGAGATCTATCAGTCTGGAAAAGGTTATAAAGCCATTTCTAAAGCTCTGGGACTCCAGCGAACCACAGTGAGAGCCATTATCCACAAAGGGGCGAAAACATGGAACAGTGGTGAACCTTCCCAGGAGTGGCCAGCCGACCAAAATTACCCCAAGAGCACAGCGACGACTCATCCAAGAGGTCACAAAAGACCCCACAACAACATCCAAAGAACTGCAGGCCTCACTTGCCTCAGTTAAGGTCAGTGTTCATGACTCCACCATAAGAAATAGACTGGGCAAAAATGGCCTGCATGGCAGAGTTCCAAGACGAAAACCACTGCTGAGCAAAAAGAACATAAAGGCTCGTCTCAGTGTTGCCAGAAAACATCTTGATGATCCCCAAGACTTTTGGGAGAATACTCTGTGGACTGAAGAGACAAAAGTTGAACTTTTTGGAAGGTGTAGTGTCCCATTACATCTGGCGTAGAAGTAACACAGCATTTCAGAAAAGGAACATCATACCAACAGTAAAATATGGTGGTGGTAGTGTGATGGTCTGGGGCTGTTTTGCTGCTTCAGGACCTGGAAGACTTGCTGTGGTAAATGGAACCATGAATTCTGCTGTCTACCAAAAAATCCTAAAGGAGAATGTCCGGCCATCTGTTCGTGACCTCAAGCTGAAGTGCACTTGGGTTCTGCAGCCGGACAACAATCCAAAACACACCAGCAAGTCCACCTCTGAATGGCTTAAGAAAAACAAAATTAAGACTTGAGTGGCCTAGTCAAAGTCCTGACCTGAATCCGATTGAGATGCTGTGACATGACCTTAAAAAGGCGGTTCATGCTCGGAAACCCTTCAATGTGGCTGAATTACAACAATTCTGCAAAGATGAGTGGTCAAAATTCCTCCACAGCGCTGTAAAAGACAGTTATCGCAAACGCTTGATTGCAGTTGTTGCTGCTAAGGGTGGCCCAACCAGTTATTAGGTTTAGGGGGCAATCACTTTTTCACACAGGGCCCTGTAGGTTTGGATTTCTTTTTCCCTTAGTAATAAAGACCTTCATTTATAAACTGCATTTCGTGTTTGCTTGTGTTATCTTTGTCTAATGTTTAAATTTGTCTGGTGATCTGAAACATTTAAGTGTGACAAACATGCAAAAGAATAAGAAAACAGGAAGGGGGCAAACACTTTTTCACACCACTGTATATATACCCTGGACACCTTGGACAGGTCGCCAGTCCATCACAGGGTTAAATGTTAAACAACATACTGAATTATCTATTTATAGTTATCTGCATGAGACTTCAAATACGAGGCATTTACAACTTCATTATTGATTTCTACAGCTTTCCCTGTGATTTTAGAATCATCTAGAACGCTGCCCATCATTCTGGATTAAACCAACATTTCTTCTTTTTTTGAAATCTGTAAATTTGTACAGTAGAAGCATCTTAATACAATCATATTATACATCTACCTGCAACATATTTGAAACAAATACTGAAAACTGTGATTCCAAACTTTTGAATTGTGATTTCAAACTTCTGAACACTAGTGTGTGTGTTCATATATATCCGCGTCTTCATTGTGTATTTGGTGAAGATAGCGTACTTTTTAAAGATAGCACATACTGAAAATGACCTGTCCCCCCAGCGCTGGCTGAACTCGTCCTGTTATAAACTGCAGCGCTGTGAGCCAGATGCTGTCTGAGATGAGGCCCAGATCTGCTCTAATGGCACGACTCTGCTGGCAGGGCGTCTTCCCCCAGGTCTACTTTAATTAAGCCGCCGCTCTGCCGGCCCCGTGAGGGGAGGACGGAGCCGGGCACGCTGCACTAAAACTACCAGAGGAGAAAAACCTCACTTCTGCTGAGCCCCGGCCAAAGACTTCAATAACGGCTTAGATATTAGAGATGCGCCCTGAAAGCGTTTGTATTTTGAAAAGTAAAGGGCAGGAAAACGGTCTGTCTGCATCCTGTGGCTAGTTATATCAATGATAGAAAAAGTCCAGGCCAGAGATAAACGAAAAACCGCTGAGTCTTAGAAGTCTAGAGTTATTATTGTCATAAATGTATAATTACATTTACAATTAATGACACAGCTATCCATGTAATGCAGTGGGGAATCTTCAGGGCTTTCAAGGCTCTCAAAGAAGACCTAATTAAAACTAAATAAATAAATGCATGTCTGTAAAGTTATCAAATCAGGGTTTTCTTCTCTGTTGTATCTAGACAGACAGCCAAGCAAGCACTCTCATTGGTTAGGACATAACTGGAAACTGACAGTGAAATCAAACACGTTTTGATTTACAACAGACCAATTCCGTGAGAAAAAACATCATTCTAGTCCTTCTGGCAGTAGTAGACATGTCACTGACTGTGAGCTGTAGTCTAACCAGGTTCCAGTTAGTTGTAAGGATTGGAAAACAGCGGCAGCAGCTCTATACTAGGACCCTTTACTGAAAGAGTCACTGTAAAACTGTGACTAGGTAAAATATGTTCATGTTTGTTACAATATATGTTAATGTCTGGCTGGAATTAAACGGCATGGATTTTACCAGATTCAAATGTCAGTGAGCAAAACAAGTTTCTGCAAATCACCAAGCTTGGTGCTAACATACAACTAGAGTCCCACAGTGATGCTAATTTTGCAGTTAGCGTTACTGAAGAGTTGTTTCTTCCTCGTTCTTGACTGAGTTTTAACATTTATGACCCGAACTGGAGGACCAGGTTTGGTTCTGCACTTTGTTCTACTTACAAACACAGACATGGTATGGACTGAAAGTTTAGAATCTGCATTTTCCACATCATTTCTATACTAGTTTGGAAGATTTACGAGTGAGAAATCATTCAGCATATTAATTTGGAGCAATAACTGCAACTTCTAAAGGTTAAAGGGGAATTACGGAGATTTTTATAAATTTATGCATAAATTTTTCCATAATTCAGTTGATGTAGGTCATTCAGAGAGGTTTGATGTGAAACTGTTCACTGTAGAGAAACTTACTGACTCAGATTTCTTTATAGTGGTGGTGATAGGAACCAGGGGTCGTCATGTCTTCAAAATACAACACATATATACAGCACCTACACATGTCTTCTATAATTTCAGATGGGTTGATGATGGTAAAATAGTGAGAAATAAAAAAAAAAATTAGGTTTTCTTTGGGGAATATTTTGTCTTATAAAATCCTGCTTGCACCTCTCCACCATGAGCAGAAAATAAAGGTCTTGGGCATCAGGCAGTGTATTCATAACCATATTTTATAATAACTTTATGAGGGAGCTTTAAGAGGCATTAAACTCTTCAGACGTCTGGTTCCTATCACCACCACTGTGAACAGATCGGACTTATTGCGTTTCTCTAGAACAAAGTATTTCACATCAAACCAATGACTTTGTTTATATCTTTACCATTTAATATGCTGAAATAAAAAAAAAAAATCTGTGCAATTCCCCTTTCACATCAGTATGTATTAACAAATAACTGTATACAGACAGTGGGGAAAACTACAATGTGAAACTGGAGGGCAAATATTGTAATAATGGTACTAAATGTACAAGGAAATTTCACCTAAAAGGCAAATTTTAATATCAAGTGTTCTCCATCTTGGTAAACAGTAGCAGTTGAGAGTAATTATCTCTCAGCACATCAGAGACAGACGAGGCAAATATAAAAAGGATTTTCAGATGAAATGTTCTCTTCAGATGTTAGAGAGTAGGAGGTTGGTGTCTGCGCTAAAGAGCGACAAGCTCAATTGATTTATTGAATGTACGGAGGTGTGAATGTTCTCACCCGTTTAAACCTTCATGCTGCTGTGCGCCATAATCATTCCTGCATGCAAGAGGGGAAACGGGTTTTCAGACATTTTTAGCAAGATTACAATTAACTAATGAGTGTCTGATAACAAATATTAAGTTAAATCAGCTGTTTAGATGTTAAATAAGCATTACACAAATTTCCTGCCACCGTAAATGTAGCTGATCAGCCCAAGGTTTGTTTCTTTACTTTTGCAAAGGCTAACACAGCAAGTGATAGAAGTTTGTGGACACCAATGAGCATTGCACAAAGATTAAATGACATGATGTGCATTTTTCATCCATATACGTGAGAAATTATTTTCATAATAAATTATCAGATAAATGACATACAGTCACGTACACGTTTGAACAACCCCTGTCAAATTAGACTTTTTGTTGATTTTCTGAATTCTAAGTTCTCCTCTACAGAGAAAACACTTTTTCTGCAGATGTTACTGCATAATGCAGAGTTTAACATATGAAATATGCCATAACTTTTTGGAGAGACTACATTTCATGTTTAATTTTTATTCCTGCCCCCCACAAATGTTCAATTTAGCAAATAAACAGTAATTGTGCAAAATAGGTGAAGTAGTGTGTTCTCCGTAGAGTATATGTAGTTTTTTCTACTTAAAAAAATCAACAAAACATGTAATTTGACTGGGGCACACAAACCTTTGCATATAACTGTATATCACATTGCTGTGCAATGATTTCTTCATGTGAACACAGTTTTCAGTGCATCAAAATGAAACTGATTTAGCAAAAAAACTAAAAATGTCATGCGGTGTGACCATCCAACCACGTATGTAGATTAAGTTAATGATCAAAAAGGCTAAATAATCATTTACAATTCTAAATCATTCTTTTTTGTATGTCTGAAACTTGAACCAAACGGGGCAAATGTCTCTCCGCAAAACTTTTGTCTGCAAATTCAGATTTCCCCAAACGTCACACAGCATAACTGACAATAAAGGACTTTTATTCTGTCATGCTTTTAAGAAAGCATCGGCAGTGTATTGCACCATAAAGAAGACCCAAGTGTCCTTCACAGTGCACAACCAAAGTCAGTAGACTTTTTTTGTCAGTAGACACATTTTTGAGTGTGTGTTTCGGCTACTTCAGTTTGCTGAGTCAGGTGGGGCAACCTGAGCAAAATCATGAACGTGTTATTATTATATTGTTTATTTATTTGAAAACAATTAATAACCTTGAGGTCAAGAACAAAGGTTTATATGGGTGTCCAAGTACAAAGACTAGTTTTTACATGCATTTAGTCATTAATAACTAAAAATATGTTTATTAATGTTTAGTTGCACCACATTTTCCGAGTTGTTCAGTAATCTCTAAGACTTGCTTAAGTGGTTTCTGACACTGTACAACATCTAGTAGCACTGGAAAAAGTACATCTAAAAACAACTGCAGCCACTTTGAAGTATAAATTTTGTCTGTATACATTTGAAACGTGTCTTGACTGACGAGTCTAAACTGGCTAAATGTGATTTTTCACCAAACGTTTCCTTTAAGATTAAAGAAAAACATCTGCTAAAATGCTACGATGATATTCTAACAGGACAGCCTGTTTGGGTGAAGTATCCTTTTCATGAAATCCTCATTCTCGGAGTAAATTCAGCACAAACAGTATGAATAATTTAGACAGACATGAATAATTTTGTTTTGCATCTGCCGGTGGCGTTTAAGTATTTATTCTTCCATTAAACAAGCTGTAACTGAAAGAGTAGACAAACCAGTTGAAAAGCCACAGACTTGGACAAGAAACAAAGCACTGTTGGAATAAGAGTTCAGTATTTTTTCAGTACTACAATGAAGTAAACATTAGTATATATCGTCGCTGTCGTGCAAAAGCCTTGTATCCATTTTGGTTGTTTACTTTTTTGCATAATTTGAAAACTCCAGTTACCCTTTGTATTGTGTACAAATTTTATGGTCAATAGACCAACAGACATAGTCCAAAATTACTTCCATCACAAGTTAAGAATGTTCTTTCCTTCTCCTGCGAAGTCACCATTTTGGAGATTAGAGGTTTTGCTACAACAGCGACGATATAAATCATACTTTTTACAAAATAAGGTATAATCCATTTATATTTGTTAGAAACACAGCAGGTTTCTCATCTAGTAATTGGTGTTCCGTCTCTTTTCAGTGATTCAGATCAATTGACCATTTGCAAAAGTCCCACCTCTCTTAATTACTGTTGCTAATTCTGACTAACTTTGAGCTCAAGCTACCTGGTAGCATCTGGATCACTTGTGCTAACAGAATAAGTTAAGCAGCACAAAGGAAATTGAAAACCATATGGAGGACCACGTTTGAAACATTTTCTTATTCAACAAGGACACACAGGGTCACTGACGTAAAGCACTGCTCACATTAATCACCAAAAATTTATTGTGCTAGTAGCGCCCCCTTGCGGAGAATCCTTAGGCTGCTTACTTGCAAAACCAGATCTAAATTCCTTAGCAAAGCCGACACGATTCAGTAACCGCTATGAAGTATTCAGTAACTACACTCAAAAGTACACTACAAAGATCATTTTTCAAGGGTTCTTTAGTGAAGAAAATGGTTCTATATATAATCATGAACACTCAAAGAACGCTATGCATGATTAAAGGGTTCTTTGCATCGTGAAATGGTTCTGGATGGAAAATGTGCTGTAGCTCTATAAAAAGGGTTCTGCTATTGTTACAATAGCAGTACAGTAACCCCAATAAAGCTAACCTTAGAGTCAGTGTAAGTCTGCCTATTAATAGTGTCAACACTGAGCTGGGAGTTTGATCTTCCATTGAGTTTAATCCAACACTTTCTCAGCTTCAGGAATCAAACAAAAACAGCTCCACATTCCAGATGATCATGATAGCACGAGTCAGGTATTATATTCCTCAGTAACACCTTTCCACCACTGGTTAACCCAATGATTCTGACGAATTTACTGCCACCACCGTTCTCACTGCAGCTTTGTTCTGATGAGTATGTTCGTGTGACATAGGAAGGAACATTCAGAGACTTTTCTGACTGGCTGAGAGACGTATCAATCAATTTTGCAATTGGCTCAAGTCTGACCAAACTTCTCCTTTAAAATCAACTGTTGCAATCAAAGACACACATGATGATAATTTATTTTCAGCACTTCTGCTTTTTGTGCTGTGAAGAATTAACTGCAAATCAAGCCTACCAATCACAGCTCATTCAGATCACATGACCCAGCCAGCATGATCTATGGTCGCACCACATGACACATATGTTGTGTACTTATGTTAACTTATGTTACCATGCAACGTATGAAAACACATTGGTGAAACCTTGGCGTGATGTGATTAAAGACTGGTGTTTTTCCTAAAGTACTTGTTTGCTTGGATCACATGAATGCCTGATTGTTGTTCCACAAAAGCAGGATTTCTCAGTTAAACGTCTAGCTTATCCATTAACATCAATGTACACTGTTAATGAACGCATCACTTTTGAACCCCTCAGAAACAGCTGTGTGATACTGCAGCTATTCTCTTTAGCACCCCCTTAGGGCTGGTACTCACACTGCGTACGGATGAGTGCGTGGAGCTATGGAGCGTGGAGCGCCTGGCTGCAGAACATCAGGGGTGGTCATCATCACGTAAAACTGGCCTGAGAGAGAGAGAGACAGAGAGATCATTAGCCCAAAAGGGAAGATTGCAGTGAAGCAACTGTTAGGCCTAGAAAACAGATCTAAATCCCTCAGCAAAGCAGAGAAAATTCTTTCAGATCTTAAGCACCCACTTTGCAGGTTTCCCTTCCCAGCCTTTCACAATGCTAGCCTGGTGGGTGTAAGCCTTTGTTACTTGTTAGCAACATTAGCTTCATTGCTCCAGTGCAAAACTAAAGAAGCAAATTTGACACCAAACATGTCTTGGCTGACTACACTTGGAGGAAGGGGAAAACAGTGTAATATTTTGGCTGCATTATTCCTTTAAGTTCCCATGTCCTTTGTATTTTTGTTTATTCCCTGAGGTCCACTTATAAAAATGACCATTTTCCAAACTCTCTTTATCTCTTACCCTGCATTCACACCGGCAATGACTTTTCACCTCGTCACCCAAATCGCTGATTGCTCATCGCCTGTGGGCATTTCTGAGCTCAAACTGACCTTTATTTGCCATAGTTTCACTCATGCCAGGCAAAAAACAGATGCGTTCCCGCTAAAAATAAAAATCCTGGTGAGAAACTGTGCGTGCCAGAGGTGTGAACAAGTCACTAAGTTGCAAGTAACAAGTATGTCTCAAGTCTTCACGGTCAAGTCCCGAATCAAGTCCCAAGTCAAGGTAGTCGAGTCTCGATTCAAGTCCCAAGTCAGTACAGGCAAGTCTCAAGTCGAGTCCCAAGTCAATGATCCTTCAGCTAATTTAAGGCCATAACACTGAATAATGGTAACAGTACTATAAACCTTTAATGACAGCATGTTAGCAGCGTATGGCTGTGCACTAATTTTTTAGAATTTTTCTTTTTTACCCTTCCAACTAAAATACAAAATCCATGGTACAAATATAACCATGACAGACATACTGGCAACACAAAGAGTAGTGCAACTACATATGAAAAGAATTTTAAAAGTACTACTGAGCTTAATAAAAAAAAAAACACAACTTTATATTTGCAGACAATTTTTGATGATTTTTGGGAACGTTGGGTGCGCAGGATTAAAATAAAACCTAGTTCAGCACTAAAACTAGTTCAGCCAACTAGAAACAACCGCTAGTTTGAATCAAATTTAGATGACAACAGAAACCAAAACACCAGCTTCTTATTTGAATTTTCCGTTAAATGGTGCAGTAGATACCTTCCGGCGCCTAACTGCCACACCATTTAAAGTAGAACAACAAATTCCAATATGAAGCTGTCAAAACCCTCATCAACTTCAGCCTTGTGGTGAAAGTTCGGGTTGTTTTATCTACAGAGGCTGTTAAAATTGGTCAAACAGAGAGAGCTGTGTTTCTTTTGTTTTGCTATCATGATGAAAATGGTCAGTTCACCTGGTATGTTTCTCCAGTAAGACTGGAGTTTAAGTGCTGAGCGAGTGTGCATTGATAATGTCGATGCTTCACTTATTTCCAGCTTATGGAGGTGAACTTGAGCTCTAACGCTTCGCTTGTCTTCCCCAAATAAAATAAACAGAGTATAAGCACAGTAACAGACAGTGACGACGGTGCTGTTTACACGGCAGGAAACAAATTCACTCACATGAAAAGTCTTCCACTTTGAGTCTCCAAATCCAAAGCAGAGTCCCAATCATTGGTGTTGAAGCCAAAGTCGAGGCCCAAGTCTTACCCAATTTTCTCGAGTCGAGGCTAAAGTCATCAAATTCGTGTGTCTTGACTTGAGTCCAAGTCATATGACTCGAGTTCACACCTCTGGTGTGTGCTTACTGTTAGTTAATCTCTGTGTCTGCACAGTCAGTATGTGAGAAAACAGTATTTGGTCTTTGTAATTACTGTCTATCTGCGGCAAAAGCACCGCTGCCATTATTCCATCTCTTATAGGAACAATTATCCACTTCTAACCAGAAAAGGAGCGACTGTTTCACAGTGGCGGAGATAAAGCGCGCACAATGCTGCTCAATGTTCAATTCCTATTGGTAATCGCCACATCACTCCGTTCCTTATTTGCATAAAGTTAAACTCTGCTCAACTTTGACGCGCTGCCGACTCCGCCCACTACGTCACCAATGTTTAACTGCCCCCTGCCAGCTCTCATTGAAAAGGAATGACCTCTGGCTGCCTTGTCGCATCACAACCCTGCTAGTGTGAACACAGGGTTAGAAATATATAACTTGAAGTATAACTTCAACATGAATGGCCCTTCTGAAATGCCCCTGTGGATTCAATACTAGATTAAAACACCCACAGAAACACTCATCTGGACTGAGATTGGTCAAGGTGCTTGCACTACATACATATAAAATGGTGATGGGTTAGAGGGCTTGCAGACTCAGGGGTTAAAGGGGAATCACCTTTTTTTTAATTTCTACATAATTTAATACCTGAGATTCTTTTGTTTTCAAAAACTCATCAGTCGTTGAGACGTAAACAAAGTCATGCAGAGTTGTTTATTGTGAAATGGTTCACTGTACAGAAACTAACTGACTCTGATTTCTTCACAGTGGTGGTGATGGGAACCAGGGGTCACCATGACTACAACACAAATACAGGCATTTTATTTACTATCCAAAACCACCAGTGAACAAACACGTGTCTTCTGAGTTTTTATATGTAACAATGGTAAAACAGTGGTAAATTTCCTTGGGTACTATTTTTCTTTTCTTCCCTTCATTTGTTATAAAGAAATATTAGTAGGCCAAAATTTTATCACGAAACTATGATAAGCCATTATCTCAGACATCAGGCAGCGTATTCAAAACCATTTCATGTAATAACTTTCTGTGAGGGAGCTTTTAGAGGTATTAAACTCTTCAGACATCTGGTTCCTATCACCACCACTGTGAACAATTGTGGCCCGGTAAGTTTCTCTAGAACGAATGAATGACTTATGCAGAAAAAAAAAACAGTGGAATTCCTCTTTAAGTGAGGGGGCAAAACATTCTTTTATCCCATATGATTACATACTTACATGAATACAATTAATGATCTCATCTGATTTGTACAGTCTCTGTCTTGGGATCGTGCACTACACAGTGCTGATGTATTATGTAGTGGCTGTTGTTCGTATCTGTTCAATATTCTGCCAGTATGAATTTCTGTAAAATCATTTCCCCACAGACAAAGTAACTATTACTAACAGCAACACTTTCACTTTCTGAATTCAGAACCAAACAGCCCTGAAGAAAATCTTACCCACAAGCCTGTGACTGCACTGCATTTCCATTTACCAGCATTGTGAAGCTAAACAACCTAAACAACTTTTTTCCTCCCAGCATAACTGGAAAGTTCATCTGATGCTGGCATTTGCTTTAGCGGGCAAAAGGAGAGATGTAATGCTCTGCGCAAGCAGTGGTACTCATTCCTGCATGCAGTAGGCCTGTAAATGACAAACAGACCAAATACCAAACATGTCAAACAAGGCCAGGGGGCAGCAGAAGGGACCCTAAAAAACGACCATTAGAGAAACTTCCTGCTTGGGATGACTGGTTCCCGTTTCCAAAAATGGTAACTAGAAGCCCACAGTATATCCACCGGCGAAAATGAACTGTTAAAGGAGAATATCACAGAATTTTCACAATTTCTGTATAATTACATCACTAAACTCACTAAGAGTGGTTTGGTGTGAAATGCCCTGTTCTAGAGAAATTTACTGAGTCAGGATTGTTCACAGTGGTGGTGATAGGAACCAGATATCTGAATAGTTTAAAGCCTCTAAAAACTACTTCAAAGCTGCTACATGAAATGACTATGAATTCACTGCCTGAGACATTGTTTTTCTAAAGTTCTGAGAAGGTTTTGGCCTTATTTTTAACATATTTTTAAGATCCATTCACGTAGAGCCCTGTTTCCTATCACCACCACTACAAAGAATTCGGAGTCAGTAAGTTTCTCTACAATTATGCTTTTAGTTAATTAAAATTAAACCACTCTGACTTACTTTGTTTGCTGTCAGCAATTGAGTTATGCAGAATTTTTTTTAATTTGTAGAATTCCCCTTTAATCTGGGGCACAATTTCAGTGGTGTGGAAATTTTTCAGTTTCAGTGAAGCAGGAGTTAACAGGATTGCAGACTGCCTTCTGCACTAAACGGTCAGCCAATATACAGTGAGACTTCAATATTATTAATCTAATTACACTTCATTATTATTCCAGTGATTTTTTTTTAGTATTAAGCACTTTTTCCTCAAACTAGTCTTCAGGGAAGCCACATTTTAGCTCTATTCCTCACAATTTACCTACAGCAAGCCATTAACAACACTGAATACCTGGTGCGGGAGCAAAAACGTGGGCCCAGAGAACAGGGAGGAGAAGCACTGGCCTAAAGAATATGATCACCTTCAGAGATTTAACCTGTCTAATGCTCACTGTACCACATATAAAGATTATAATGTAAACACAACAGTGTGTAATTATCAATTACTGGTACAAGACACAACGAAATGTTAAAAATCATTTTAAAGTACCAAAACTTCCATACTGGTGCCTTAGTAGTGGAAAAGTTGCCCTCGTGTGTCTGGTACTGAGAGGGAGGACTGTAGTACTGCAGTGCTGGATGCACTCATCAGTGTCAGATTACAAACAGATATCATCTCATTTACTAGGATGAATTTGTTTGGGACACAGTGTCAGCAGTCAACAGTCAGTGGTCTGTGTGTTTTTATTTATTTTTTTTTTGTGCTCTGACTCACCTCCTGTGTGTGAGAGTGCAGGGTCACTGGGCTGCAGGGACACACCCGTGGCGGCCGCATCACTTACAGCAGCAGGGAGATAAGCGAAGCGTGGTTCACCCCCCATCGCCTCTGCTGCAGGACCACCTTCATTACTAAACGGGCTCTGAATCACAGCCTGCCATTCACACACATACACACATTTTTGTGATTATAGGATTATCAAGTATGAGGGCGTGAGGTCAGATATGTGTCATATACATATTTATATATACACTGATCAGGCATAACATTATGACCACCTCCTTGTTTCTACGCTCATTGTCCATTTTATCAGCTCCACTTACTATATAGGTGCACTTGTAGTTCTACAATTACAGACTGTAGTCCATCTGTCTCTCTGCATACTTTGTAAGCCCCCTTTTACCCTGTTCTTCAGTGGTCAGGACCCCCATGGACCCTCACAGAGCAGGTACTATTTAGGTGGTGGATCATTCTCAGCACTGCAGTAACACTGACGTGGCGATGGTGTGTTAGTGTGTGTTGCGCTGGTCTGAGCAGATCAGACACAAAAGTGCTGCTGGAGTTTTTCAAACTTTGGCACATGACTGTACATATGTCAATATCTATTTGTAATGTAATACTGTGTCCTGTATGTAAAACATATATCTACATCTACATGTAATAATATGTTCTATATGTATTACATATGAGTACCTTTATGTAATAATAATAATAATAATAAGCTCAATGTGTATTATATACAGTGTAATACTAATAAAATTCCATTTATGATGCATTTTCTTAAACCCAAAGTGCTGCAAACCAATAAATAAAGCAATATATAGATATCTAAATATAATTATATATGTACTAAGGCATCTTGATCATAGCACATTCTCAGAGTCTCAGAGGGCAGTTTCTGAACCAGACTCTTCTGACAACACGCAGTATTAAACTAATCTGCTGCTTGATCAGCACTTTTCCTCGGGGATGCTTTGCTAATAAAGGGACTGAGCATCTGGACATTTTTCCACACTTAAAACCACCACAAAGGAGACAAGCCTCGCTTTTACTGAGCCTCGGCCAAAGAAGCTCAAGACTTCAATAACAGCTTGGATATTAAAGATGCAGCCAGAATGCGTTTGTATGTTGATAAGTAAAGGGCAGGAAAATGGCCCGTGTCCTGTGGCCAAAAAAATATGATAAGATAGTCTAGAGACTAATGTCCACACATTAACCCTTAGAAGTCATTACTGTCATTTTGCTATACTAAATGCTAAGTTAGACGTAACACATAAGTAGTTCCAGAATTAATTACATTCATATTCTATATCAGCAGGTTTTGAGCTTGCTGTTCTGACTTTTTCTGTTTCTTACAATGTAAAATAATGACAAGAAGAAAAAGAGAATGTATGAGGCTTGTAAGGTTGGAACATGTATTTCTGGCTTTATCAGCCGTTTGATTAAAACTTAATTCACTAAACCTGTCAATTCATGAGCTTACGAGTTTACAAACCGCATGCAGAATCAGTTGGTATTGTACCTGCTGGGCTCCACTGAAAGCTGCAGTAGAGACCACGCCCACTGCCCCACCCCCTGCCTCTCCGCCCACCAGGGGCCGATCAGTCACCTGGACAACTCGGTACGTCAGCTGAGGGAAACAGAAGGACACTTTCAGCACCTCGTGTCAAAAAGAGTACAGGCAAACTTTTAGCATGTTTGCTAATTAAAGCCCACAGAATTCCAATGGCTTCAAACTGACATATTTTTAAAGGAAAATACTACAAACACAACATCAAATGTTGAAACTGAGAAATTTTATAGTTTTTTGAAAAATATACGCCCATTTTGAATTTGATGCCAACAACACATTCCAAAAAAGTTGGGACAGGGTCATGTTTACCACTGTGTTTCATCACCTCTTCATTTAACAACACTCTGTAAGCGTCTGGGAACTGAGGAGACATTGCTGTAGTTTTGAAAATGAAATGTTTCCCCATTCTTGTTTGATATAGGATTTCAGCTGCTCATCAGTTCGGGGTCTCCTTTGTTGTATTTCTCATTTCATATTCCACCAAATGTTTTCAGGTCTGGACAACAGGCAGGTCAGTTTAGCACCTGGATTCTTTTAATACGGAGCAATGTTGTTGTAATACATGCAGAATGTGGTTTGGCATTGTCTTGCTGAAACAATCAAGGCCTTCCCTGAAAAAGACGTTGTCTGGATGGCAGCATATGTTGACAAAACATGTAAATATTGTTCAGCATTAATGGTGCCTTCACAGATGTGCACGTCACGCATGCCATGTACACTAATGCATTCCTATACCATCATGAATACTGGCTTTTGAACTGTGCACTGATAACAAGCTGAGTGGTCTTTATCCTGGAGGACACAGTGTCCATGATTTCCAAAAAGAAATTCAAATGTTGATTCATCGGACCACAGGGCACTTTTCCACTTCAACTCAGTCCACTTTAAATGAGCTCAGGCCCAGAGAAATTGGTAGCATTCCTGATCCTGTTTGTATACGGTTTCTTCTTTGTGTTTTAGAGCTTTAACTTTTGTGGATGCAGCAACAAACTGTTTTCACAGACAGTGGTTTTCAGAAGTGTTTCTGAGCCCATGCAGTGATTTCCTCTACAGAATCATGGCTGTTTTTAATGCAGTGCTGCCTGAGAGCCCAAAGATCATGGCCAGCAAATACTGGTTTTCAGCCTTGTCCCTTACATACAGAGATTTCTCCAGATTCTCTGAATCCTTTACTGATATTATGTACCGTAGATGATGAAAAGCAAAAGTTCTTCGCTATTTTATGTTGAGAAACATTATTCTTGAATTGTTGCATTATTTGATCGTGAACCTCTCCCCATCTTTATTCCTGAAAGACCCGTTGCCAATTAACCACCAGGTGTTTTTTTTAGCATTACTCAACTTTACCAGTCTTTTGCTGCCCCCGTCCCAACTTTTTTGGAACGTGTTGCTGACATCAAATTCAAAATGGGTATATATTTTTCAAAAAACCAATAAAATTTCTCAGTTTCAACATTTGATATGTTGTCTTTATACTATTTTCAATGAAATATAGAGTTTGAATGATCTGCATATCATTGCATTTTGTTTTTATTTACATTTTGCACAGCATCCCAACTTTTTTGGAAATGGGGTTGTACATTAGCCTCTTAGCTCCAGTCCAAAACTAAAGAAGCAAAACATGAATTGGCTCATTCATCAGAGATAAGGGACACATTTTGTAAATTTGATTTGTAATCAAACCATCCTTTTAATCCAGGCCTTATACAGAGTACTTACTTTCCATTTTTGGAGGCAAGAATGAGCTAAATGTAACGAAGACATCAGCAAATAATGGAGAACTTTCACTTAACATGACCAAGCTCCTCCTGTGAGCACAACAGCACGCAACAGCACGCAAACCACCCACCTCTCAGTACTGTGGGCACTCCTTATTTTTTTAACTATGGCCGTGCAGGGAGCTGGGCATGATCTAATTTAAACCAGAGCTCAAGAAGAGCAGTAGCAGTTCACTCTAAAGAATAAGTATTTGTAAATGTTCCATAATAGTCCCTCCCCCTTCTCCCCTGTCCCATCATGTGACTCCCCTCCTGACAGACATGTGACACGGGCCCCGTGCCAATCCCAGCGAGGAAACTCAATCACATGACTGCCTCCACTAACAGTGCTGACGGTGGGTTATTGACACAAATGAGAAACAACAACTGCGTCCCTGTCTTCAGCATCTAATAGGCCTCGAATATGCCATCTATAGCACTTCGCACTATTAGCCCACATGAGCTGTGGCATTTTTGCATTTGGATTTAATTATTTTTTCACAAGAAGGCCCAACAGAGCTTTTAGTATCATTTGCAGTGTGAGGGTTTGTCACACGAAGAAAAATACAAATAATAACGACAATAATAATAATAATAATAATAAGAAGAAGAAGAAGAAGAGTAATGTTGTTATTAATATAATTTGTTGGATTTTTGTTAGTATAACAAATGAGGCTTCCTGAAAATGAGTCTGTAGTCTCTGCTGGTCTCCCCAGTACTATTTATTTATATTTATTTATTTAAACCCCACATATCTAAAATGACAGATTTTTTTTTAAATGTCTATTAAAGGGATGATTTTATGGAAAACCCAATTTTCTTTTCTTTTTTTTTATAAAAGAGTTTGATGCTGTATAAAACACTGCTACATTTGGAATCTTTAACATTCACTGTAATATATGAAAACTAAGCTGAAAAATCTGTTCTTTTTAAACTATTTTGAACGTTATTTTTGTGATGTCATGAAAAACCTGTATATTCACATATATCAGCCTATTCAGCCTACGGCACATTAGCCCCACTCATGCTGAAGTTATAAGGAATGTTTCGATCTGGATTGTTTTTTAAATAAGGAAGCAGCCCATAGAACAGAGCTCATTTACATATATCAGTCTTAAAGGCACTGTAACAAAAACAGCCATGTAAAAATGAATCAAGGCAAATGTCATAAACAGACACATAAGACAGGGGAAAAAAACATAAAAGACAAGGAAAATGCAGGATATGGGCCCTTTAATGTAGCTAAATTTTAGAAGTAGATTTATAAGTAATTTTGAACCACTCTTATTTATCCATTTTTCATCAAATGTAAAGAGGAGCTAGTACTTTCAAATTGTGTTCATGAAAAGGTCTTTCATTTTGAAGAAAAGCCCACCTGTGGAGAGCTGCTGTCAGGGTGAAACTGATACTGGATGTTGTGGTCCACGAAAGCTGAAGAGTGCAGAGCACTGGCTACAGAAACAGCAGCTGCTTCTCCTCCGGCTGAACGACCGCCTGCATCAGGAGAAAGAGACTTAGCATGGACAGCACCTTCCAAATAACATAGGCCTAAAGCAGACATCATTAAGAGAATACCTTCTCATAATCATACAGAATCACTAGATGAGCCATACCTTCAGGTACCTGCACTCCTTCCTCCTCTTGTTTTTCGTGCCTGAAAGACAATGTAAAAGTAGCTATAGTGAGTAACAGTGACTGCTGTCCAGGCATGAACATTTCACACCATTTGAAAACATAATCTGCCTTTTACATTGTGTGAATGTTTTATGATGAACAGACCAATAAAAATGTCTAAAATGGTCTTACATTATATTGATGTATATATGTGCTCATATTTTTCAAAATTTCTGCATAATTCAATGGTTATCAGGTAAACAAAGTCATTCATAATTCTGATGTGCTCCATTTAGAGAAAAAATAACAAGTCAAAACTGTTCAAAGCTTTAGTGAGGGGACCAGGAAGCCTCTAAAACCTCCCTCAGAGAAGCTATTGTATGAAATAGTTATGAATATGCTGCCTGATGTCTGAGACATTGTTTTAAGAAGGTTTTGGCCTGAAACATATTTTTATTGGTGAAGAGTTACATGCAGGACCCTTTAAGCCAGGAAAATGTCTTACTTCAGATTTTCCACTATTTTACAACCGTCAACATTCATATAAAACTTGCGTGTAGGTTCACTGGTGGTTTTGGATAGTAAATAAAATGGCTATATCTGTGTTACAGTCATGGTGACCCCTGGCTCCTATCACCACCACTGTAAAGAAATCCAAGTCTCTGCAATGAACCATTTCACATCAAACCACTTTGAATTCATCTAAGCCATCTAAATCCATTATTTTGAGTGTGACAATATATAACCATGACTGTTACTGCTGGGTTTATTACATACGTATACAAATGAACGTATAAATCTAAAAATAATAGAAATCTACTCCTCACTTGGTTACATCAACATCTAGTTCCTAATACCTTCCTGTTTTTAAGTTCACTTTGTTCTGTTGGTGACTGCCTCTCAATTGGTCACACCTCTGACATTAGAGCTTCTCTTTTAGATCAAGAGGGCATCAAAAAGAGGAGAATAGAGCCCAAGAAACTTCCTGTGCTGAGAGAAGCTGGACATACTAAGCAGTTTCACTGTGCTTCTATAGTTAAGGGGGAATTCCACCAATCTTTCAAAAATTCAACATAATTAAATGGCTGAGATGAAAATAAAGTTGTTCAGGGTTGCTTGAGAGAAACTTAGAGTGAGAACTGTTCACAGTGGTGGTGACAGGAACCAGATGTCCACCTCTAAAAGCTTCACAGAAAGTTCTTATGTAAAGGAGTTATGAATACACTGCCTGATGTCTGAGACATGGTTTCATCACAGTTTTGTGGTAAAGCTTTGGCTTAAAATGTATTTAAATCCATTAAAATTATTACATTTCAATCCATATTTGAATCCGTTCATGGTGGAAGGGTGCTGGCAGAGTTTTTTGAGGCAAAATAGTCACCCTGAAAAACTTATTTTTCAAAAACGTAAAAATATTTTCCCAGAATACTCATGTAGGTTCACTGATGGTTTTGGATAGCAAATAAAATGTCTATATTTGTGTTGTAGACATTGTGACTTCTGGTTTCTATCATCACCACTGTAAAGAAATCTAAGTCTGTAAGTTTCTCTACAAATGAACCATTTCACGTTTAATCACTCTGAATGACTGTTTACATCTCAAGGACAGAATTATTCGGAAATTTTGAAAAATTGGTGGAATTCTCCTTTAAGTTCCAGCGCTCGTTTAGCCTCTTCACGAGGCTTAAGTTGGCTATTTATTCGCCAACCTCTTGCTCGAATTTTTCCGTTCTACCTTAAATGGTACAGCAGTTACATTCTGGTGTCTGAGACCATTTAAGGTGGAACGGAAAAACAAATTCGAATAAGAAGCTGAATTCAGCTTCGTCTCTTCTGCTCACCTCTTTAGACGCTTAAAACCAATGACCAACACGAAATACACGTTTCGAAACAGTTTTACAGCTTTGTCAACTCACATTCCAGGCAGAAGTGAACTTTCTATCAGCTTATTCAAATACTGATATTTACAGCTGCCTCAAACTGCACAGCACAGAATGTAGGCGTTACATTTCCTTAATAAACTGTCTCTTAGAGGTGCTAAAAGTCAGAGGTTTGGGGTGTTTACCTCGCTGAGGTGTCCACTCTCTGCTCCAGAACCTCCATCTGCCTCCAGCTGTGGGAGAGTGGGCGAGCTGCGAGCTGATCACGGGAACAAACACTCGGGTCACGTGAGAGCGGTAACTGGGGCTGAAGGAGGGAGGGACTATGCTATCGCTAGACTTAAAGGGGAGATCCAATGATTTTTCAAAATTTCTGCACAGTTCAGTCGTTGAGATGTAAGTGATCTGGAGTGGTTTAAATTGAAATGGTGCACTGTGGAGAAATTTGCCGACAGTGGTGGTGATAGGAACCGGGGGTCGCTATGTCTACAACACAAATATAGTTATTTTACCAGTGAACCTACGCGTGTCTTCTGAGTTTTTAGATGTAATGCTGATGATAAAATAGAGATAAATCTGAAAAGATAAGTCATTTTTGGGGACTGTTTTGCTTTACAGCACGCTGTGTGTACAACCATGAATGTACTTAAAAGCTTTCGCCCAAAACCTTCTAGGAACTATTACAAAACAACGTCTCCGGCATCAGGCAACGCATTTATAACAGTTCTACTTACAAACTTTCTGTGACTGAACTTTTAGAGGCATTCAACTCTTCAGACGTGTGTTTTTTTTAAACCCATTGCTCTCTGTAAACCAGTTTTTATCAGTATTATTTCTTTGGTTTGGTTTTTGTGTATTACTGTTTTTAGTACCACTGCGCGCTGGATTGTAATTGCAGTTGTAAGATGCCTAAATGAGGATTTTTTTGTATAATTAATTAATTAATTAATTAATTAATTAATAGAGGAGAACATTTTGATCAAACTTTAATTTGTCTTTACAGAGCTATTGCTATGGTATCCCAGGAGGTTGCTAATGTGGTGTTAGGTCATTGCAATTATATGTCAGGTGGTTGCTGAGGTGTTGCTGGGCCTTTACTACATTATCCAAGGTGATTGCTAAGGTGTTGCTAGGCCGTTGCTATCCCTATTTATTTTTTTGTTTGTTTGTTTGTTTATGTATGTACGTATGTATGCGATCCTCCCAGGTACAATGCATGTACTTACAATATACTGATAAACACCACATGGTCAAAAATAATTGCTTAAATACTGCTATGATTGTAATGTTTATAGTGTTTATCAGCATTTTATAGCCCCTCTAATCTTCACAGGAGTACAAAAATAGAATTATAGTGAACAATCATCCCAATCATACAGTCTTTGAATGTCAGCTACACTTATCATGTGATTACAGTATTTAGTGTTAATTTATTTTAGTATTTAGTGCGGTTTTATATCGGAGACTGTAGATTTTGTCACGTGTTGATCATGTTTTATATAACACAGAATTTGTAATTCTCCAGCTCTTACTTGAGCCTCACCTTTAACCTACTTTTTGCGTACGGAACGCAAAAGCTGCTTTGTTTCAGCCAGACCGTGATTGTGGGGAACACACGAGATAAACGACAGCTTACCAGCTGATTGGCTCGTCTAGGAGAATTCTCGGATCCGATTGGCTGCAGCAGCAGGCGTGCTCCGCTTGTCCCGCCTACCCAGTATCACATCGATAAGGGTCCGACTGTTAGCCGTTAGCCGCTAGCCGCAGCGATGGCAGCCCGGGTTTTGGTCGGAGTGAAGCGGGTCATCGACTATGCCGTGAAGGTACGTGTCCGTTTAGTGTCGCGGTAAACGCAGCCGTGCATCAGCTTCTTAAAGCAGCGAACGTATTAAGTTTACATTTTAATGGCGCTTGTTGTGAGAGCGGCGGTTAGCGGCTGTGGCTAAAGCAGGTAAACCAGAGTTAAACACGGGACACCAAGGTCAGCGCGCATAGAGTTGACTGTCTGAGACGTTATTAAACTATTTATTTCAAGTGTATTTATGTGGACATTTATTTATCATTTCATGTATTTGCTTTGTTGTCTTTTTTGCTGGCATGTAGTTTAGCCTCCTTCATTCATTTTTGCTGACAGTTGGCTTGCATGTAACTGATACTGGAGTGTGTTCAAACAATATTTATTTCCAGTATTTATTTTTACAGTATTTATTTATTTTCTTCACTCTTTTGTAGTTTTCTTCTACTACTACTACTACTAATACTACTAATAAGAATAATAATAATGATAATAACAGGAAGACGAGGAAAAAAATTATGATAAAGCATAATATGCTTTAAAAAGCATGCAAATAGTACAAGCATATGTTAAAGAACAGCAAGAAGGGGGAAGAAGTCAAAAACTACTTGACACATAACATTAATAAGTAAGTTGTGATATTTTTTTAAATACTGTTTAAAGAAATGGTTTGACGAAAAAATCTAATTTACACAATTTTCTACGTACCCCAGTTGTAGTCGACTGGCTGAGAAATGTCTGAAATCTGAATTTTGCTTCTTTAGTTTGGAGCTGTAGCGGCGAGGCTAACATTGCTATCAAACACTGGAACTCAGTAGTCACCCAAATAGCCTGAACCGTTTCTGTAAAAATACTTCAACAAAACTTCTCTCAACCCCCTCAGACCACATCCAGGTCTTTACTGAGGTTGTGCAAGACTTGTCAAAGTGGAAAGAAGTGGCTGCCTGTGGCAATGAAGTTCTGTTTATTTTTATAGCTCAGTAAGTGAGCTTTCATGCTCTGCTTTAAGCCTTATTGTCAAGTCTGTGTGACCTTTCTGAAGAGCTCAGCAGGTCAAGAAAAGTGTTGGGGATGTATTTACAGAAAAGATTTGGGTGACTATTGAGTTCTTGTGTGAAAAATGTTGGGCTCGTAGCTGTAGGTACGAATAAAAAAAAAAGCAAAATTAGGATAAGTGGAAGATTTTCAGCTAAACTGTTCCTTTAACAGAATGTGGCTGACCAAGCTGAACAGACAATTTTTTTCTATAATAGAGTAGTCTCATACATTATCTTTTGTAATCCGATGGTTAAGGGAACTTGGAACAGCTGGAAAAGTGTGAAAATTCAGAAAATAATAACTTTTTTGCAAAAGTGTATAAATATTAAATTTGCTTCTAAAAGTCTTTAGCTACTCTCTTAAACTGCACTCTGAACAATGCATATTACATGTTATGCTTGATTTGTAGTCAGTTGCCTTTATAGACCTTACAAATAGCATGGAATCCACTCATAGGCAGTTTTAAAGCAGTCTGGAGAAGCTTGATGGAACTTCACAAGAAAAGGTCAGGAACTCTGTTATAGTTATATTGATGTTTTCAGGCCAGAGGCCGAGCTTGCTTGTTTGATATGCATCCAACTGGCTTAGGAAGCATAATCTATTTCTACCTTCTCTTGTACACGGTTCTCCACAGCTGGCCAGCTACTCATGAACCAGTGTTGGAAGACAGAGTGCCAAAATCAGTCTGGTCACTGAAGCAGGGGGCTTAGTTTTGACAGTTGTCGGCAGTGCCGGTTCAGACTGTCTATTTTGTATGTGTAGGCTGTCAATCGATCATCTAACACGACTTCATGGGTTTAGGGGCAAAGACACGTAGGCCTAGATTCACTAATACTCTATCTATCGCTATTGAATATTGCTTCTCTACTGGGTGGAAGGTCATCAGATCTCCTCTTGCTGTTCATGTTCAAACAATAGGTTAACAATGAATTGGAGGTGACACTCATTGCAGGTTGTACAACAAAACGTGCTGTGGCGCCCCCTTAATATTCGATTATATTTGAATGTTCCAAATGAGTAATTTACAGCAAAAGACAGAAATACAATTTTACAAGTGTTTGCCTATAACAGAATACAAAGTAAAGGTTTGGAAAAATGTACAATCACGATACTTCAGGGCAGTTTTACAAAACACGATGTGTCACTATTTATTTTTTCTGACATCTGATAAGTAAGAACAGACAAGGTAGTGCCATATTTTGAAAATACTATCAAATACTGTGAATCTGTTCACTTGTATTCAGCATTTCACTGCACTAAATTCAATTAGACAGGACTAATTATGCTGTCTTTGTAACCAAAGATGCAGTTGGGAGGTGATTAGGTACTGATGATATCTGCAGTATGCTCAGAAAAGCTTAATGTGGCATAGTGGGACGTAATTTATCACAATAATGATAAATATTATCATATTGCCCAGTCCTAGTCTAGCATGGATGTTGTCAGTGTTCCACAAAGAGTTTTGTTGTTCACCGGTATGTTAATTTTAATTTCTGTAGCTTATCAAAATTATCTGCTGTTGTATTGTGTCCATAAATGCTGTGCTTATTTGGTCGCAAAATGGTGTTTTCACAAAAGTTCTGTCTTTAACTGATGTTTACTACGTTATTGAACATTTCCCTATAGCAGCGGTCGGCAACCCAAATGCTAAGAAGAGCCATTTTGTCCTTTCAACAAAAATCAAACCACCTTGGGAGGCACAACATTTTATGTGCATTTTACTATCTTGACTGTAAATATGTCTCAATATGTGCTAATATGCTAATAGCTTTAGCTCAACTATAGCCGCTTTTCTCACATCTCCGGCAGGAAACTTTTCCTCAAAAGTAGAATAGTTTCCTGTGTCTCTCAATGTTTGAATTTTTACGAGGCTGAAGTCAGCTTCTCATTCGCCAGGTTCTTGTTCTCATTTTCCCGTTCCACCTTAAATGCTGCCTGAGATGGCAGAATGTAACAGCTGCACCATTTAAGGTGTGACGGGACAATTCGAACGAGAAGGTGACTTCAGCTTCACAACTTCTTAGTGTTTGTCAGTTTCTCAGTGCAGATTAAACGTATCGGGAAATCAGCTGGATTGCTTATAAATGCAAAAAAGTCCATTCATGTCAATTATTGATGTTCGTCTTAAATCCTTCTCTGTCGTTAGCTGCTAGCTAGGCGAAATTTGTTGTCTGCATTGCTATGGTGACCAACAGTCTGCGCACCATTTATTTAAGACCATTTATTGTTAAAACTGTGTTAGAACTATCAGCAGAGCTTTATTTAAGTGTAAAGGAGGATTATTTTATTTTTACCTAAAATTCTAATTCTGCATGAAGTTACATTCAAAGTTAAGAAAATATTTCCTTCTCCTGTGCAGTTACCATTTTGGAGATACAAGCAATGATATGAAGAATTTATATGAAAATGGGTGAGTGGTGCATTGATAAGAGATGGGGAGTCAAGGCATATGAGTCGCATGTTGACCGATTCGCACTGCAATTATTGACTCACTGACTCAAAAGTAATTAAATTAGGGCCACATTGGTGCTCAGTCATTTCTGCAGTGCTGTTCTGCGACTTGCACCGACATCAGGTTCAATATGGCTTCAAATGATGAGCCTTTCATTATAGAAACCCTTCAGGCTGAGGAACAGAATGAAGCGCTACATGCAGTAAATGCAGTGTTAATGTGTTTGTGATTCATTAGCATGTAGTTTGGATAGCAAGCATGCTAGCAAGCACAAAAGCTAATTTTTCAGCTATATAGTTCATGTCAGCTAATCTAGCTGAAGGTTTAGTAAATTAGAGATCACAATCCAATAACCAAGTTACTTGAACTTCAGCTGAGGTAACTATTGCGCTAGCTAGCTAGCATATTTGATATACATACTACAGGCTAGCCAGCCATTTTAAGTTGTTTTGTGTCTGTCTTTCAAACGCTTGCTGCGTTTAACGCTTCAGTTCTGACTGAAGGTTTTTCTGAAATGAAAGGCCTGTTTAAAGTCTGACAGATTTGTTAGGGGTTTACTTTTGTACAACGCTTTCAGCTAAGTGAATGAAGGACCAAACTAAAATTCTGTACTAAACACTTGTACTAGCAAGAAGTGACGGGTTTTTTGTTTTTTTTTGAAAGAGAAATTTCTTGTTCTTGATGAAAAAGATTTCTGCTTTTGATCCACTCCATCCTGTCACTCATCACGGCCCACAATCCGTTTCTCTTTCAGATCCGAGTGAAGCCTGATAACACTGGAGTGGTCACGGATGGCGTGAAACACTCAATGAACCCCTTCTGTGAGATCGCAGTGGAGGAGGCCGTCCGGCTCAAAGAGAAGAAGCTAATTAAGGAGGTTGTGGCAGTCAGCTGTGGGCCCCAGCAAGTGCAGGTAACAAGCAATGTCAAAGCAGTCCAGCAGAGGGTGCTATAGCTCTGAGCACTGTATTACTGCATTAGGGTGCTTGTCGGCCGGTTGTGTATACTAGTTGGTTGAAGGGGAATTACAATTTTTATTTTTTTTTCCCCAAAAATGTATTAATTACTGGGATGTGAACAGCCATTCAGAGTGGTTTGGTGCGAAATGGTTCATTGTACAGAAACTTACAGACACAGATTTCTTTACAGTGGTGGTGATAGGAACCAGGGTCGCCATTATTACAACACAGATATAACCATTTTAAATACTACCCAGCCCACTAGTGATCTTGCTCACCTTTTCATATATTAAAGTTTTCATGTATAATGTTGTTAAAAGTGAAATAGTGGTAAAACTGAAAAGTTTTGGTTTAAGATGTCCTGCATGAGTGGGCAGACCTCACATGTACCTTGTATCTATACTCATTGTCCAGTTTATCAGATTCAGTTACCAGATAGGGGCACTTTGTAGGTCTACAATTGCTGATTGTAGTCTCTCTGTTTCTCTGCAGAATTTCTAAGCTTTATCATCAATGGGCAGGACCCCCACAGGACTACCAATGACTAGATATTGTTTGGGTGGTGGATCATTCTAAGCACCATAAAGGTTCCTCTTTATAGGTCCCTCTTTATTCAGAACCTCCCATCAATTATTTTTATGTGATTCAAGCCAAGCAAGTGCCTCACTTTTGTTGAGAAACCAGTTTTAAGTTATGTTTGGGGTCATTGTCTTGTTGAAATGCCCATCTTCTTCCTTTTTTGGCCGATGAACAACGCTGAAAATAGAGTCTCTGATTATCTTTACCCTGGAAGGAGTTTTGCAAAAGGTCCATTTTCAGTGACCTAAAATGCAGTTTGCATGTGGACGAAAGGCTAAAATGCATAGAAAAAGATCCGTTATTAAAAATACCCGTGTACGTGTGGACAAGGCCTAAATTATCCTTGAATGTCCCTGTACATTGCTCCAGTTCCATTGCAGAAAAGCAGCCTCAAATCATGATGCTCTCCCCTTCATACTTCCCTGTGTTTGGGATTATATGCGCAGTCGTCTTTCTCCAAACATGACAAGTTAAATTATTTCCAAAGATTCCTATTTTATTCTATCTGAGCAGAGCACATTGTCCTAAAAGAGTTCTGATCAAAATGCTTGTTTGTAAATTTTAGATGTACACAAAAGGTGTAAATTTGAAGTGGATATATGAATTATAACATACTGAATGTCAAAAACAAGTGACTGAATACATTTCAGTTACAGTGTTTTACATTGTGTCTCTTCACTGATATTAAATCATATAGTTGGACTTTATTCAAGTTCTGACTGGTAAAGACTGTAGCCGATATGTACCAAACGTCTTGGAGTGAGATTGCTGACCTTGCCTTTGCCTTGTACCTACTAATAAGCAGGCTTATGGGGGTGAAGCTGTTCCTAGATCAGTTCTTTTAATCTGATTCTGCACAAAAGTAGGCCAAAATGCCAAAATCATGTGAATTTCAGCAAACACAAGCAACACACACTCTTTTTTTGCAGGAGACCATTCGTACAGCGCTGGCTATGGGAGCGGACCGCGGTATTCATGTGGAAGTTTCCGGAAAAGACTACGACTCTCTCGGACCTCTGCAGGTGTCCAAGATCCTGGCGGCTCTGGCCAAAAAAGAAGAGGCATCCCTCATCATCCTCGGGAAACAGGTAGCTTGGTTGAAAGATTTCTGAAAATATGTGGTCATAAGAGAGAATCTGTGCTCTGTAAAAGTACTCCACTTTAAGATGACGATGTGGTGCCATCATTGCATCAAGTATTCCTTGGATATTCTATTCCATGGAAGCCTTATTTTAAAACCTGATCATCAGTATTGACTTAAAGACTTAAATTAAATGCAGGGTAGATGTGAAATGAAGTTTATAGAGGAAGGTAATGATGTGGCATTATTAAAACTAAACAGAAGCCTTTATTAATATCCTTTAATAGGCTTTATGGTACTAAAATAAATTTTCTTTCAAGTCTAACTGAGGTTATAGAATGGAAATTGGCATCAAAACACTGGTGATAAATGTTACTGAGAATTAATTAATATCTTAGAAGCCCAGATGGACCTGTTGTGTTTAGGATCATATAAATTCTGTCAGTGTTAATTTAATTCTGGTGTTGTTGTTTTTTTATTGTGTATTTGCTGTCTGACAGGCTATTGACGATGACTGTAATCAGACTGGTCAGATGACAGCAGCCCTCTTGGACTGGCCCCAGGTTTGTCTGTGCTTTCAGCTGGTCACCACACGTACAGCTTCTTTCATTTGCTTTATGTGCTTAATGACGTTCACTGCAGTTTTGTGAAGCATTAAGGATGTTTACTAGCAGGCTAAAATTTAACACATGCCCCAGAGAGACTTTATCACAATGGCGCTCATGTTTGTTGTTATGTATGTGTACTTATTTTATTTGGGTCACTGAGTCACATGTACACCTCAGTCTAACATTACAGCATACTCTGATAAGCCAGTGATCGTTGACCTTGTGTATTGTCTGAGTGAGATATTTGTAGTTTCATCAACCAGTCCATTGTTCAAGTGCTCAGCAATCCAGACTAAGGTGTGACATTTGATAAAGTTGTAATGCAGCCTGTCCACCAGAGGTCAGAGCAGAGCTTTACAAGTATCCTCTTTAGTTGTTCCTAAGATATTGTTTTGCTAATAGAAATGTATAGATTAAAGATAAAGTTTTATTAAATTAACATGGTTTAAAAAAACTTTTAATTTTAATCCTAATCCTTTTAATTTTAATTAATTTTAATCCTGAACTGCATGGTGTTGCCATATGGCAACAATTATTTTATTTTTTTTGCCTAATGACTCTAAAAGTCCATTTTTCTCTTTTCCTTTGAGAAACTGAAGCTGTGGTGTACAATTCAATAGTCCTTCAGGAAAAAAAAATAGATCTACTATGAGTGATTTTAGTGTAAATAAAATAAGTTAAGATTTTATTAAGTGACAAAATATGTGGCAATGGAGCTGCAATCTGCAGTGCTTACAATGGGAGTAAATGCACTGCCCTCGTATTGGACACTGCCATTTTCACATCATTTTTACTTTCCAAGTTGATGTTTTTACTCATACAATTAGTTTTATATTCCTTTGTGTATTCTTAAAACATTTATGCATATGTATATTGATGCCGTTATGTGCTTTTCTTATTCCTAGATGAGTTATGTCCTGTTTTTCATTGACTTTCACTGATTATTTTTTTTTTATGTGTATTTCATAATTAAAACAGCAGCTGAGTAGGTTGCCATGGTGATGTAGAACTATTAAAAGTGGTCTACTGAGGCAGAAGATCCAGGGTTTGAGTGTAAACAGAAGAACATTAGTGATGGCTATTTGTTTTGGTTAACACAGGGGACCTTTGCCTCAGAGGTGGCAATCGAGGGAGACAAACTGAAGGTGATCCGAGAGATCGACGGTGGACTGGAGACCATAAAGATTAACCTGCCCGCGGTGGTGACTGCTGACCTTCGCCTCAATACCCCCAGATACGCCACACTGCCCAACATCATGGTACACTATCGTCACAGATGTGTCTATTTTTATTCTGTTTGATGCTTATGGACCACAGCGAGTGCTCTGTGGTTGTTACCCTGTACTTTTATTATATTATTTATATTAGGCATGGATGTTCAACACCTTTTCTAACCTTTTTAACCCATTAATGTCCAACAACATGATTTAGTATGAAATAGAAAAATGCCAAAGCAAAGTAATGATATTTTGTACAGATATATATCTTAGATCAATAAATATCAATCCTAGTAGCCCCATACTGTATATTGTCTCATCCGACAACTCATTAACTGATTAATTGCTTAATAAAACTGATCGGTAACTCCTTGTGGTCTGGGTCAGGTGTATAGAGTAAGGAAAACTTTTTTTTCTAAAGAAAAATGTGCAGAGCGTGGGGTCAGGTGGACTGGGATTGGGAGCCCCTGCCTTAGATCACATGTGTCAGGCTCTCTGACATCTAACCGTTTCCATTTGATTTTTTTTTTAAGTAGAATTTTCATATCTTTGATTCACAATCAGTTTTGGTTTTGTTAAAAATTAGTCCTGATCGACTACTTTTAATATGCTAAATTAAGTAAAACTTGCTTAACAAAACTTACTTTACAGCCATACAAGATTTATTGTCAGGTACAATTTCAGATATGACATATCAACTTTAATGTATTTTAAAAGATAATTCATCCCAACATCCTAACAAGAGAACATGTTATAACACAATCACAGATGTTTAAGCATTTATTTCTGTGTTAAGCTAATATAAGAGCTGGTGAGATTATTTATTAAGTAGTGTGAAAATAAGTTAACCTGTCCACTACAGAGAACACTCTAAAATCTGTCATTTTTCTGCAGATTGTAAAGCAGTTTCTTTTTATTTGCCAAGTTTAACATATCAAAACTTTTACATAGGCCTCACTTTTGTTTCCTTTCCTTTCTGATAAATACAGAAAATAAAGAGCAATTGTGCATTAAAATGTGCAGAAGTTTGTTCACTTTAACTTTTGCATACCTCTGTATGTGACTACCAGCTGACATACAGACATTACATGCACTGTACAAGTCTTTTAGTTTAACTATTTCCATATACAGCTGTGCTTAGATTTGTCCATTTGGCTTAGCACAGGCTGCAACATTGCTGCGTATGTCCCCATTTTCTCTCACATGGAGTCAACATTTGAGTAAAAAGAATTATGATAATACATTGTTTATCTCACTTTATTATTTCCAAAATGCATATACCTTATTTGAATACTCAGTGAAGTGAACAAACGCTGACAAGTTTCTGTTTGTGGCCCTATAGAAAGCCAAAAAGAAGAAAATCACGAACGTAAAGCCTGGAGAGCTGGGCGTGGACCTGACCTCTCGGCTGGAGGTCCTGCGGGTGGACGAGCCTCCACAGAGACAGGCCGGAGTGAAGGTGGAGTCGGTGGAGGATCTGGTCAGCAAACTGAAGGAGGCAGGAAGAATTTAGAGGCAGCTAGAGCAGCAGGAGCAGCACGCACACATCTACTGGGGTAACATGCTGTTTAAAAATACTCTGCTGTGTAGATTTAGTAATGGATACTTTTATCCATGTTTATAGATTGATAAATAAATCCTAGTGTGGGAACAAACTGAGTGAGAAGTTTCTAGACCAATTCAACGCTTTGTGAAGGTGGGGCTCATAGTGGGGAACGATGGTGCACTCGTCAGTGTTGTCCAAGGACAGTTAGCTCATGGATGGAACGTAAGTTAGCATGGTTGAAAAGTCCTCCAGGAAATTCCAAATAAGTATGTAGATGTGTGTGGAACACATTAAAATACTTCATTACCTCCTGCAAGTGAAAAACAGTTCCATTAACTAAGCTAGCTAGCTTGTTTTGCTTGGGTTAGACCCTAAGAGAACGGACTAGAGAAATTTGGGGGTGGGATTTAAAGGGGCATACCCGTGCATTTCACTGCAATCCAGACAAAAGCTTAATAATTGTCTGCAGACATGTATTCAAGGCCCTGTAAGGCTACTTTTGTGGAGCCTGAATTTGGCTCTTCTTTTATTCATTTTAAAACTTAAATCCTTGGTTGCCATCAACTTTATGTGGCCTTGCACTTAACAATGCTTATATCCAATTAAGTCTGGCACTGCAGAATGTCGAGTCACATGACATTAAAATCTCACAGGAGCAAGACGGCAGTAGTTTTTGAAGTCAGGCGCTGCAATTGCTCACCATCCGCTGCACAAGCTACAGCACACCTTTATGACATCAGAATATCACCCTTATCCAACCTCCGATGACAAACATGACGCATGTGACGTTTGTGTTGTTTTTACAGACCTTCAGATCTGTTATTTCCTATGGTGATCTCGCCCAAAGGAGATGCCATGTATTTAATTTCATCCTTCTGGCAGCTCGTTTTTTTACATATAGCCACCATACACTGTTTTTATTTCCAGCAAAAAAGCTGTAAAAACATATTGGGTCAGGAGTTTTTTTATTTTAAAAGAAATAATGCGCCAGTAGGTCATAATCTTCTCTTTAGATATAAAAAGATCTAAAAAAAAAACTCTCTAATAGTGCATCTCTAGCAAGTTCACGCCGACCGTCAAGTCAAAAACAAACACATCCATCGATACAATTATGCTGATTTTAGGCTGTTTGCGTCATGCTAATTGGTAGATGTAGCTAACAAACACAGATGCTTATATTAGCCTCATAGCTCCAGTGCAAAACTACAGAAGCACCAAACATGTCTTGGTTTGCTTTTTGGGGTAAGGGGAGAAATGTGTACACTTTGACTTAGTAGTTTTAGTTTTAAATAAATCTAGTTTTAAATAAAAAGTAATTCACAGGCTCTAACCTAACCTTTTTTGTGTGTTGTGTTTGTTGAATCTGCAGGTCTGTTCATGGTGGTGGAACCTACATCAAACTCCACACTCTCGCTGTGATCCCCCGCCTGGCCAGCTGCTTCAGGCGTTCTGACTCCATCTACGTGTTTGTATAGCAGTGCTGAGAGACACTGGCCCAAATGAATCAGTCTTCTCAGAGTAATGGTGCTTATCTATGATCAGCTGATGGCTTACATCCTATTGAGTACTATTATAATAGCTAATTCTACATACTGATGAATTACATATATGAACAAGGTAGGATTAGCTTTATTGACTGTTAATGGTTCTTATAGCTGCCAACACGCATCACTGATAGGAACACAGGTAGTTAATGTTTGATGATACCACACTTGATCTTACTATTGCTCTAAACTATTCTAATCAACATGTATTGTTGAACCATTAAACATGTTGCCCATCATGGTGAGAGGGACCTGTTTATCATTAATTCCGACTGACCTACACCCATATACTTGCGCCTAATGATAGGAGGCATCCTTGAATTATTCATTACTAAAACATTGTCTTCATGTCAGTCATCCCTACATATCAAACCTATAACTGCCCGTTGCATTGTCGGAAACTCTTACAGCATTAGCTGAAGATGTCTGACTGTGGGGGAAGACATTACTGAGGGCTCTTGTCATTTGTTTTGAAATGGCAGAGCCATATTCCTTACAGACACAGCCAACCTGTACAGTCATTTTAAAGTTGTATAGTTCATATAAATATCAGTGTTGTTTAATGTAATACTGTTCTGGCTGGACAGTGTCTCTCAGCATGAACTGGAAAGGGAGAAACGAACACTTTCTATGCCGCAAGCGCCTCCAATGAGTTTTGATTGTACAGTATCCTACTGTGAAAATAAAGATAGTCTGTCCTTTTCAGTTGCATTGCTTTGTTTTTGTTACAGAAGGTACCATTTTGGTCATCTACCTTTTAATTCTGAGGAATGTTCAAAGTCTCCTTGGAAGTGGTCATGGCGGGCTCTGAGGAAGAAAGAAACACCATTTGTCAGAGGTGGAAAAGTATTGAAAAACTGTACTTTAAAGGGGAATTCCAAAATTTCATCAAGACATTAATAAAGTAATTCAGAGTGGTTTGACGTTAAATGCTCTGTGCTAGAGAAACTTGCCGAGTCACAGTGGTGGTCATAGGAACCAGAGTTTAATGCCTTTAAAAAGCTTCCTTACAGAAGGTTATTAATGACATTGTTACAGATATAACATGTATAATGCCTGAAGAATTGCTTTTTTTTCAATAGTTTTAAGAAGGTTTTAGCTTTTTCTTTCCATTCATAGTGGAGGGGTACATGCAGGGTGTGTAATACAAAATGGTCTCTAAAGAAACCTTATTTTTGCAGATTTACCCCTATTTTAGCTTCATCTACAGTCCATATAATATTCAAAAGACAAGTGTAGGTTCACTGGCGGTTTTGGATAGTAAATAAAATGGCTGTATTTGTGTTGTAGACATTGTGACTCCTGGTTCCCATCACCACTGTAAACACCTGAGTCAGTTTCTCTAGACTGAACCATATCACTACAAAAAAACTGAGTGACTTTGTTTACATCTCAATGCTTCCTTTATGTTTGTTTCTGGCAGTGGCAAACCTTAAAATGCAGCTTTAAATTTAACCCTAAAGATCTTATTTTCTGCAAGCTGCTACAGGCCATTGAGATTTGTAATGAGTACTTGGAAGATCTAAATGAAAATGTATAGAGTGAAACCGGTTGCTTTCTTTTGTAAATGTAATTGAATAAAATATTTCATTTCAATAATCCTTAAGTAAAGTACAAATCTTACAAAATAATACTTAAGTATAGTGACTAAGTACAGTCACTCCAGTGTTTTCCACCCCTGCCACTAGCAATGATTTATTACCATTTCCTCTGCTGCCTTGTAATAAGCCAAACATATTGGCATGCTAATCATCATTTTAGGTTCCTGTCATTCCTGAAGCCTGAACTCTAGAGTGTGCATTATGTTTCAGTGCGGTTCCTTGCTTGCTGGATAGATGAATTAAATTCCATTTCAACAGGGTTCAATAGAGACTGACAGCACATGCAGAATGAGCAATTAGCATGAGGAGAATTTCAAATGTAGAGCATCTGAAGCCTGATATTCAGCTGAGAAATGTTCCAGCGATCTTCCTCCATGCTCTCTGAGGGGAGGTTTTACCAACATACCCGCCAAGGTTATGTCTCTCCATGTCTGTTCTACAGCCTTGGAGCAGCTTCATTTTCTCTCATAAAGCTTGCATTATCATTTTAAGAGGAATTTCTCATTTTGCCTGCAGCAGAACGTGGATAATTTCCTGTCCAGCTCTGATGGCTGTAAAACCAAGACAAAAAAGACAGATCTGTTTCTCTGAATTTAATATAGGAACTGTTGGTCCCTTTTCTATGTATATTTAATTAAAACCAGAAAGAGATAAATCCAGGGATTATGTATACTTCAGTGATGAAGGAAGATGTTCTGAAAATTTCAGTTGTACACAAGATCTCGAGAGACATGGGATGTATAACCAGGGTTGGGCAAAATACTTAAAGTATTAATGGTTGAATACTGAATACACTGTTCTAAATGTATTCAGTAACATATTCCATTACAAAGCATAAAGTAACATATTCAGTCCACTACTGCTCCCACAGTGCCCTAAGCAGAGTCCAATATCTTACTGATGCTAAACTTAGGATTTACAGACATGTCCACTACTGGGGAGATTATCATTGTGATCATCTCTCAAAAGAGCTCAGCAACAGTGAGATTAATAACTGATCGTCACATTGATTTATCAGTCTACTTGGGCTTTAGCAGAGCTCAGTGACACAGATTAATGACTGATCATCACATTGATTTATCAGTCTACTCAGGCTTTAGCACAGCTTAGTAACACTGAGATTAATAACTGATCTTCACATTGATTTATCAGTCTACTCAGGCTTTAGCACAGCTTAGTAACACTGAGATTAATAACTGATCTTCACATTGATTTATCAGTCTACTCAGGCTTTAGTAGAGCTCAGTAACACAGATTAATAACTGATCATCACATTGATCTATCAGTCTACTCTGGCTTTAGCAGAGCTCAGTAACACTGAGATTAATAACTAATCACATTGATTTATCAGTCTACTCAGGCTTTAGTAGAGCTCAGTAACACTGAGATTAATAACTGATCTTCACATTGATTTATCAGTCTACTCAGGCTTTAGCAGAGCTCAATAACACTGAGATTAATAACTGATCATCACATTGATTTATCAGTCTACTCAGGCTTTAGCAGAGCTCATTAATACTGAGATTAAATCAGCTGTAGATTTTCAAAAGGTTCTCCCACCTTCAAGATAAGTCATCTAAAAGGGCTTTTCCAATTTTTTGAACTAGACTTTGCTCACAACACTGTAGGAAGAAAGTTGGCAAGTTTACAACCAACATAGTGATGGATGGAATTTTCATTTTCTCATATGGGAATCTGATATATGCACATATATCATGAAGGGTGAGGAATATATTTTAAAATATGTGTACATATATATGGACGTCAAATAATGGACACATGTATAAAATATGGATCGTATGTTTATGTCTGTTAGATGGTTGAATACATTCCAGTATAGTTATAATTGTAACTATTATCTGTTTGCTTTTGAATAATTGTTTAAATGTGTCACAGAGCAATATTTTCATTCATGTTTGAATGATTTTACTGCATAGCTTCCAATGTGCATGTTTTTAGAGTTTAGTTACATAGCGACAAAGAAAATGCAAACAAAACACCTTACATTATATTACAAAGTTAGCATATGAGTAATACATGCCATCCATATATGAATAACGTTTCCTATCACATACTGTGTTATAAATAAATGCTTGTAAATGTTGATATATATCCCATATTCAAAAATGGCCAATTTCAAATAAGTTGACACGTCACATACATGTCCACAAGTCGGATATATAAGGGAAAGCCATACATGCCAATATATATATTTTTTAATTTATATATTGCTTAATACCAGATTTCCATATGGATTCCCCTTTTCAATGCTGCGACATTCATTTTAAATGGGGTAAACGTAAAAACGTAAGCCTTCCTTTCTCCAATTCCATAGCCACCTTACTGTTTCCATCTTGTTTGGCTGAGAGATACTGAGCTGATCAAGACATCGTGAACTGAAGGCAACAAGAAAGGTACAAATAGTCTAATTACACACAAAACTGCATACATTTCTCAGGTTATAATAACTCCAGGCCCAATGCTGACCATTATTTGGCTATGTTGCACCAATAGCACCGCATGCACTAGTAGCTTTGGAAATTCTGGTGCCATTCGCAAGTTTTTTGGAAAAGTGGGTCATTTCAGATAAATGTCTTTCATGAAAACAATTACAAGAAAAATGTAGGATATGGGCCCTTTAAAATGACTCACTATAAAAACAAATGTGCTAGCATTAAACAGCAGACTGCAGGAGAGCACAGCTACAGAGTAGAAACCAGAGAACTTGTAGAGATGAGAATTACCACTCTGTCATGTCTTCTGGGTTTCTCAAACGCCAGAGGGCGCTCCCGAGCGAGTCCAAAATGGGTTAATTTGAGCGAAACACAGTTTATAAACGCTTAAACATTTTGAATATAAAATAATACATTCATTTTCCAAACACAGGACAGCATAAAACATTTTAACACTTGGTGTTATATTTTTAAGAGCTTTTAAACTCGAGTTATAGACGTTTAAAATGGCGCCTCATTTACGTCCATGACGTCAGTGAGCGCAAACAGCCAGTGAGCTGCACCGTTTGCCAACCAATCAGCGCTCAGTGTCAGTAATGGTAGTCCTGCTGCCCAAAACCCGTTTACTGTAGAAAAAAGTAAACATACAGGTAAGTTTTCTTTGCTTTTTAAGTAAAATACATTCTTATACTTTCTAAAATTAAAGGAAAGTTCTGGGCTATTTTAACTTTTTGTTTTTAGCTGTTCAGCTCTTTTCACATTCATTGAGGACTCTCTCGCAGGCGCTATCTGGCATTTTGCCGTCCTGTTTTGATTTAACAGAGGAAATAGGAAGAGGTCAGGCTCCTAATAAACTGGCTCTGATAGAAACCAGAGTTTGTGCTGATCCAGTTCAGTTCCTGTACTGCATAAGGTGTCCAGCTGAATGCTGGTTGCCATGCAATATGATCTATTTCCACAGATTTGGTCTGAGTATTCACTTTAACTGAGAGATGCCAGGCAACTGCAAACTTGTCCAACCTGCTGAACGAGGCCATGGTGTGAAAACCAAATGTACTCACGTGTCATCTTTCTTGCTTTGGTCCTAAACAGAGAGGACAGCCAAAGCTTCATATTCTGGGTTTGTTATGTAACCTCACAAAGACTCAGTGATCCTTATCTGCTCTGCTCTCAGGTTGCTTCTGGTTCACTGACCGCTTTAGATCTGTTTGTCAGGACTGGAAATCCAAACATAAGGCTGTAGTGTGAGGTTTTATGGTGAAGGAACCTTTACAACGTGCCTTAGATTTCTAAACGTGCAAATGGTATTAAGGATCTCGGTGAGCCACTGCGCATGCGCGGAGAAGCAGCCGTAGTCAGAGATTCTCTGAGATAGGAAATTAATTAATAACATAACATTATTACTGCTACACTGAAATACTGACGGTTAGAAACTATAGCTGTTAGTTATGCATGTATCTGCACAGCAAAGAAGTGTTTGTGCCACTGCTGTAGCTTAACATAACAGCATTTAGAGATGCCAACAGACATTTTTCTGGCTCTCTGCCTCTGATACCGTCTGCTACAAGCTGCGGTGTAGCAAGACTGTGAAATAAATGGGAGAAGAGCACAGTCTGGATGTTTGTTGGATTGCCAGTTGGTTAAATGTGTGCTACTTTGCCCTGTTTCAGCTCATTTTCTGGAATAAATCTATGAAATCTCTATCAGCAAAGCAGGTTCGAGACGAGTAAGCTAGCAAGCTAAGCTAGCTAAATCGCGGAGATTCATGAGCTGTTTGGATCGTCACTTAAGTATTTATGAAGAGAAACAACACACAGCATACCATTTTCAGTTATTTTAATGTTTAAAAGTACAGCATACAGGTATGTACCAGTCATTTATCACATACTTGTCCACAGTATTTTATTTATTTGTGGATTATACTGTCTCCGTTTGATGATATAAGAAAACGATTTTCTGAGACGCTAGCGCAGTGCCGTAAATGATCCCTAACTGTCGCAACTCCATGTGCTGTTACTTCTCTCGCAAAACCTTTGTTTTTGTCGTATTAGCGATGACGTAGCTCGATAAAAAATGGACATGTAGTAGAAAACATGTTGAAGATGAACGACAGGACAGTCAAATTGTTATACTACGATCTACGCCCACAAAACAGCAGTTTGTTCGGGGTACTCAGGCGTTTTTTCCGTTTACTTCCATTCACTCACTCAGAGTCTCTGCACCGTCTCCCCCCTGAGGGAGGGTCTCCGGCCGCGTGCGTTATTGGAATTAAACCCGAATGTGCTCATTTTACGACACAAAATTTACCCTTCATTTAATCCGTTAAAGTGATGATTTATGAGTTACTTGATGAACTACTGGGGTGAAATGGGACCTGAGCAGCCTGGGCAGTTATGCTAGAACTGACCAATGAGAGCAAAAGGGGCGGGGCTTGTTTCTCATTCCCAAAAGTTTTTAGAACTGTGGAAAGCCGAGAGGACTTGGGTCGACATCCTTTCACACTTTTTAAGGTGGACTAACAGGACTAACAGTGCTCTCGTCATGTATCGCAGTCCCTGTAAGTTGACCAGGCTGGCTCTTGTCCTCATTTGCTGCATAACAGGTAAGAGTTTCACCAGCACTTTTTAAACTTCCTCATCTAGAACCACTTCTTAGATCTGCATTCTCTTTGGAGCTGTGTGCAAATGTATTTAAAGGTTAGATGTAATAGAACTATGATATGTACTTTCCAAATGAATCTGTACTTCATACCTATGTAACGTTTACTCATTTAAAGGGAAATTCCACCGATTTTCAAAAAAAAAGTGTGTACATCAGTGGTTGAGCTGGAAACAGTCATTCAGAGTGGTTTGATGTGAAATGTTCCATTGCAGAGAAACCTACCAAGTTGAGTTTATTTACAATGGAAGAGATGGGAACCAGGAGTTGTAGCCATTTTTAGCATCTAAAAATGGCCAGTGAACCTACTTATGTCTTTTAAATGTGACATTAATGAAGGAAAATTGGGATAAATCTGAAGTTTTCTTTGGGTACATTGCCTTACAAAGCCCTGCATGTATTCCTCTGTCATGAATCAATTATATATATATTTCTAGAGAGGTTCTAGAGAAACTTGCCAGCACAGAATTGTTCACAGTGGTGGTGAATGGAACCAGACGTCTGAAGAGTTTAATGCCTCTGAAAGTTCACTCTCAGAGATTTACTTGAAATGATAATGAATACTCTGCATGACATTTGAGACATTTTTGGCAGAGAGGTACATGCAAGGTGGATAGTGGTTCACTGGTGGTTTTGGATAGTAAATAAAATGACTATATTTGTGTTGTAGTCATAGTGACCCCTGGTTCCTCTCACCACCGCTGTAAAGAAATCTGAGTTGGTTCACTCAATGAACCATTTCACATCAAACCACTCAGAATGACTTTGTTTAGATTTCAACCACTGAATTCTGCAGAAATTCTGAATCTTTCAGTGGAATTCCCCTTTAATAATAGTGACATTGACCCCATTTTTAAAAAGCACTTGCCATGTGAAGATACTCTATAGGGGCTGCTGTATTGTATTAGCTCTTATGTACAGAAAACCAGTTAGTCTTGTACGGACTCTGATCCAACATGCAGGATATGTGGGGAAAAAGTAAAAACACACTGATGCATCCGGAGGTGGTGATTCAGCTGTATTGTTTGGAATGTTAGAATTGATTACAATCAAAGAAAATTAGGCATACACAGTGATATTGGTATTGGCAGATTGCTTTACAAAGATGTAACGGCCTAAGACAGATGTTTAGTTTTGACCTATATTTCAAATCGATACTTGTTGATGTATTTATTGTACTATGGAAGAGCAGAATATTTAGGTGACGCTGGGTTTTTGAGCCAATCTCTGCATTTTATTCATTTTACTGCATTTCTATTGTAAGACCAATAGAATCCAGGCAGCCCCATATCCTGTATTGTATTAATGTTTATGCATCAGGGTCAGCATGTATGCACAGAAAAAAATCAGATATTAAATTTTTGTAAGTGAAAATAAGTTAACTCATTGCATAAAGTGTGGGATATTTTCAGACAAAAATTCCAAATTAAAAGCTTGGTTTGTTGCTTTTTATTGTTGTCAGTGTACTACATCAAACATCATATACTGCTCTTCTTTTCCATCCACAGGCTGTGATTGCGATCTAGTCGTCTTACCCACTGGACCTACCCTGATCAACGCTTTTGTCGGCCACAACGTGACACTCGGTGTGTCCATTAGCGGAGTTAGCGCACCTATTGTATCATGGACGAACGGGACGCTAACTTTAGCTACGTGGACTTTGGGCTCTAGCACTTCTCCTGTCATCGCTCCTGAATCCCAGGGAGTGTTATCAGTAGACCAGAGTGGTTCCCTTGTGTTCTGGAACGTTCCACTCAGCTACAACGGAACTTACACAGTGACAGTAACGAAGGTCGGGGCTCGTGTGGCGTATGTGTACTTTACTCTCTTGGTGTACGGTGAGTGAAAATTGAGATATTGTGTAGTAGCTGGAGCCAGGAGTCAGACCACAGTATACACTCTTCAAAGGATGGTTCTTCAAGGGTTCTTTAGTAAAGGTAATGGTTCTGTTTAGAACCATGAATTCTATATAGAACCATTTCCTGCTTAAATGCTTATTTGCATGATGAAATTTTTATTCAGATTGATGGAAAATGTGTTGTATGTGGTTGTATATGTTAAAGTGAGGAGAATTGCCACTCAAAATGCCTTCTGGGTTTGTCGGACACTGGAAAATGCACAAATTTTCTAATCACACTTATTTTCTAAATATTTCAGCAATGCTGTTTATATATTTGAACGCTTTTAATACCAGTAAGTTCAAAGCGCTTTACTCAGCCAATAAGCTGAGCAGCTCACCAGCTAAGCAGCACTGCTTGCGTCCTACTGCCAAAAACCTGATTTACTATAAAAAAAAAGAAAAGATAGTGGAGATACTACACTCCTGGGCCAAGCCCAAAATGGCAAAACATTAAGCTTTCAGTAGTCTTAACAATAAATCATTAAACAAATAGGTAAAATAAGTTAATATCAAATAGCTGGCGATGGACGCAGTCGAGCACAACTATCTACACGTTTTGGACACGATTTGTAGTTGCTGAACTAAGTAATTATACAGCAGTTACTCCTGTTTTGGTCTCAGAACATACCAGAATTTCATCACTACTAAATGGGAAATGTTCTAAATAGGAATGATGCCACTGGACCGCTCTACAGGGGATTGGTATTTTTTTGATAATCTGTTTCTGATTTTCTGTCTCATCAACATTGTTGCCGACTAATCAACGTTGTCAGCCAATCATTTACTGTGCTTGAAGCACAGCGACCTATAGATTTTAATATACAGTGGTGACCGAACTGTCCGTGACTGACACAGACTAGCCAGTAAAATCTGTCGGTAAGAATGCAGAGATAGCCAGCTCACTGACCTTTAGTGCTAACTCTGACTTTCTTTTATCCTCTGCCTTCACAGAGAGCATCATGGATGTTTCTTTAAACACGGGTCTGCAGGATGCTGTTGAGGGAGGCCCTACGTTCACTCTGTCTTACAGCTCCAAGCAAGGACAGGCCACAGGATCACAGTGGTACTTTAACAGCTTGGCAGTGGAAGGCCCTCGGTACTCAATAACAGGGAAGAGTCTGACCATAAGGACACCAAGCCGCAATGACACGGGCCAATACGAGGTGATCCTCACCAACCCTTTCAGCAGAGCAACACAACAGAGAAACATCACAGTGCTGTGTAAGTGTCTGTTTGGTCATTTTTCACTTTGAATCAGGGGTCCAGCTTTAGCCTTGGAAAGCTACCACACTATACTACACTGCCTCTGTTTTACCTTACCTTACACTGTTTACATGTAGCCTGATATTTGTTAATAATCCCAAAAGCTCAATGGGAATAGAGTACGTCTATGTAAACACCCCACTCAGAATAGGCTAGTCCAATTGAGGCCACTTGGAAAATAATTTCTATCCGATTGAACGAGTAAATAATCCATGAAATAGAAGAATAATAGCCGTGTAAACGCCTGTATCCGATTACATTCCCAATCGGAAAGTTTAAGCACATTCTGCGCATGTGCGTCACGTCATAGCAAAAGTTTATAATGTTCAACATGGTGGAGCAGAAACTGGTCTGCAGAGGAGACACAGTTTATGCTTTGAGCTTTAGAAGACTGCGGAGGGACAGGCGTCCAGTGTCTCAGAACCTGACGTCTTCCTCTCGCCCTTCTTTAATAATAATTTTGGATCGGGTTACTTGTAGTGTGCATGTAAACAGAGATTTTCCATCAGATTGTTGAGTAGAGTGAGCATAAAAACACCTCAGTCTTAATGTGTAATAGGAATATATTCAGTCGGATTGGCAAAAATCTTTGGACGTAAACACAGCCGATGTTGTAGTCTTTGAAAAGTTCCTCCCTCCAACACACACCAGGTAAGTTTATATGAATTTTTATGAATATCATAGATTGTGTAATGCTTATAATACTCAAAATACCTTACCATGTGACTTTATTGACTTTATTACCTTGTTTTTAAGACCCTAATTCTCTTTCACCTGTTGCCACAAATAGCATGTGTTCAAAGGAATGCATCCCCCAGGAGGTTGCCATGGCTGACATTGAATAGAGTCTAGTGGGGACCACTTAGCACGATAGTATTAGCTTAATGCTAACCACACCTACTAGCTTTCATTCATCTTTAGCCACTCTAGCATGTCTTGGTAAAACTACTCCTTTCAACAGTAGGTCATTTCAGGTGCTTTTTTCATTGCCTTCCTCTTTGGCTGCCTTTAGATGGGCCAGATCAGCCGGTTCTGGAGGTCAGTCCAACAAAAGCGGCCTTTGTTTCCGGAGAGACTCTTTCGCTGTCCTGCCGAGCTGAAGGGGAACCTGCCCCCTCGGCCTCCTGGGTTTTTAATGGACAGGCTCTTCCTACCTCCTCTACTGGAATGCTCAAACTGACTGATGTGCAGACAAGCCAAAGTGGGATATACACGTGTGTGTTAGTTAACACGAAGACCAGCAACCGTCTTGAGAGGAGCATCACCATAGAGGTCCGAGGTAGGACTGGGTGAAAATTGAAACTGATTGCCCAAATATTAAAAATATACAAAATACAGTAAACTGGGGCTGTATGTGAAATTCAGATAATATCAAAGCAGTGATTTATAAATGCATTTTGAACTGTATTTAAACAAAAGCAGGGCAAAGACAAGATAAGTAATATTTTATTTCATCAGCTTCATTGTTTTCTTTGTAAATATACGCTTATTCTGAAATTGATGCCTGTAACACGTTCCAAAAATGTTGTGAAATGTTAACACAACAACATTTTTAACATATGATGCAGCCATGCTTAGGTATAAGCATAAGCATCAAAACATAATCCAGCAGTTTAGGAACGATGGGCCTCATTTACACTCAATCAAGTTTTTTCTTAAGAATTAATCCTAAAAAAGAAAACACTGGTGAATGTCAGAATCTTTGTGAAAACTGCGTAACGCTTTCTATGAATACTATGCCTATGAGCATCTGTAAACATTCATTAAATGTTATAGTGCATTATAAACATGACTATGAATATGTATAAAAATAAATTATGCTTTATAGCCATGTTTATTAAGGCAATAAGCCACGACAGGCTGTGCGGTACTGTGATTTTATCACAGGAACACTGTTCTTAGTCACGACACGAAGCGGAGAGCCTAAAACTCCCTTCCCTGTGATAAAATCGCAGTAACGCATGGCCTCAAGTGGCTTATTGCTTTTATAAAACGGCAACCAACATAAAATACAATAAAATACACAATTTTTTTTATTATTGTTTTTATATTAATAATTTGAAAAAAATCAACAATAAACAAGTATCCCGCCAAGAAATGTAGTTCCTTTAGAATTTGGTATCGTTGCCAAGCAGCCATGGACTGAATGAGGAAAACGTTCGGTCACTTTTATGTCTTTTACTCTCTGTGGTGTAAAATAAGCTCCCCGGACAAAAAATTAGTCATCTTGTGTCTTTATGGTGGTAGTAACTTCAGGCTCCTGCAGATGGTGTTGTACAAGGATGATCGGGCTGTAAATACCTGTGGGGTGTGCCGGGTCCACCAGCAGTGGCAGAAATCCCAGTCTACAGAAAATTCTTGTCAGAATTGTGGCCAAAAGACAAAACTACGGCTCACGGCTTGTGAATAAAAATGGCTTCGCTTCCAGGCAAGAATTACTGCTAGAAGTCAATGCACGTCCTTCACAACCAACTTCTGAAAGAACACTTTGCAGGGAACTGCATACCATATGGAGCAGAGTGTCACTTCTGCTCACAAAGTCGCCCAGTTACAGTGGGCGAAGAGACACAAACACTGGACTGTTCATGATTGGCAACGTGTTATCAGGTCAGATGAATCTTGTTTCTGCTTGTATGTGAATGATGCTGGGCGTCATGTTCATCGTAGAGATCAGGAAGCCTTCAGTAAGTGCGTGCAAGGTGTGGTTCAAGCTGGAGGAGCTCTGCGATGTTCTCAGGGTCCCTTAATTATGCGGAAATGGGTCCTTTGGTTGAGGTGATGGGGAATTTAAACCACAGTGCCTACATTGACCTGCTGGACAACCAGGTTTTGCCTTTTGCTCGTCATCTAACTGAGGAACATAACATTCCTATCCCAGTATTCCAAGATGACCATTCTCGCATTCACAGGACTGCAAATGTGACTGATTGGCATGATGAACATAGGGAGTATTTACACATCTGGACTGGCCCTCAAAATCCCCAGATTTGAATCCTCTTAAAAAACTGTGGGACTACCTGGAACAACGAGTGAGATGCCAGGGAAGGCGTCCACGAAATCTGGCCGAAATGCACAATTTGGCCAGAAAGAGTGGCTGAACACTGATGTCACCTACATCCAGAAACTTGTCCAGTCCATGTCAAATCAAATCACAGCTGTTATTCATGCTCGTGGAGGAATTCTATTAGGTATGTTTCAGTCACAGGTGACTAAATTTTTGTCTGGTGAGATGCACATTATGAGAAGATTCAAGGAATATAAAGAGATCTCTGTGTATAAAGCGCAAAACTGAAAACCCCATTTTGACACACACTCAGTTCAATAGCAGTGCTGCACTGAAAAAACAGCCATCAATTTTAATTCTGCATTTCACATACTGTGCACCTGCACTGCCTTATTAGGCTTTGCTCTGCTTTCTATTTAATAATACTCGTGAATCATGTGTGAGTACATGTTTACAGACATTTAATATAGTAACCCTTGAGAATTGTAATGGTAGTGTATATAAATCAGCTTTCAATGATATCGTTTTCAGATCATAATCATGAAATGCAATATATGGTGCTGCACTGTTTTTCACTGTTGATGTGCTGAGGCAGTGAAGATGATGCCTGTCTGTTGTGCTTGTAAACACTGTGAGCTGGTTGAGGTGGTTTCAGTGCTGATTCAGACAGTAAATGGAGAGAAGTCATGTTTTTTTCAGGTGTTTCTTTTGTGGCTTTGCTTGTTCTGTAACGTAAAGCCGAGAAACACTTTTAGAAGGTTTAGAATACTTTTATAGCCCATCTGTTTGTTTAACTATTTCCAAACCTCTCCAGTATTATTTGTAGTTATCATCCATTACTTGGTTCATCTCATGTCAAACACAAGGCCCGCAGGCCAAGTTAGGCCCGTGGCAAAATCCTATGCGGCTCTATAAGGATCTATTAATATTAGCCCATTTCACCATGAGCTGCACTACAGTTCTCAGCATGCACTGCAACGTAATGTGTGCTCCCACCCCCTCCCCAAGAGCGATCTGTGGGAGAGCACCACAAAAAAAAGGTTCCATGTGTCTAGTTCAAGCGAATGGGTAGTTTTAAAAAACCTACTGTACACTGGGGACATTTAAAGAGGTTTCACAGTTAGCTGCAGCTAATGTAGTCTGTTGTTGTAGTTTTGGCATATTTTGGCCAATCCTATTTCTTATTTTTACCCCAATCCTTTGTTTTCGAGTGTCACCTTGCCCCTTGGAACTGAGTTATAAGGGGTAGTGGTTGAAATCTGCCCCTATGAAATGGGACCCTCAAATAAAGAAGAACGTTGCTTCATTAACAGGCTACTAGTGCTGCTCTGCAGGCGACCCTGCCAGTCTGCAGTGACAGCAGAGGAGGGTAAAGTTCAGCAACCTCACTGCTGGTCTTTAGTTACATTTAGGGAATCAAATGCCTTCAAAGTGTGACAATTTTTGATTATCACCCACCCCTAAGTCTGCGGTGATATGAAGCTGAAGTCATTCACCAGCTTCTCATTCGTATTTTCCTGTTCTACCTTAAATGGCTCAGCAGTTACATTCTGGCGCTTCAGGTATCAGAACTGCTGTACTATTTAAGGTGGAACAGAAAATTTAGCTAGCTAGCTACCAAGACATCAGCATATTACTAGTGCTTTTTATGCTTCTTATGAAAAAAAAGACTATAATATATGGAAACGACATTAAACTAAGACAATACAAGGATTATTGTAATTTTTGACAGAGGAAATACATTTGTGGGTTTCTTTGGTCGCTTGTTCAGCCATCTTGCCTTTTAATTTTTTCTCATAACACTCTGTTTGGAGCGTGCCTCTGAAAACCTCAGTTTGGAGGGCCATGTAGCCCTACACTTGACCCTACTTCTCTGTCTTAACAAAAATCAGGACCCCTAGGTGTGAACGCTCAGAACGAAGGGATAGGGCTAAGTGGTAGGGGCAAGGGGTGAAATGGGATTGGGCCTTTGAATAAACAATGGCCAGTTGAGGTCACACAGCTGATCTAATCAATACGTCATTGTTTTAAACCTGGTGAGCTTGTGATGAAATTTAAATCTTTGTTATGGCTGGAAGCATCGAGGAGAAATCTGGAAGCAAACCAGCTGCCAAGATATCAACCACTTTTTATGAACTACACTCTTGGTAAAAAAGGCTTCTGTATAGAACTGAAATAGGGGGACCCTTTTTGGTGCTATATAGAACCATTTTTAAAAGAGTTCTTTAAAGAACTAATAAATTGTAATACTAATAAACTGTATAACTGGTTTTCCCATTGCTGAGAAGAACCGATGTATGCATTCACATGGTTTTTTGGGTGTTCATGGCTCTATATTCTTAAAAATAATTCTTCAGTAAAGAAAACGGTTCTATACAGAACTAAGAACACACAAAGAACCATTTGCGTGATCAGATGGTTCTTTGCATTGTATAAGCGTTCTTCAAATTGATGGAGAATATGCTGCAGGTGGTACCATATATAGAGAAAAGAGTTTTATATATTACCAAAAAGGTTCTTCTATTATTAGAAGCATGAAATGGTTCTATACAGAACTCACAGTTCTAAGTAGAACCTTTGGCTTTATAAAAAGATGGTTCTTTAGTAAAGAAAATGGTTCTATATAGAACTATAAACACTCAAAGACCCCTTTGCATGATTAAAGTGTTCACCGCATCATCAATGAGTTCTTCAGATCGATGGAGAAAGTGCTAGAGATGGTTCTATGTAGAACATTTTTGAAAAGGGTTCTGTATAACACCCGACAGGATTCTTCTATTGTTACAACACTTTTTAAAAATGTTCTTCAAGGGTTTAGTAAAAAAAATGGTTCTAAATAGAACCACGAACATTCAAAGAACCCTGTGCATGATTAAGGGTTCTTTAGATTGTAAATGGGTTCTTTAGATTGTTAAATGTGTTGTAGATGGCTCTTTTGAAAAGGGTTCTATATAGCACCAACAGCACCACTCAAATGATTTGCATCATGAAGGGGTTCTTCAGATTGCTGGCAAATGTGCATGAATGTGCTATAGATGGTTCTATATTGAACCTTTTTGAAAAGAGATCTATATAGCACCCAAAAGGGTTCTTCTGTTGTTACAAGCTTGACATTGTAACAATAGAGGAATCCTTTTTAGGTGCTATATAGAACCATTTTCAAAAAGTCTCTATATAGAACCATAGACAACACATTCTCCATCAATCTGAATAACGCTTTCACGATCATGCAAAGGGTTCTTTGAGTGTTCATGGTTTTATATTCAACCATTGTCTTTACTAAAGAACCCTTGAAGAACCATTTTTTAACAGTGTAGATTACTCTGAGATATGAGAATAAGTTGATGAAGACATAATGCCCTTATGAATAGTTTTGAATAATTTAAATGTAAAAATCACAATTTTCAAATCAAAAAGAGCTGCAACTTTAATTCTGTCCTATATTATTCCAAGTTGTCTCAAAAGTGGTGAGTGGAGAAGTGCATCCTTTGTTAAACCGAGCTTGTGAGCTAGCATTCAGCCAGAAGAAGAGGTTAAAACACAAGTTAATAAAATAAGATAAAGGCATAACAGGCCGACATCCAGTCAGCTGCTCTGTGTATTTGTCTGTATTCTGTAGGCCTGAGTGGCTCAGCTATTGCGGGTATAGCTGCTGGAATCCCCTGCGGTTTCCTCCTGCTGCTCTTTTTCCTGGGCCTCATCGCTCTGTGTTACTTCTGTTATAAAAAGAAAGGTATGCAGTGTCTCTTCTCGTCCACCTACACTACCGGTCAAAAGTTTGGACATCTCTACTCATAGTAAGAAATGAGAAAAACCCTTCTATGTTCCATATTTTAGCATAATAGTGAACTCATCAAAACTATCAAATTACAGATGGAATTATACACACACCCCCGCCCCAAATAAATAAATAAACAAATCCAAACAATCTTCTGTTTTAGAGAGTCAGTTCAAGCATAGCCCCCCTTCGTCTTAATACACACTCTTGATTGTTCTCTCAGGCAGCTTCATGAGGAGCCAGCTGAGATACCTTTCCAGCCAGACTGAAGAAATTACACACATCCTGAAATCATGTTGCTGAAAAACACTTGATGGAGGGTGTTTTTAAAAACTACATTTTTACATATTTTTTTTTATGTACAATGTTTTTTTTTTGTGGGGGGTCTTTTTTATTCATCCGCTTCATTATTCATATTCAATTTAATAAAATTGCTTTTTCCAATCAGTTAGTGTACCCAAACATTTGACTAGCAGTATATACTGTCATGCAAGTTTGAAAAGTTTTTGATCTTATTGTCTTAAGATAATTTGCTGTATATATCGCTGCTGTCGGAAGAAGAAAACCTCGTAATGATAACTTTACAGGAGAAGGAAAAAACATGCTTTACTTTTAATGTAAGTCAATGGAACCAGACGTTTTTCCAGGTTGTTTTGGGTCATTTTAGTCCATTCATCATGAAATTTACACATTATGTAAAGAGTAATAGCTATTTTTAAATTATGTCTCTCTCTCAAAAAAGGTTTTCTTCTGACAGCAGCGGTGTGTGTGTGTGTGTGTGTGTGTGTGTGTGTGGGTGTGTGTGTGTGTGTGTGTGTGTCAGCACAAGTCTTTTTACTGGTTTATTGTTTATTGTCCCTCTACAGATCGAAATCCCAGGTATCCTGTATCTAGAGCAGTGGAGAAAGTAAGTTCTCATCAAAAAATGCTAATGCTGTTAATAATAAATAAAAGCTGACTGTTAGCTTTTCTTAGGCCTAATTAACACAGTCTACCTCTGGGTGGCGTGAATGATGCAGCAGTGTGAGTGCAACAGCTCGAACACACTGGCCTTTCATACGTACAGCATATGTGCTGCAGAGCTGCAAGAAAGTTATACAGACATTCCTTTATCCAGACGGACAAATGGTCACAATAGTCACTCTGTACATGGTGTGTTTCTTTATCCTCGACAGCATTCTGACTTGTGATTAGTTTCAAGACTGGTAAACCTAATGGGAAATCTGTTTGCAGCACGGAATGTTCAACTAGTATTTTATAATGAATTGAATTAAATAAAAAAAGTAGCATTTTTAAGTTTGTATACAGTTTTCTGTTTCACTTTCATTGATTTTCATGCTTATTTCAGTGTATTGTGATAAAATACACTGAGAAAATGTGGCCTGTGCAAAGGTTTTATACTTTGTGTAGTAGTGGGCAATATTCTGGTTCACCTGCTTGAAATTCTTTTTAAGGAATTACTTTTGTCAATGCTGTTAATTGCAAATAATCCAATGTAAAAAAATACAGTGCAAAACATGCTGATTCTCTCACCTCTTGCGTAGCAAGTTGCAGCCTGAGATGTTAGTCAAGTTTTTTCAAAGGAGTGATATCAGATTGTAATGAGTTAATTAGTTAACTGGGGGAAAAAGAGAGTGGAAGGAAAAGCCCGTCTCTTGGGGTTAACAGTTAGCCAGTAGCCTTTACGTGTGCACCACATATGGCGCTTCCTGCTCATCCAGCTGCATTGGGCGACGCCGCGGTCTCTGCCTACAAGCCGAGAAGCTCCGCAACTTCTCAGCTAAATCTGATTATGTGAACAGCTGTAATATATTTAATAAATTCCAGTCGTAGATTAAAACTTAAATGTGGCAGTATGAAAAGGTGTAGTGGTGCTTCATGTGTCTTGTGTATTGTATAAGTATTAACTGTCATTTGCTCTCCCAACAGGCTGTGAACAAACAACCAGATCTGACCATACCACATAAACTACTGACCAACGGGTTTAAACTGCCGCCTGACTATAATCTCCTCCGACTCCAGGTTTTGTATTTCACCTCAGCCTGTTCCCTCGTTTAGCTTCCTTTATGACTGCTTGTGTACTTGAAGCAATGTACTGTGAAAATGTTTAGGCACCTCTGGTCATTTGACATGTTTTGAAAATAAGAAAACAGAGAACACACGTTAAAATGCACAATTACTATTTATTTGATGAATTTAATATCTTAGAAGAAAAAAAAATAAAACAGAAAACGTGGCCTGTGCAGAGTTTTATATTTTATGTAGTAGTGGGCGATATACGGGTTCGTCTGCTTGAAATTCTTTTTAACCCCTGTGTGGTGTTGGGGTCTGTGTGACTCATTTTCAGTGTTTACCAAAAGAAAAAAAAGATGTGATTTATTTCAACCTCAGATTCCTCGGCCTTTGCTCATTTTCTGTGAGGAACATATAAAATAACACAGTTTCAGTGACTTCACTCTGTTCACCCCCTACAAATTTATGTTACACATGTGGTGTTGGGTGAACCCACTGTGTCCCCTCACCCTGTTCTCCTCCTACATGGCCTGCTGTTAGTGTGTGTGTATGTGTGTTTATATATGTGTGCGTGTGTGTGAGAAAGGAGAACCCTATGCTGGCCACTTGTGATTTAATAAACATCTGATATTTTTACATACATTTTTATGGCTGTATTGACTTTAAAAAACAATAATGCGGTGGGTCCACCAGACCACTGAGTAACAACAACATCAACACCACACAAGGGTTAAGGTATTAGTTTTGCTATTACCAATATATCAGTATCATAACATGCTGATTCCTCTCACCTCTTGCGTAGCAAGTTGCAGCCTGAGATAAGTTAGTCCCAGTTTATTCAAAGGAGCGATATCAGATTGTAGTGAGTTAATTAGTTAGCTAGGGAAAAAGAGAGTGGAAGGAAAAGCCCGTTTCTTTGGGTTAACAATTAGCCCCCCCCCCCACAGCGCTCAGCCAGCTGCTTCAGGCGATGCTGCAGTCTCGGTCTACAAGCCGAGAGGCTCCGCAGCTTCTCAGCTAAAACTGATTGTGTGAAGTGATTCACAGTGGTTTGGTGTGAAATGGTTGATTGTAGAGACTCAGATTTCTTTACAGTGGTGGTGATGGGAACCAGGGGTCACCATGACTACAACATACATATAGCCATTTTATTTACTATCCAAACCCACCAGTGAATCTACATGAATCTTCTGAGTCTTTATTTGGAATGTTGATAATGACAAAATAGCGGTAAATCTGAACAAAATAAGCTTTCTTTGGGGCTGTTTTGCCTCACAACACCCTACATGTATCCTTCCACCATAATTACATATTAAAAGATAGGGTTTAAAACAGTAGATACGTTTTTTTGGCCAAAATATTGTCAAATGCATCATAAAACAATGTCTCAGACTTCTAGCATTAACTCATAACCATTTCATGTAATACTTTCAGTGAGGGAGATTTTAGAGGTGGACGTCTGGTTCCTGTCACCACCACTGTGAACAAGTCTGACTTAGCAAGTTTCTCTAGTACAGAGCATTTCACACCACACCCACTCTGAATGACTTTGTTTACATCTCAACCCTCTAATTATAGAGAAATCTGACGAATCAGTGAAGCGTCCAAAATGGGTTTATTTGAAAAATCTATACATAAATACATTATATCATAATATATAACAAGCTGTCAATAGTCTTAATTATACTGTGACGTAAATTTTTTAGTATGCATTTTTATGTATTTTTAGTTTTTTAGTATCCAGCCTTCCGTCCAGTGGCCACTGGGATAGGCTCCAGCACCGCTCTCCCGACCCCATCACGTTAAAATGCCATTTTTCAGTTTATCTTTAGAGCCCATGTGTTAAACACAAAGCCCGCAGGCCTGTGACACAGTCCTATTCGGCCCGCAAAATTATTTTAATTTTCTATTGTTATTAGCCCGTTTCACCCTGAGATGCACTACAGTTCCCAGCATGCACTGCAACATAGTGTGCATTTCGACCCCATTCCCCAACAGCAGTCTATGAGCCAGCGGTTTCACAGAAAGAAAAGATGCCTGGTGTCTGGTTCAAGCAAGTTATTTCATTTTTCTTTATTGTTATTAACCCGTATCACCCTGAGATGCACTACAATTCCCAGCATGCACTGCAACATAGTGTGCGTTCCGAACCCCTTTGCCCAACAACAATCTCTGGGCCAGTTACACAAAAGGAAAGCAAACAGGCCGTTTAAAAAAACTACCTAAAGCAATTTATTTATATTTAGAATTATTTTTGAAAATATATTCAGTTCCTATTTTGCTTTTGCAGTTTTGGCATATTTAGAATAAACAATAGCCCTTTAGGGTCAAGGCAAAATGTTAAGTAAAAATGAAATAAAAACACAGCTGGCACAGGGATTTGCTGAGATTTTTTAATATGGCCCTTTTAGCGGGTGAGTTTGACAGCCCTGCTGTAGATTTTGTGGTTTTCACTGAGAAAATCAATAAAACATGTAATTTAAACTTTTTTAACACTTTTTAAATGTTTGTTTTTCAGACTTTATCTGAACGAGCTGGACCGTTGCCGTTAGGGACCGTCCCCGTGAGGATGGCCACTACCGTATAACACAGTGATGTCGATGCTTATGTGCCCAAGACCAGATTCCAGCAATGAGTAGATCTACCTCACCTCCTTTGTTTGCCAAAAATTGAATGACTTCTTATAGTCTGATTAGAGTGATATTGAGATTTATGAACATACATTATCTATATTACCACACAGCCTATCTGGATACATGCTGGATCAAACATTTGACATAATGGCGACTGTAAAATCCTAATAATAGACTAATTTTATCATATGCTGTCAATAGCACAACTACAGCCAGTCATTAAGCCACGCTAATGAAATTATTGCAAGTTTAATGTTCATTGTGTTTCACTGTTGAGGTCAATGACAGGCAATGATGTATTTTTATTTATTTTTTTAGTAAATTAATATAAGCTGTGAGTCACAAACCCTTTTAATATGCACTTTTATCTGTTGATATAATTTATGTGAAGCTCCTTTTCATTGAATATTCTAAATAAAATACATGTGCATTGATTTCACGAGTATGGCCGTGCTCTTTCAGCAGGTTACCGCGGTGCGTTCCTTTTCATGCTTTAAAGAACTTTTGGGTGATTTAAAGGCCATTTCGACTGTTTCAGATCCACTGTTCAGGGTTATGTGTGGTTATTTTTATGTTGATCTTTTTCCTTCACACCACGAGACCAGAGACTTCTGCTTTCATTTCGTCTGCAACATCATTGCACTGGTTACAACTGTAGAGATATGCTCACTCTTTTTACTCGGAAACCGAAACCTTGCTTCTGCCCTCACCCCTGATGTTTTTTACTCTCTGTATTTAAAGGAATAGTCCTGTTTTTGTCAGTCTAACATCTATCAGACTCATCTGTGGTGTCTGATCAATTATCACTGACAGTAGTTTTGATATGTGTCCCTGTGCTTAGGAAAAAACTGAAAACACATTGACTTGAAGCACACATATAATAGAAGTCAATGGGCACGTGGCGCCTGCCCATTTCTATTCAGCTTCTATTATGTTCTTTTCTGTTCTGCATTAAAATGATTGCCCATAGTAATCGGCTGTACGCTGCAGGTGCGGCTGATAGAAATTAGGTTGGAGCACTGCAGCTGTAGCTTTACAAACACCGGTGACAGACTTTGAGGGAAGCTCTGAGGCTTGTGAGAAAAGACATCACTCTTATGAAACCCTGAAAGTGACATTGATGTTTCCTCCAGCTTATTTCTGCTAGTTTCCGGAGTAAATGCTTAAGTTGCACTAATATGGCATACAACGGTGGCAGAGCCCCTGTTTTGGTCACTCAAGCTGGATCGGAGTGAGAGAAAGGCCACAGGTATTCATTTTTAATTTGAATTTAAATGTGTTAAATTCAAGTTTACCTGCCGTGTTCATACTGAAATGTCTCAATCATGTAGAATTGTTTCCGGGTGCTTTGTGAACTCTCTGTTCTCAGTTTGAAACAGTATTCTTCTCATGTGCTGTGTTGTCAGGATTTAGACGTCATGGGACGATGTTGGGTGCTCCTCTGCTTTGTTTTGCAAGGTAAGTGTTGAGTAAGTGGACAAAAAAAAAATACAAAGTTTAAACACAGGATCTCTTCACTCAGACGCTGTAGGACTTGATAGCTCATTATTAACAAGATGTAGTATAGATACTTTGGAGCCATGAAAAGCTGTTTCTGTTTTTATTTACCACTCAGTGATGAAGGCATTTTAAATCTGTGGAAGCCCATTCCTGCCAGATTGAGTCGAGTCTCATCATAAAGTCGAGCGTTTGTTTTGTTTTTCTTTTCAATTTTCTGTTTCTGAAAGCAAAATATCAAATTATTGACTTAGTATCTCAAAATAATGACATTTGTTCTCAAAATCAAAGCTTAGTGTCTTGAAATAATGGCATACTTTCACTAAATATTGACAATATCTCCAAATAATTACTTATTTTCTCAAAATATTGACATCTCGAAATGTTGATTTTTTTTTTTTTTCTTCCAATATTGGATTTATATCTCAAAATAACAACTTATTTTCTCGAAATATCAACTTTATATCTCAAAATTATTTTCTTGAATTATTCACATCTCAAAATAAATTTTTTTTTCTGTTTTTCTTTTCAGTCTCTTTCTGGCAGCAAAATAATGACTTAGTAACTCAAAATAATGATATTTTTCTCAAAATCAAAGCTTGGTATCTTGAAATTATGACGTTTTCTCAAACATGTTGACCTAGCATCTCAAAAGAATGACTTATTTTCTTAAACTTATGACTTGGCGTTTCAAAATTTAGACTTATCTTGAAATACTGACTTTGTGTCCCAAAATAATGACTTATTTCCTCAAATTATTGACTTGGCATGTCAAAATTTCATCATCTCGAAATATTGACCTCACATCTTAAAACTTTTTTTCTTCAAATGTTTACTTTATATCTCAAAACAATGACTTATTTTCTTGAAATATTGACTTTATATCTCAAAATACTTATCTTGAATTATGCACATCTTGAAATAACAATCTTCTGCTTTTCTTTTCAATCTGTTTCTGGCAGCAAAATATTGACTTAGTAACTCAAAATAATGACATGCTTTCTCAAGAGGTTGAGTTAGCATTTCAAAATAATGACTTATTTACTCAACATTTTGACGTTTCAAAATTTGGACTTATCATCTCGAAATATTGACTTTGCATCCCAAAATGTTGATTTAGCATCTCGAAATATTTACTTTTTTTTTCTTCAAATATTGACTTTATATATCAAAGTAATTATTTTTTTTAAAATATACACTTATATTTACACTTCTGGAAGTAATTTTTTTTGTCTCAAATTCAAGGCTTAGCATCTCAATATAGTAACTTAGTTTCTTGAAATATTCACTCAATATCTCATTTATTTTAAGAAAATCTGTGGAAATAATGTGTAATTAAATTTGAAGTTAAGTAAGTATATTGGGATAATAAGCCATTATTAGGATACTAAGTGATTAACATACCATCATTATATATACCCCACTAATTAGTTGTGCAAACTGCTTGTCTATATTATCATACTCTTGCCTCAATACGTGTGGAATTGTTAAGTAATCATGCATAGACTTGCTTATGTGACACTGTATGGCATAAAAATGGGCTAAAAACAGCAGCAGCAGCCATCTTGAAACCTGAGTTTAGTCTGGACTTAGTCTCAGAGACGACATAAACAAGACTGAGGAGCGGTTCAGTCTCTCTAACACAGTTTGAGGCAAGTGTGATGGTTCAGGCTTGTGTTTGCATGATGCTAACCTGACCTTTCTGTTACTTGTTAGCTTTGTTAGCTTTGTAGCTGCAGTGCTGAACTGAAAAAACACACCAACAAAATCTGATTTGAAGTGGAAAAATGTGTAAATTAGATGTTTTTGGCCAAGTATGACTTTAAAACTCTTTAGAAACATGGTTTATGAACCTGCTTTAGACCCCCCAGTGAACAAACGTCTCGTTCTGTCCTCACTGCCCAGTGCTTCGGTGGGCGTTTACAGAGGCCGAGGAGTGGAGTGTAACCATGCCAGCAGAGATCAATGTTCTGACCAGATCGTGTGTGGTCATCCCCTGCACCTTCACCCACCCTCCGTCACACGAGCCGTCCCAAATCATCTGGTACAGCTACTCTAGTACCAAGTACCCCATAGTCTACAGTGAAAAGCCTAAGGACGTCATCGAGCCTTTCCATGGCAGAACTGAGTTCGTAGGAGATGTGAAGTCTGGAAACTGCAGCCTGAAGATCAGCCATGTTCTACCAGCAATGAATGAATATCAGCTTTATCCTTGGATCGATCCAGATGCAGTCAAACACAAGTTCTACCACAAAACCGTGAAGCTAAAAGTCCAAGGTGAGTCCAAGATGGTTCTTCAAGGGTTCTTTAGTAAAAGGAATGGATCTATTTAGAACCTTGAGTCCCCACTCTTAAAAAAAGATGGTTTTCAAGGGTTCTTTAGTAAGAAAAATGGATCTGTTTAGAGCCTTGAGTCCTCACTCTTAAAAAATGGTTCTTCAAAGGGTCTTTGGTAAAAGGAACAGATCTATTTAGAACCTTGAGTCCCAACACTTAAAAAGATGTTTCCACAAAAAGGGTCTTTGGTAAAAGGAATGGATCTATTTAGAACCTTAAGTCCTCACTCTTAAAAATAAATGGTTCTTCAAGGGTTCTTTAGTAAAAGGAATGTATCTGTTTAGAACCATAAGTCCCCACTCTTAAAAAAGATGTTTCCTCAAGAGTTCTTTAGTAGGGAAAATGGTTCTAAATAGAACCTTGAACACTCAAAGAACCCTTTACATGAATAAAGGGTTCTTTGCATCATGAAAGCCTTCTTCAAACTGATGGAAAATGTGCTGTAGATGGTTCTATATAGAACCTTCTTGACAATGGTTATACATAGCACCCAAAAGGGTTCTACTATTAGTATGGTGTCAAGCTTGTAACAATAGACTTTTGGGTGCTATACACAACAGTCTGTAGCACATTCATGCACATTTTCATCAATCTGAAGAACCCTTTCATGATGCAAAGAACGCTTTAATCATGCAAAGGGTTCTTTGAGTGTTTGGGGTTCTATATAGAACCATTTTCTTTACTAAAGTACCCTTAAAGAACCATCTTTTCTATGAGTGTGCATAGATGCTAAAATGTTTTTTTGTATGGTGAAACAGTTCTTCAGATTGATGGAGATATATGTTGCATATGGTTCTACAGCCTAAAGAACTTTAAAAAAAAAATGGTTCTATGTAGCACCAAAAGAGTTTTTCTATTGTTACAATGGCAAGCTTGTAACAATAACAGAACCCTTTTTGCTGCTATATAGAAACATTTTTTAAAAGGTTCTATAGAGAACCATATACAACACCATCTCCATCAATCTGAAGAACCAGTTCCTTTGCTAAAAACCCTTGAAGAACCATCTTTTTAAGACTGTACTGCAGTGGTTCTCCATCCCAGTCCTGAGTCTGTTGCCCCAACTAGAACGCTTTGCGTGATTAAAGGTTCTTTGAATTGTGAAAAGTTTCTTCACGTTGATGGAGAGTGTGCTGTAGATGGTTCTATACAGAATCTTTTTGAAAAGGGTTCTATATAGCACTAAAAAGGGTTCTTCTATTGTAACAAGCTTGGCATCATACAAACAGAAGAACCCTTTTTGGTACTATATAGAACCATTTTCAAAATGGTTCTATATAGAACCATATACACCGATCCTTGTTTCTACACTCATTGTCCATTTTATCAGCTCCACTTACTATATAGGTGCACTTTGTAGCTCTACAATTACAGACTGTAGTCCATCTGTTTCTCTGCATACTTTGTTAGCCCCCTTTTACCCTGTTCTTCAGTGGTCAGGACCCCCATGGACCCTCACAGAGCAGGTACTATTTGGGTGGTGGATCATTCTCAGCACTGCAGTAACACTGATGCGGTGGTAGTGTGTTAGTGTGTGTTGCGCTGGTATGAGTGGATCAGACACAGCAGTGCTGCTGGAGTTTTTAAATACTGTGTCCACTCACTGTCCACTTTATTAGACACTCATACCTTGTCAGTCCACCTTGTAGATGTAAAATGTGCTGCTGCACAGTTTGTGTTGGTCGTCCTCTAGTCCTTCATCAGTGGTCACAGGATGCTGCCCACAGGACGCTGTTGGCTGGATATTTTTGATTGGTGGACTATTCTCAGTCCAGCAGTGACACTGAGGTGTTTAAAAACTCCAGCAGCACTGCTGTGTCTGATCCACTCGTACAAGCGCAACACACACTAACACACCACCACCACATCAGTGTTACTGCAGTGCTGAGAATGATCCACCAAATAACATGATTGGGTATAAAAGAGCATCAGAGTCTTTCAGAAGTAAAGACAATGAGGGGTTCACCACTCTGTGAAAGACTGCACCATCAAATTGTGCAGCAATTCAAGAATAACATTTCTCAACATAAAATAGCGAAGAACTTTTGCTTTTCATCATCTACAGTACATAATATCAGTAAAGGATTCAGAGAATCTGGAGAAATCTCTGTTCGCAAGGGACAAGGCTGAAAACCAGTTCCACTTTTTTGGAACATGTCATTGGCATTTAATTTAAAATTGGCATAATTTAAAAAAAAACAATAACATTTCTCAGTTTCAACATTTGATATGTTGTCTTTGTAGTATTTCCCTTTAAAAATATGGTTTACATGATTTTCACATCATTGCATCCTATTTTTATCTACATTCTGCACAGCATCCCAACTTTTTTGGAAATGGGGTTGTAGAACCATTTCATTTACTAAAGAACCGTTGAAGAACCGTAGTTGTGTTACCTTCTCAAAAGGAGTGTAACCTTACCATAGAAATTGATTAAGCATTACTATGGATATTGATGTAGGGAAATCATGGAAATGAGTGTAGTGTAACCTTGGAAACAAGTGCATCCAGTTGGTCCATTGAGTACTTTAGTTCTACTTCTACTTCTAATATTCTCACAACTGCCTCAACGTGAGAAATACTAGATTTATCAGCTAGATTGAAGGTTATTTCATAGATTCAAGACATTTTCTCCGGTCAGGACCCCAGGGCTTTAAATTAACTAATTTAAAAATGTGCTGGGGCCCTGTTTCTGTATTTTGTCTAGAGCCCCAGATTCTCTATATGTCATTTATCTCAAGCTAATTTTGAAAGTGTGAGCAGAGGGCATGGATTTTGAGAGTGAGAGTCCCATAGTTCATCAAAACACCCACAGAAACTTTGAACATTGGGGCTCGTTAATCACTATTGCAAAGGCTGAAATCAAGCTAACAACTCACAAGCAATATATTGTGCAGCGTTAATGTGCACAAGGTTCCCAGAATTACTATCAGTCTACACAAAATCACATAAAACCATGTAGGTGGTGGTTGCAGCTGCACCACACTGCCATCTGCTGGTCATTTGGACACTTTCCCGCAATTGGTTATTAACCCCTTATACTGCAGACTTATTATCCAGAATGAATTAGTCAGCAACTACTATGAAACATGTAAGTTGTGTAATTCCGAGAGTGAGGAATTGAAGCCTGGAGCTTCCCATGGGGTTTAGGGGCTTAAAGAGGGCACAAATGAAGAGTGTGAATGTGTGAATGCTGCACATGTGGCCGATCTCTGGCTAACTTTCAGTATTTATTGCTTTTTATAACAGAGACCACACCAGTAGTACAACTTACTGTTGATGGAAATCCAAAAGAGGGGGAGACTCTTCGTATTTCCTGCGCAGTGGTGCACACTTGCATTTCATCTCCCCCTACCCTTTCTTTTGGGGACACAAGTGGGGACGTCGAGAATAACCAAACGGACCTGGGCCAGGGCTACTGGCGAACTGAGAGCACCATCTCTTTCCCTGCCAGAGCCAGTGATCAGGGCAGGGCAGTGGGCTGCTGGGTCGGTCATCCAAGCAGGCAGGCGGCTCCAACTTGGGTGGAGATAAACGTACACTGTAAGTCTATAATACCATCTCTGTCTCGTTAAATGCATCATGGACATGTGGTGGGATGTCAGTAGTAATGCAGTGAAGCAAAAGAGAAGATCTATGTTCTTATTCTTAAATATACATGATGGATGTGGAGCAAGTTTATTGCTGTGCTTTCAACATGCTGGTATTGTATGATGGAACCGAATGGGAACTTAAAGGATCCATTTAATGGAAAACCCAGTTTGAGTTCGAGTTTCAAAATGTGACGTCCCTTCAGTCAGCTTAGGAAACTAAGGCCCAATCCAGTTTCACCCCTCGTCCCTACCACTTAGCCCTTACCCCTTCATTTTGCGCATTCAAAGAAACCCATAAATGTGAGTATTTTTGGCCCTTAATATTCACCAGGGTATATTTTGGTTTTTCCATCTGAATTTATGTGACCAAATCATAAGGCAAATTATTCAGTAACTGCATGAAATAAATGTACATTTTTATTTTTTGTTTATTTATTTTTTGTAAAAGCTCCCCTCAAATTAACAGAACATGTGTTTTATAAACATACACATATCGCTATATGCTTACAATTTACTGCTGAAGGCCAAAAATCTTAGACGGTCTTTGTATTTTTTTATAAAAATAATTTGTACAGAGCAGATCACTGAAGAGACACCATCTGTTTATAGTTTATGGCCCAGATTTGTGGAAAAATGGGTCGACTTTCAGTAGAAAAAAAAATTGTGAGTTCAGCTTCTTTTATTATAGGGGTTTAAAATTACATCACCCATCTATTTGACTGGAAAGAAGACAGTTACAGCTCTCATACGACCCCCACCTTTTGAATGTAGCTTATGAAATATGAAAGTTATGAAGAATATGACGAAGTGCGTTTTGGAACCACTAGTGGTCCCAAGGAGTTGAAAAAGTTAAACAATTACAATAACCATTGGATTATCTTAGTTTAATGCTGTTTCGGTGTATTATGGTCCTTTTCTTCGTAAGAAGCATAAAAAATCGCTAGTAGCTTGCTGATGTCTTGGTAGCTAGCTAAATTTCCCATTCCACCTTAAATGGCGTACCAGTTACATTCTGACACCTCAGGCATCACAAATACGCCACCATTTAAGGTGGAACGGGAAAATTTTGACAAGAAGCTGCCGATTAGCTGAGTTGAGCTTCATATCACTGAAGAATTAGGGGAAGAATTATGAATAATTGTCACACCCCCCTCTTTGAAGGCATATGATTCCCTAAATGTAACTAAAGCCCAGCAGTGAGGTTGCTGAACTTTACCCTCCTCTGCTGTCACTGCAGACTGGCAGGGTCGCCTACAGAGCAGCGCTAGTAGCTGTTAATGAAGCAACATTCTTCTTTATTTGAGGGACCCTTTCAAAAAGGGTCTTTATGGAACCATATACAACACATACTCCATCAATCTAAAGAACCTTTTCACCATGCAAAGAACGATTTAAGCATGAAATGGTTCCTTATAGAACTCATGGTTCCAAAAAGAACCATTCTCTTTACTACACTCTTAAAAAGATGGTTCTTTAGTACAAACAATAGTTCTATATAGAACCATGAACACTCAAAGCACCCTTTGGATCATGACAGGATTCTTTAGAGTGATGGAAAACGTGCAAGAATGTGCTATAGGTGGTTTTCTATAGAACCTTTTTGAAAAGGGATCTGTATAGAACCAAAAGGGTTTTTCTGTTGCTACAAGCTTGACTTCATAACAAAAGCAGATCCCTTTTTGGTGCTACATAGAACCATTTTCAGAAAGGGTCTTTCCCTTCAAAAAGATGGATCTTTTAGTAAGGAAAATAGTTCTATATAGAACCATGAACACTCAAGGAACCCTTTGGATCATGGGGTTGTTCAGAGTGATGGAAAACGTGCATGAATGTGATATAGAACTTTTTTTTAAAAGGGATCTATATAGCACCTAAAAGGGGAAACCAGTTTGGTGCTATATAGAACCCTTTTCAAAAAGGTTCTATATAGAACATACACAACACATTCTCCATCACTCTGAAGAACCCTTTCATGATGCAAAGAACCCTTTAATCATGCAAAGAGTTCAGGTGTTCATGTTCTATATAGAACTATTTTCTTTACTAAATAACCTTTGAAGAACCATCTTTTTGAACCATGAACCATAGAACCTTTTTGAAAAGGGTTCTATATAGCACCCAGAAGGGTTCTGCGATTGTTACAAGCTGGCATCATCACAGTAGCAGAACGCTTTTTGGTGCTACATAGAACCCTTTTAAAAAAGCTTCCATATAGAACCATGTCCATCAGTCTGAAGAACACTTTGACAATTCACAGAACCCTTTAGTCATACAAAGGGTTCTTTGAGTGTTCATGGTTCTTCATAGAACCATTTTTTTTTACTAAAGAGCCATTTTTTTAAATTGTAGATGAGGGCAAGAGCTTTTCTACTGAACAAGCTGCTCCTTGTCCTCTGTGTGACCATTGGTGACCCCTGGACTTGAACTATGACCTTCAGGACACTTTCATAGCTTTTCTTAATGTATCATATGAATGTTTGATGTATCATATCTTTATATGATACATCAAACATCAATAGAGCTGATGGAATGTACAACCCAGGGGGATATAGACCCTGGGAACATAGGCATGGGTGTAAGCTTCCATTACTTGTTAGCTGCATTAGCCTCGTAGCTCCAGAGCTGAACTAAAGACACCAAATATATCTTTTCTGATCGACTACAATTGAAGGAAAATGTAATAATATGTTTTTTTCCACTGGATTTTAAGGCCTACAGCTTCTCCTCCCATGTTTCTTTAGATGCTCCTCGATCAGTTCATGTCTCTGCTGAGAACAGCACAGCTCTGGTGGGTGGGAATGTAACTCTGGAGTGCCGCAGTGACGCTAACCCACCCTCCTCCACATTCCTGTGGTACCTTCAGAGGGACGGATCTGTGCGAACACTGACCACTCCAGAGGACAGCATCACGGTCACTGACCTGCAGCACGACCAGAACAGCTTTTACTGCACGGCCCAGAACATTCTCGGAATGGCCAACTCTTCCTCACCCTTTATCATCACTGTGGAGTGTGAGTCGGAGATCTGGGGCTTTTCTGCCTCTATTGTATGCACAGAGTGTCAGTGGTACGCAGGGCGCTCAGTGTGGACAGACTGAAAAAACAGGGGGCTACAAATTTGAAAACATTTAAGGAGGACTTTTATTCATAGTAGTGCTCATAGTGATATACTAAGATTTCACTATTAAGACTAGACTCAGTGTATTAGATACGCCTCCCTTGTGCTTCCACCATGCTGGCGTACATCTGTTGATGTAGTTTGTGTTGGTCATCCTCTAGTCTTTCCTCAGTGGTCAGTTTCTCACCACAGAGCTGCTCTTGACTAGATATTTAGGCTATATTTAGGTGTTCTCAAGGTGTTAGGTGTTTCTAATAAAGTGGCCACTGAGTGGAAACACAAAGTAGATGTTTCTGATGAAGTAACCAGCGAGTAGAAGTACAAGGCAGGTGTTTCTAATAAAGTGGCCAGTGAGTGTAATATTATATTTTAATTTAATGTAATTGTAGCTAAAGTTGTCAAAATTGTCTCTTACAAAGAAGGACATAAGACACATTACGTCATCACAGAATTCAGGTACATACATGGTTGTTTATGTCTTCTTAATGTGATATTTCCAGACAAGCCCTCCATCTTGCCTGAATCCAGCTGTGTTATCCATGGTCCAGCGTTGCGATGCTGGTGTAAGGTCCGATCCCTGCCTAGCGCCTCTGTGGAGTGGACGGTGGACGGCACGGATGCTCAGTCTGCCCTCAGCCATGTTGAGATGTTCAGTGTACGACAGAACCACACACTCAGCGGGGAGATGCTGTTTAACATGACTGTCCAGCACACAACTGTGACTTGCAGGGCCTATCAACGATCATGGCCAGCATGAGCACACCCTGCTCATAAAGGGTACAGCAGTGATTCTCTAGTTTTATTATAGTAGTTCATAAGTATGAGGGTGAAAGTGTTGAAAGTGCACAACGTATGAATTGTGGGAATATTAGCTAACTGCTAATTCTGTTACCAAAGTGGGTTCTAGGATCTAAAACATCATTTGCATCCACTTACAACATCAAGCATTTATCTACTCATTATTTAATCAAGGAAGGTAAATATGAGGGCATTTTCACTTCTACGATAATGCTAACTTCTGCTAGCACGCCTGTGGGATTCTAGTAGTTTGTAATTGCTAGGCTAACGGCGATTCACATTTTTGGCTGTTCTTGATTAAAAACAGATATTTGAAGCTTCTAAAAGACATCCTTGGCTTTACGTGAAGGTTGTGATAGACATATTAGCGTATGTTCTACCTTTAGCAGTTTCGTAGTGACTCTCGTATCTAGAACTTCCAGAAGGCCTACCATAATTTTTGTTCTCTCAAAAATGATTCCTCTGTCACTGTAATTATGCTGATGGTTAATCTAATGCGTTAGTACTTCTCTTCAGGTCTTGGAGGCCTAACCAATAGCAGAGCTTGCTTAGCTATTAGCTATATATTAGGTCTGCAATTTCCCTTCGGGCAGTTTTCCACTGCATGTTTCAACGGTTTAACACTTTTGTTTCCATCCAAAACTTAACAATGAAACAAGAGTAGTGCTGTAATACTTAGAGTTTAAATACAAGCATGAATCTGTTGAATCTATTGAATAAATGACAGATGTGTATTTTTCAGTTCTTAATAATTTGGCATGTTCTGAAGGCCTAGAAGACCCTGAGGGTTCCTCTCTGCTGAGAAAATGTTAAACTTTGTTTTCTGTCTGTTTCAGCGCCCCCGCAGAACGTGTCAATAAGCCAGCGGCCGCTGCATGTCCTGGAAGGCCAGTCTCTCACGCTCTCCTGTTTGAGTCACGCTTTTCCAGAAGTGCTGTCCTACAGCTGGTACCTGGTGTATGAGGACAGGGAGGTCCAGCTCAGCGAGCGGTCAGAGAGGCTCCACCTGCAGGTCGTGGGCAGGCACATGGGGCCATACCGCTGTTCAGCTCACAATGAAATCGACCAGAGTCGCTCCACCAGCACGCTGGTTCGTGTGGACTGTGAGTGTCTAAGTGCTTGGGGCTTTCTGTAGGGGGCTGTGTTTTCCAAATGTGACCACTGTAGATTCACTGTAAAAATGGTTTGTCAGTTCAACCTAAAAAAAAATACTTCATGTGGTAAACTAACTACTTTTATTCAACTAAATAAATACTTTGAATGAAAGATTCTTTCATTGGTTGTTGGTTTGCTTGTTGAGTCATTCTATGGAAATGTTCATTTTCGTGTCCCTAGCATTTACAGATATAGTACACTTGAAAAACATATTAGGGTTACAATTTATTTATATTTAGGTTTTTAAATCAATTCTATAGAATTCGAAGCACCACAGAAGAGCTCGTCCTCACAGTCATGTGTAAAGGATGAGTGCCATATTTTGAGGTAAAAAAACATGTTTTTCTGCAATTTCAACTGCAATAATCTATACATGACTATGAAATATATTATTTAAATGACATAAAGAAAACAAATGCCAAATACATATTATAAAATATATAATGAAAGTTATGGTCCTCAGGAGTCGTGTCACTGGTGTTACTGCATAACAAAAAAACTCATATTTTGAAATTAAAATCACGTTGATGACATCACTTGACTTCCTTTTACCTATTTTCTGAGTATCTATGAAAAAAAGCACATGGTGAGTCCACTGTGTCTTTCCAGTTGTCAGAAATTTTCTCATTTAGCTCATAATTTCATATGAAGCTTTTAGCTGAAGTCACTGGTGTGACCCACTTTATTCTTAGACAATTGTGAAAAAATAGAATACAAATGGATTAAATTACATATTTTAGTGGATATTCTATGATAGACAACTTGTGGTTTGTTGCTCTGTAACAGCCATTTTGTAAAATGCATTTTTCATTAAAAATGTCGCTGGTGTTACCTTTCTTACGTGTAACACCAATGACGATCAGTAACACCAGTGACTCCTATGGATAGATAAAAGAAAGTGGACATTTGTGTAGAATGGCCCTGTTACTACATGAAGTAATTTTTTTTACGTTGAATTGACAAACCATTTTTACAGTGTTATTTTACAGTTGGGGTGGGCAATATGGCAATTGTGATATTATGATACTTCAGGAAGTCACAATGTGTCACAATATTTCTTGTTTTCTGACATCTTATAAGTTGGAGAAGACAAAATAGAGTCATATTTAATAAATACTACCAAAAAGTATGAATAAAATGACTTATATTCACCAGATTACATGCTATGCTACACTTAATGCAATAAGGCAGGACTAATGATGTGTCCTCAAAAAAGCATTTTGTGACATGATATAATTTAACAATAAATATTGTTGTATTGACCAGCTCTATTTTAAATTGATGCTTCGGCAGTTCATATAGTTTTACATTTAAAGGGTAATCCCACTTAATTTTCACATTTTCTGTATAATTACAAGATGGAAAGTTACTCAGAATGGTTTGATGTGAAACGCTATGTTCTAGAAAAACTTACCAAGTCAGAATTCTTAACAATGGTGGTGATAGGAACCAGACGTCTGAAGAGTTTGTCTCTAAAAGCTCCCTCACAGAAATTTATTACATGAAATGCTTACAGAAACATTGCACAATGTCTGAACCATTATTTTTGTGACGTAAGTTTTTGGTTCCTATCACCACCACTGTAAAGAAATCTGGGACAAGTAAGCCAAGACATGTTTGGTGGTTTCTTTCTTTGGTTTTGTTTTGGAGTTACATAACTAATGTATCGAACAATGGAAGCTTATATCCGCCAGTTAGCATCATAAACGGGATCAAAACATTTACGAGATTCCATTTATAGTCCTGTTTACATTCATGTAAATAATCTGACTTAACTGCTGCATGAGCTGCCCTCTTCCTCACGCAGATGTGTTTACCCACATATGAGTTCCCCTCCTTGATTAAAAGCACAGTGCCTGGCTTTCCGAAGCTGACAAGATGGTATTCCTGCTTTCCCCTCCAGCTTCAGTAGTAAGGCAAATATTGAAAAAAAGCGTTTTTTATGGCTTTACTCGAAAATAGACTCCAGCGATTACAGCTTTTACAACATGTTTGGTTTGGTGCCATAAAATGTTATGCTATGCTGTTCACATGATTGTAGTTGTTAGACTAGCAGTCTTAGTTAGACTTCTGCCTGGTTTGCATGTAAATACAGTTATATTTATAGTGTTTTTTACTCTACAACTCAACACAGTTTAAAGTAAGTGTTGCGCAGCGCCACCAGGTGGTCAGAAGCTTCCTTTAGGAGGGAGAGGGGTTGGTTGGCACAGTTTCCGCCCTCTCTCGCTGTATATTTCAGGCCGTACATTGGAAAACCCAATTAGCAGCATGTGACAACTTGTCTTAGCTAAAAAAAAATAAAATAAATAACAGACACTGTGTCATTCTGGAATTAGTGCATTTAAATTCATGTTATGCAGTGCCAACAAACAGACATAATCAAAGCTTTTCATTTAAGTCACAGATATAAACCAAAGATGATTTTAAGTCAAGAAAAGTTTAGGAATGTTTAGTTTATTTCATCACTGGCTTGTATAGAACAGTGGACAAAGAAGAAAAGTAACTTCCAGAAAGACTAGCATGTTTTTTTTTCCCTCCACAAATTGATTCCACTGTCAATTACTAGTTATGTTAGTGGTGAATCTCACACGTTAGCCCATCACCAATTTAAATATGTCTCAGTATGTGCTAATGTACTAGTATAGGCTAAAAATATAATAGAAACAAAAACGCAGACTTACTTTGCTCTGCTTTAAGCTTTAGCTCAGATATAGCAGGAAACTTTTCCACAAAATAGAATAGTTTCAGCTTCGTGTTTGCCAGTTTCTCGTTGCAGATTAAAGGTATCAGGAAACCAGCTGGAGTGGTTATAAATGCAATTAAGTCCTATTATCTCAATTTCAATAATATGTTCAATAATATGTTTGTCTTAAATCTTTCTCTTTGCCGTTTTGTTAGCTACCAGCTAGGCAAGATTGTTGTCTGCGTTGCTATGGTGACCAGCAGTCTGCGCACCAATCTTCAGGGTTAAAGGGTGAATTAGCAGTTATACATTAACAGCATTTAAGATCTTTTATTGTTAAAACTGTTTGAATGATCAGCAGAGCTTTATGTTGCTGCTAAGGAGGATTATTTTATTTTTACCTACAAATCTAATTTTGCTGTGGAGCCAAACAGAGCAGTAAAAGAGCTGTGTACAGCTCACAGAGCTGCACGTTGCTGACCCCTGCATTAGGCCTTCGGTTCCACTGAAGTCCTAACCAATGGGAGAGCTCAACCAATGGGTGGTGTTGGGTCTGTTTGGACAGTTCTTCAGATTGTTGAATGTGTTGTAGATGGTTCTTTTGAAAAGGGTTCTATATAGAACCAAAAAGGGTTCTTCTATTGTTATGATGTCAAGCTTGTAACAACAGCAAAACCTTTTTTGGTGCTATATAGAGCCCTTTTCAAAACGGTTCTACATAGAACCATATACAGCATATTCTGAAGAACCCTTTCATGATGCAAAGAACCCTTGGGATCATGCAAAGGGTTCCTTGAATGTTCATAGTTCTATGTAGAACTATTTCCGTTACTAAAGAACATTTTTTTATCTATTTGGAACCATGAGTTCTGTATAGAACCATTTCATGCTTAAATGGTTCTTTGCATGGTGAAAAGGTTCTTCAGATTGATGGAGTACGTGTTGTATATGGTTCTGTAATTAATCTTTCAGGGTTCATTATAGAACTGTTGTCTTTACTAAAGAACCCTTGTGGAACCGTCTTTTTTAAGAGTGTATAACAAGCATGATAATCCTATTAAAGCCACTGTCTTCTTTGTATTATGTTAGCTACAGCCTCCTAACATTGAGGCCCACAGTGTCTCCCTGCGATTGTACTTCACAGCCATTAGCCAGCTGTCACAGGATCCTGTTATAAGCATTTTTCTTCATTTACGATAGCATGATAGCTAGCGGCCCACCTTAACTGCAGGAATAAAATGATACTTGAGCTTTGTATTATGTTCGCTACAACCTCCTAACATTGTGGCACACAGTGTTTCCCTGCGATTGTACTTTACAGGCGTGACGCACAGTAAAGATACAAGAAATTTCTTGTGTGGCTTCCATTTCCAGCTGTTAGCTGGTTAGCCATAGGTTATGGATATAACACAAGTGATAAATGTTCAAATATTGGACACAAGTCTGTGATCCTCATCATAAGATTAAATTTATCCTCTCTTTTTCGCTTTTTTACTCACCATTAAGGGTGGCCGAGAAGAGTAGTGTGGTCTATTTTTTTTTCATTTTTAAACATGTACAGCCATGTTGAGGGGCTTTAAATAAAAAGTGAACTAAAGACAACTTTTTCATTGTTTTCTCATTCCCTAGTCGCGCCAGTCATTTCTCCAGACTCCTCCTGCACACTGGAAAAAGGACAGGTCAGGTGTGAGTGTGTGGTTGAGTCTTATCCACTGGCAGCTGTGACCTGGACTGCCCCTGGTGTTCAAATCAATCGAACGGTCAGCATGGAGTTCAGTGGGAGTCTGAAGTCTACTCTGACCGGGCACATGGGGAACGGACAAGATCATTTGATCACCTGCCACGCTGCCAACAAATATGGACAGATTTCTCTGCAGCTCACACTCAAAGGTCTGTCCACTCTCCTTTATTTAATCCTGTGGTTTCCATTTTTAGAACTAATGACCAAAGGCAATGAACATTGTTGTAAATGATTTAAGACACCTGAGTGTATCGCTGCTCGCTGCTATTAATAGGGCAACTCTAACATATAACTTCGTATTGCTAGTACATTAGCATCTCGCTTTTGTTGCAGGCTCTTCTGCCTCGTCCATGTCTTCACTCGCCGCTGCAGGATGTGGAGGCGCTGCTTTAGTGCTCCTGATCGCTGCGATTCTCTACTGCACACAACGCAGGTGCGGACCCAGATTAAAGAAGAGCTCACCCAAAAATGCTAATGTCGCTGAAAGTGAAAGTTAGTGCTTGTATATGTATGTGAGAATATGCTTCCCCCTCACTTTCTATAGATAGCCATAGAGTGGCTACCTATAGAAACACTTTAATAACAATTCAGTATAGGGGGACATGATGGTGTCCTTTTATTAGGCCTCATCAAACCAGTAGTTGGTAAGTAGTAGTCTGGCTGCTCACTTCATTAAGCAGTAACTACGGTGAATTAAAGTTTTAAATCTTCTCTTTATAGATGGTCAGTTTTGTTTACAGCCAAATGGTGATTTACTATTGAACTATTGATAAGACAACACCTAGTGCTTTGTAAAGAAGCACATTATAGACCCAATGCTCAGGAAAGTGTTTTGCAAAAGATTAGGAACAATAATACACATATAAAAGTCCTGCGTAAAGTGATTAATTCACTCTAGTCACTGCTCAATAAAGTAGCAACGAGGAGTAAATCAGCAGTTATTGGCTTGATAACTTAGTTACTGATAAGGCTATTGACTTGATAAGATTTAATAAGGGCATATTAGTTCACACCTCAGATGTTTTGCAAATGATTATGATCTAAATTAGACCAAATAAAAGTGTAATGAAGGAAAATGCTCAGTGCACTCTGATGAGCCAGTTAATTACAGGCTAGTGGCTTGATAAGGCTTAATAAGTAAAGTAAATTATAATATCCCCCTTTACTTGGGCTGCCTAACATATTTTTTACTTTGGCCTGTGAGGATGTTTGATTTGGTCCGTAAAGTTACCCTAACCCCATCTCATCACCCAATGGAAGAATGAACTTATTTTTATACTATAATGTACCTTATGTGGCTGAATGTATGGGGACGTAAACATCTCACCTATTTAAGCTTGTTGAAAATCACAAGCACTACAACAGCCAGTCCATTTGAATTTGTACCCATTCCATCAAAGGGCATTTGTTAGGTCAGACACTGATGTTGGACGATGAGGCCTAACTGGTACTCGACATTCCAGTTCATCCCTGTGGGGTTCAGTGGGGTCGAGGTCAGGGCTTTGTGCAGGCCACTCGAGTTCCTCCACACCAAATTCATCAAACCATGTCTTTATGAAGCTCACTTTGTGCACAGGGGCTCAGTCATGCTGGAAGAGGAAAGGGTCTGCTGCCACAAAGTTGGAAGCGTATAATTGTCTAAAATGTCTTGTATGCTGTAGCATTAACATCACCCTTCACCTGTACCAGGGGGCCTGAAAATCAGCCCCAGCCCATTATCCCTCCTCCACCAAACTTTACTGTTAGCTCTGTGCATTCCATTAGGTGGTGTTTTCCTGGAATCCACCAAACCAAGATTCAACCACCAGACTTCCAGATAGTGAAGCATGATTCATCATTCCAGAGAACACATTATCACCGCTCCAGAGTCCAGTGGCGGTGTGCTCAATGCCACTCCAGCTGAGGCATTGCACATATTGATCTTACGTTTGTTTACAGCTGCTTGGCCATGGGAACCCATTTCATGAAGTTCCCAATGCACAGTTCTTGTGCTGATGTTATTTTAGTGAGGCAGTGTGGAACTTTGTAGTGAGTGAGTGATGCAACAGAGGATAGATACACTCTGCAGCCCCTCTCTGTGAGTTTGTATGGTATACCGCTTAATGATTGAGCTGTTGTTGCTTCTAGATGCCTCTATTTCACAATAATAGCACTTACAGTTGAGAGGGGAAGATCTAGCAGGACAGAACTTGTGGCCGAGGTGGCATCCTATGACAGTGCCATGTTTAAAATCACTGAGCTCATCAGTACCACCCATTCTACTGCCAGCGTTTGTCTATGGAGACTACAAGGCTATGTGCTTGATTTTATACACCTGCTAGCAATGGGTGTGACTGAAACACATCAACTCAATAAATAGGAGGGGTGTCCACATACTTTTGGCCATATAATGTAACTTAATATTTTAGTGTTGTAGTAACAAAATATAGTATAATGTTACAACATTTCTAAAAACTCAGTTTGGCCCACTAGAACATTGCACTCTGGCCCCCCACGACAAAAAGTTTGGGCACCCCTGCCTTATAACTGAATGTTACTAAAATTCCCTCTCAGTCAGAAAATCCCCAGATACAGTTGAATGCAAAAACACTCCCAGGTCAAAGATTTTGCTCATTTTAGTGCCCAATCTCCACTTATTTATTGAGTTAAAAAATAAAACATATAAAATGTGCCATAACTTCTACACAGGCCATACTTTATATTTCCCCCCAATATTTCGAATTCAACAAATAACCAGTAATTGTGCAGTAAAATGTGCCCTGTGGAGATGTGTTAACTCACAAATCAACAAAACCAGGTCATTTGACCAGGAGTGGCCAAACTTTTGACTGAATAAAATGCTAGATGGCCTTGGCCATAATATCTAACTTGGCTAGCCACAAAGGAAAAGCTCATTGCCAGCACATCAGCATTTGTATTTGTATCAAATCATGGTTTACTGTATTGATCAACCTCTAATTCACCTGTATAACACCATGCTGTATCACATTCACTATCATCAACTACTGCATCCGTGCTTCATCATAACATGCAAATGTGCTCTGTGGTAACAGTATTATGAAAATATAATTTGATATCAATGATTTCATCGGAAGACAAATAATGCAGTAGTAATGAAATGTATTACAAGTCATAACATGGCATATGTTTATAAAATATCTCTGAGCATTACAGCTCTAGGATCTGCATTTCATAACTTTGCGATCTAAAGCAGGGTCATCATTGTTTATTAAGATGCTGCTTCCCTAAGGAGCACAGTTTCATTCATAAATCATGCCAGAGACGAGGGTTCTCTGCTTTAAAAGGCAGAAAATTGACTGGTTAAGGATGGCCCTGTGTCTTTACATGCAGTATGTTTGTGTTTAAACAGCAGGGAGAACATCAACCCACTGGTAGAAGTTGAGCTGAAGGACAATGAACAGGAAAAGGGAGGTAAATACTGAGGTCTCATATTAAGTCCTGATATTAAGCCATTATATAGTCATGTGCAAAAGTTTGATCACCCCAGATTGTTAAAAAATTGTATGTTTTGTTGGTTTTCACATTATCCTACAAAGAATAACAGTTTCTTTTGCTGAGTTTGATATATTGGAAAAAATAAAACATAAAATTGGCCATAACTTTTGCACAGGCCATATTTTATGTTTTTCCCCCCAATATGTTAAATTCAGCAAATAATCAACATTGAATTAAATCGTGCAGAAGTGTGCTCTATGTAAAGGATGTGTTCACTTATTTTTATTTAAAAAATCAACAGAAACATAACATTTGATCAGGGGTGCCAAAACTTTTGCACACCATTGTATATGCGGGGAGTTTAAAGGAATAGATCAACCATATTTGCTCATGTGACAAACAATGAATGGAAGGTAGTTCGGCACCAGCTGGCATGATATAATTCATTTAATGCTAATTGGTGGCCATTTGCTTTCATTCACTGTTAGCAACGTTAGCTTTTTACTGAGCTATTCTGTTAAAACATTATGCTAATATTGCCTAAAGCTAATAATTACTTCATGAGCATCCTCTAGACATGTAACATACTGACAGGATAATGTGACACTAATGGACACAGACTAAAAGGGGAATTACTACGGTGTCCAACACTCAGTACAATGAAAAATGCATTGCAAATTCATATATGTGATGCAAATTCAAAAATCATGACTACGCCTGAGCTTCATTTTACAAACGTGCTGCAAATACAGTCACACTAACAACTAAAATGTTTCTGGAAGACTCTGAGAGAGGATGGAATATCTGTAGGTGGAAAAACTTCCAGTGAGTTCAGGGTTAACTTGGTTGGCTACACTGTAAAAAAAAAAATAATAAAAAAATACCGTAAAATTTAAAGTAATTTACTGGCAGCCAATTGTAGAGCATATATACGAAGTACTGTAAAATATTTACACTGTAAAAAATGTACTGTAACATTTACAGTAACTTACTGCATATTCACAGTAAATATTATACAGTATTTTACCGTATATTAAATGTACATTTATTTACTGTAAATGTACAGTTCTGCTGCCAGTAAATCACTGTCAGTTGCAATGTCTGGTATATTACTGTAATCCAATGCATCGCTCTAAATTCCCAGTCTATTACAGCACAGTCCTGTAAAATAACAAACCAGTACTTTACTGTAAAATAAATACTGTAAATTTGCAGAAAGGGTGTATAGTAAACACTTTTAAATATTTTACAGTATTTTACTGTATTGTAGTATAGGGGGTGCACAGTGGAAGCCTAGATAGCTCAAAGTTCATACCCATGACAAAGCTTTATTTAGAACTTATACAGCAACCAGAGTAAAAGACAGGAAAATCACTTTTTAAACCTCTAAATCACGCTGGAGGCTGTGAATCAGGACACAAACCTTAATGATGGTAGCTCACACTCCCAAATTCAGTACTCAGCAGAACTGCTCTAAAGTTCACTTAACCTCTACACATTAACATCACATACTTGAAACTGCAACCAAAACCCTTAAATCACTGTTCTAAGATAAATACAGTCCAGCTTAGCATGGGCAAAGAATCATGGGAGTCGAAGCATGCTCTGACTTTGCTTTACAGTTATTTACTGTAAATTTACAGTTCTTTATTGGCGACTCTCCTGCCAGTAAATTACTCTAAACTGCATTGTCTGATATGTTGCTGTAAACAAATGCTCTAAAAGCCTATTGTTTTACAGCATGAGCCTATAAAAAAAACCAGTATTCTACTGTGAAATAAATACTATATACATTTACAGCAATACTAACTATATGACATGCCATAGCTGTACTACAGTAGTCATATCTGGTATTGCTATTTGAGGCATATATGCTATTATATAGTGACACTCTACAGCTAATTCCCATTATGATACAGTGATATTAGTAATAAAAGTTAACTTACTTTTACCAGTGAAGGTTTATGCTGCATAGAATTTAAAAGTTCGAAAAGCTCCATCCGCTTTCAGTGTCCTCTGGAAACATTTCCATCGTGTTGTGACTGACTCTGCTGCATTTTCATGTGTTTTCCAGTGTTGTCATTTTGAGTTTGCAGAGCGTCTACAAATTTGCAGCACCTTTCGTTTTAAAGAAAATGTTTTCCTCATTTGCTGAAAATGAAAAGTGTTGAGTCTTGTCGGCCACTGTAAAAGTTTCACCAATTTTTCAAATTTGATCACTAATCGTCATTCAGAGTGGTGTGATGTGAAATGTTCCGTTCTTACCGAATCAGCATTATTCACAGTGGTGCTGACAGGAACATGATGTCTACAGCACAAATATAGCCATTTTATTTACTGTCCAAAAGCGCCAGTGAACCTACACGTCTTCTGAGTGTTATATGGAATGCTGATGATGGTAAAATAGTGATAAACCTGACGTTTTCATTTTTTTAGCAACTGCTTGTACCCCTCCACCGTGAAATATATATAAGAAAAAGTTTAAAGCCAAAATCCTCTCAAAACTATCATGAAAACAATGTCTCTGACATCAGCATATTTGTTGCCGTTTCCTGTAAGAACTTTCTGTGATGGAGCTTTTAGAGGCATTAAACTCTTCAGATGTCTGGCTCCCATCACCACCACTGCTGTTTCTCTAGAACTGAACATTTCACATTACAGTTTGTTTACATCTTAACCATTTAATTAGGCAGAAATTTTGAAAGGTTAGTGGAATTCCTCCTTAAACCTAGTCCTGGGTTTACATCAGTGATATCCCATCAAAGAACGCTGACCTTTTCTTTCTTTTTTCTTCAGATACCAAGTACTCCAGAACAATGTGGTTCTGATGGCTGCCAGAGTGAAAGTATTTCGATATTTCTTGCCTATTATTTTAAGTTTTTAAATATTACAGGAGAACAAATATTATGTGTATTATGTTGAATTGACATAGAATTTGTAACATTATAGAATTCCAGTTGCTGACTCTTTATGATGGTTCACGTTTGAGCTGGTTTCAGATGCCCTGATATAACTGTATGTGTATTTAATGGAAGTAACTAAATATAAGAAATCAAACTAAAGGTCCTAAAATGGTAATCGTTGTTATTTTCTTAATGAAATAAAATGCCATACTGAACCTCTTGTCTCCAAACGTGTAACTTTATATGAAAAGGATTTTTTTGTTTTTAGAGTACGCTATTACTAATACTGGACGATTTTCTATTGGTCCATTCATCATGAAATGTTTATGCAGTGTAAAGTGATTTTGAATGATATAAATAATATACAATAATATATATTCAGAGTGGTTTGATGTGAAATGGTTAATTGTAGAGGAACTGACTGAGTCAGATCTCTTTATAGTGGTGATGATAGGAACCAGGGGTCATCATGTCTTCGACACAAATATAGCCATTTATTTACTGTAAAGATGAGTAGTGAACCTGCACATGTCTTCTGAGTTTTATATGCCATGTTTATGATGGTCAAATAGTGGTAAGTGTGAATAAATATGCTTTTTTTAGGAACCAGGCTGCCTTATAACACTACATGTACCTCTCTACCAGGAATAGATTAAAAAAATATAGATTTTAGGCCAAAAATTTCTCAAAACTATCATCAACGTCTTTTACACCAGTGTATTCATAACCATTTCATAGAATAACTTTCAGTGAGGGGAGCTTTTAAAGGTGGACATCTGGTTCCTATCACCACCACTGTGAACATTTCTCTGTAAAGTTTCTCTAAAACAGAGCATTTTGCACCAAACCTCTCTGAATGACTCTGTTTACATTAGAATGATTGCCTTATGCAGAAATTTTGAAAAACTGCTGGAGTTCCCCTTCTTGCTCCAGTGTAATCTGTGAGGTCAATGAAAAGGCCTAACATTTATCATCTTCCAGTCATAAGCTTTCCCGGACAGGTAGCGCTGTAGCCGAGTGTATATGTATGCATGTATTGGAATGGTCATGTGTTTGTTCCGAGTGCGTCCCCCACGGGTTCCGAACAGCATGGCTGGCCGTGGCTTGAAAGAAAGTGTGCACTTCAGCATGTTGCATTGACTACCCAGCACTGTTACTGCAAGCATCTGCACATCCACAGTTCTAGAACACCCAGTACAACAACAAAAAAAAAAGCGACACACATACCCACATGCACACCCACCCTTCCCCCTATACCGTGACCCCACTCCCAACGCTGACCGTGGGCCAGGCCTGAAAGGGTCACGTGGAGCTGGCACCGGCAAGCTCAAGTGCATTTGTTCTGCGCGGACAAACCTGTGTGTTTAAAGGATTTTGCCACCATCGACAGAAAAGCAAGAGGGATAACTTTTTGGAATTCGGCCTAGGGGGTCCTCTTTGACGTTACGCTCACTGCAGGCTCCCCGCTCTCCTGTCTTGCTCTCTCTCCCTGCGGAAAGGTTCACACTTGAGAGTGTTTCTTTATCCTGAAGGACTCAGGTAAGACGCCCACATGCTCTGGAGAATTTGCTGAATTGAATTTAGAAGTAACGTGTAGAATCAGGGTCGATGGCTCACTGTGCGTCATGAAGTTCAAGTGGCCCTATATGTATATAGTCGTGTGCAAATGTTTGAACACCCCTGGTCATTTTTTTTTAGGTGAAAATAAGTGAACTCATCCTCTGCAGAGACTTAAATATGGCATTTTTCTGCAAATCGTAGTGTGCAGTTTCTACCCGTTTGCTGCATTTAACACACCGGGAAAATATAAAGTACAAAATATAATGGGCCTTTTGTACAGGCCTCATTTTATGTTTGTTTTTATTTATTTTTCCAACAACGAGCAGGGGTGCCTAAACTTTTGCATGTGACTGTAGGTGTATATGACCCCATCATTGTATATTATTTCATGTAAATAACTAAATGAACAAAGTTTATGGTTATGTGTATATATATGTTGACTGCACAAGTTTGAACACCCTCAGTCAAATGACATTAGAAAATCAACAGAACATGACGTTTGACCAGAGGCACACAAACATTTGCATATAACTGTGACTACATGTAACTAAACCAGCTAAAGTCAGAGGTCTACATTGAAATTATCATAATCAGATCATAATGTGAACGTGGAGGTTAGTAGAAATAACAAAAAATAGGAAATCCATCTAAATTGAATGCTTTAAATGGTCATTTTTTTGATTTAGCTTGTATTCCATGTACTTAAGATAAAATATCAAATATAACTTTGTAATTAAATCTACGGAGGCCACTGCCAGGCAACAATGTGAAACTCAGTTGGTATTTCATAGCTAAAAAGATTCATTTCTCCCATTGACAGCACAGTTGGCTTTATATAAATACTGCTTCTTGGTCATTTGGTTGTAATTTGGCTGAACCAATAGTCGAGGTTCTAACCAGTTTCCCTCATATTAGCCTTTGGTACCATTACATCTCATTGCCTTTGCCTGCGTCACCATGCAAATAGTATTACTGGCTACTGTCACCATGATTTACATTACATTTAGTTTCAGTGGCTGGATCAAGAGATCAGGGCCTTTCTTGTGAAAGTATGTTTGACTGGTGGTAGGTTTGGTTGATGCAACTTTCTCAAGATATGTGTTCTTACAAGGTACAATTGACATGTTTTAAAAATTTTGAGTTAATAAATGTCCATTGTAAACTGTCTTGACTCAAATGCAATAAAATGGACTGATCACAATTTTCTGAACGTTTCTGGGGCCTTAAATGTGATCCTACTTGGGGGGTGGTGGGTTTGAGGGGCCCCTTACTCACCCCTATCATAGTCCACATATTGCTGGAAACGACCCTTTCAGAGATTGTGGATCTAAAACTCTAAAACCTTCAGTCAGTTTATAGCCTTTTAATGCTAACATCCTCATCTCCTTGTTATTTTAAGCTGACCCTAAAAAGATCCTTTTTTCAGTATTACTCATTGCGGTCAGTGGTAACACAATGTGTCGCATCCTCATATTTCCTCACCACATAGTGTAATGTGTCGAAAGTGTCACATATCTCTCAAAACTCATGAAAGGCTTTGTTTGTTCATGCTTTCTGGCTTGGAAAGGAGGACCTTCGCAACAAATTCTAAAGCATTCAGTGTAGGAAGCTGAATACATATTCAATCTTAAGAATTTTTTTGCCATACTTGCATCTAATAGAGTTGATAAGGCCCAGTACAGATGATATAACATATGCGTCACTTACTCACTTGCATCAGTGCTATTTAACGGTCATTTATCACAGGTTGTTTCTAAAAATGACCTGAAATTAATGCGCTTCTTATCCCATTCTTAGTCATTCCTTTATCCATATCTACTGTGTGACTGTACGCATTGTCCACTGTCTGACTGTGTTTTGCTAGCATTAGCACTGTGATTGTACCCTTTTTTTGAAACCAGTGGTCAGTAAGTCACATCATATTATATTTTTGTAGAGGATGATGTTCACACTTTACATTATAGCACAGAGTCCTCTGGTCTGACTAATATGGTTGAAAAGGACTACATGAAATCAGGCTAGCGAAAGCTATAGGCTACTGAATTAGTCTACCAAACGGCACAAATTCAAAATGTCGGTCCTAGCCGTCACCCTTCGTACTGAATGTTTGGTGGCAAACAAAGAGAAATGCTGTGCACTAACATTGCCATGTGATCCTCTCTGGCCACGCTGAATGCAGTGTGTTCAGCTTTGCAGCCTCCGCAGCATCTATCAGGATGTATAGCTTTATGGGAGGAGGCCTATTCTGCGCCATTGTGGGGAACATCCTCCTGGTGGTCTCCACGGCCACCGACTACTGGATGCAGTACCGCCTTTCTGGCAGCTTCGCTCACCAGGGCCTGTGGCGCTACTGCATGTCCGGCAAGTGCTACATGCAGACAGATAGCATTGGTAAGTCACATGCTAATCAGGTCATCAGAGCTAATGGTGACGTTTTCTGGTGATGTGAGAGATATGAAGTGAACACTGGTTAATATTAGGTTATATTTGGTTAATATTATAACCCTGCTGAAGAAAACATCACAGCACAGCATGAATTCCAGTGCTGGTTTAACTGGTCACCCAGCATGATCATACTAGCCTCCAAAACACAACATACGCTGATTTTGCTGGTGAGCAGCTATGCTATGCTATGCTGTGCTGGTCTATGCAGGTGTTTTAGCAGGGTGGACAGATTAGCTCATAGCTAATGTTAGCTAACAGCTGACAAATTAGACCAAAGCACTATTAATATGAAATATTTCTGATCACTTAATCACTGATTTAAAAAAAAAAACAACCTAGCACACCCATAGCGAACGTTTGCTAATTGCTAACATGTCTATTTGATAAAAACACAAATACTAAAACGTAGAAGTGCTAAATGCCTAAATGTAAAATCTATCAGTTCTCAGTTGGAAAATTAGCGTACTTGCTAATCTACTGTCTTCTCTTTCCTCTTTCTCTCCCCTCAGCATACTGGAATGCCACAAGGGCCTTCATGATTCTGTCCGCGATGTCGTGTTTCGCAGGAATCATCGCCGGCATCCTCTCCTTCGCTCACTTCTCCGCTTTTGAGAGGTTCAACCGTTCCTTTGCCGCAGGGATCATGTTTTTCGTTTCAAGTGAGTTCCTAGCCTGCTGAGTGCTAAATTATTCAAAGGGCTAAAGCTGCTAATACTGAGGCCCTCATAACTCGTGTATAGCTCATTGGTAGCATGTTGCTAATTGTTAGCCACATCTTTGTGTGCATTTTGGGTGAAGTAGGCATTTAACCCACTTAAGTGTTTCAGGTATTCACTTTCACCCCTTCTAGAAAAGCTTATAATGAATGTTAATGAAGAAATAATTTATTGCAAGTTATTCTGGAGCATTTCTATTAGTTCCTTCATCAAAAATGACAAAAAACGGAGATACAAGGTTTTGTCCAGACAACAATGATGTGTTTTGGATGCTGGTATGCTGGTCAACAAGCATGACCATGCTGGGTGACCAGCTAAACCAGCACCAGACCAGCATAAACCAGCTTAGACTAGCTTTGACCAGACCTAAGCAGTTTCTTAACAGTTACTGACTCATTTATAGTAGTAAGCTAACCTAGATGCTAATTCTCGGCAGCTCTCTTTGTTCTGCTTGCGATGGCTATCTACACCGGGGTGACGGTGAACTTCTTGGGAAAGCGTTTTGGTGACTGGCGTTTCTCCTGGTCCTACATACTAGGCTGGGTTGCCCTGCTCATGACCTTCTTTGCAGGTGGGTAAAAAGACGATGATAGCCATTTTCCTTGTAGCCTCAACAGATGATCTCTGAGGCATCATGCTGTAGTCAGCCATCAGTCTCAGTGTGAACTGATTTGCTTTGCAGGTATATTTTACATGTGCGCCTACAGGATGCATGAGTGCAGGCGAGTGGCCGGTCCGCGCTAGAGGGACGAAGAAAAAGGAACAGAAACTACGATGACAAGAATCAGGACGAGAACGAGTCTGCAGTTAGCAGGCCTGTTCACAGCAAAATCAGTGCTTCAATCAGTGACGTCAGGGCTGCCTCACAGAGTCAAAGTAAATGCGGGGAAAGCAGCTGAAAAATAAAAGGCGCCTCAAGTTCTCTGCCTCTGCGGTTCTTGCTTCACTCTTACACAGTCCATATCAGGACCAGTAGCAGTTAGGTCATTAGCACTAAATGTATGGCTATGATGGGAAATGAAAGTGAAAAAAGATAGAATTTTAAAAAGAGTTCAGATCAAAATGTTATGTTCATGCTGGTTAGATTTTGAAATAAATTTCAGACCATTGAAAAAATAATATTGTTTATTGCTTTTGTTTATTTAATATTTTGAATTACAACCACATTGTATGATTATTTACATTTACATTCATATCCATCTCACTGCTGTTAGAAAAAAACTTTGTATCTCCAAAATGAGGACTTTACAGGAGAAGGAAAAACCTACTTTACTTTTAATGTAAGTCAATGGAACCGGACTTTTTTCCAAGTCATTTTGGGCCATTTAGTTTGGTCTATTTAACAGAAAATGTATGCACAATATAAAGGGCAACAGGAATTCGAAATGATGAAAACTGAGATATGAGGTTTTGTTCTGACAGCAGATATATATATATAGTTTGTTCCCTGTACAGGATGGAGGATGTGCACATATTTTCACTTAGAAAACATGTAATTTGACTCATTTAAACTTTTTGCATATAACTGTGAAATAGTATCTGAGAAGTTTGCATAGAAGTTTGTACACTTGCTTGATGCAGGCACATTGAAGGCCTAGAAGGCCTAATGCAATAGACTATCAGGCCTAATGCAATAGACTATCAGGATAACTGCAAAGTGCAACCAATTTAATTTTGACAGGTGTTTTTTTTTTCTGAAGAAAATGTAATTTTTTTGGAAATTTTGTTTGTATTCATGTTTAGAGGTAAGGAGCAAACAACTGACAATGCTACCTTTGTGTGCTGTTGATGCAGAGCTTGTATTAATATTGTGTACCAATTAAAGGCATTTTTATCTCTTTTTTAGGTGGATTTAAGTCAAAAATTTAGAATCAATTAGTTTTTTCCACTGATTTTTATGATAAAGTGACAGACTAGAAAACTCCCCTTCTGATGATGCGTCTTGAAGATGAGAGTTACTTGAAACTTTATAAACATGTGGGTGAATTTTTGGGCCTGTTTTGATTTTTTTTTCCTACAAACTCATGAATGCAAGCCAGATAGCTAATGTTACCGCTAGGAAGCCAAATATCTTACTGCTGCTGTATTAGCTGTCTTCAAATTGTCATTACAGTGGGGAGAATAAATTACCCAAACAGAGCTGTGCTAATGTTAGCGTAGTTGTATTCATTAGCCTATAGATCAGTGTCTAGACTAGCAGTCAGGATTTGGTGACACCACAGGGATTCCCAATGGTTGTATGATGTGTTTGTACAATGCATTCTGGGTATTGTGGTGAGAAATTCTCTCTAACTTATGAAGATGAGTGACATAATGCTGCTCTGCAAAATACAAAAAATATAAAAATAAAATATTAAACTCTAGTTTTAGGTTAGCTCAAAACTGACCCAATTTAAAGGTTTTAACTGTGGTTTTATTTGTCCTTCCATTTCCTTTTTTAGCTGCCTTACTGTAAGCTCACTGCTGCAGAACATTTCTAAATCAAGCCTCAAAGTGTCTGAATTAAAAAAAAAAAGCACAGAAAAACATGGATCTCAAATTCGAAGACTGGGTTAAATACGAATAATAAAGGAGTGAGCAGATAAAGCTGGATAGCTGCATCTAACAATGAGCAGCGTACATTTTAGGTACATCTTTCATTTAATATAAACACCTTTTAGCTATTCGTTCAGTGTATGTCCATATTAAGAAGTCATTGCATAGCTGAGTGTAAAGCATTCACATTAGGAATAACAGTGCAGTGGAGCTTGAGGCTTCTTTGTTTGATCACAGTGAGAGCATTGGGATTGCTGATTTGCTTTCAGAAGACACAAGCTGGACATTAGATGGACATCAGCCATTCTCTTAGTGCTGTTGATATGTTGTTGAACTAGATGCAATTAAAGGGCCCATATCCTAAATTTTATTTTTCCCCTCGACATCCACTTCATGACGTTCGCCGGAGTGTTGGGGTGGGGTTCCCTGGTGGAAATGTTTTTTTTTACCCCTGTACTTTTTTCACAATTACTCAACAGGAGTGTTCAAACTTCATATTAAACTTTATCAATATAAGCTATTTTTACATGTAGAAGCTGATGAGAAGATATGGTGTGTAGGTCTAATACAGGGGTTGGCAACATGCAGCTCTTTTACTGCCCTGTTGCAGCTCCACAGCAGAATTAGATTTATAGGTAAAAATAAAATAATCCTCCTTTGCAGTGAAATAAAGCTCTGCTGATCATTCTAACACAGTTTAAAAATAAATGGTCTTAAACACTGGAGTTAATGTAGCCTATATCCACTAATTCATTAACCTTTAAACCTGAACATTGGCTTGCAGACTGTTGGTCACCATAGCAATGCAGACAACAATGTTGCCTAGCTAGTAACTAAAGAAATGGCAAAGAGAGAGATTTAAGATGTACATTGATAATTTGGAGATTAACAAACTTATTTATTTTATTATATATTATATTATTATATATATATTATTGTATTTATAAGCAGCTGGTTTCCTGATAAGTTCATTCTGTAATGAGAAACTGTCAAACATTAAAAAGTCATGAAGCTGAAGTCAGCTTCTCGTTCACCAGATTCTTGTTTGAGTTTTCCCATTCCACCTTAAATGATGCAGCAGTTACATTCTTGTGCCTCAGGCACCAATTAAGGTAGATAAGGAAAATTAGGACAAGAAGCTGGTGAATGAGAAGCTGACGTAAAAAGTTGAACGTTGAGAGGCATTTTACAAGAAACTTTTTCACTTTTGTGGAAAACTTTCCTGCTGGAGATGTGAGAAAAGCGGCTACAGCTGAGCTAAAGCTTTAATCTGTACTAGGACATTAGCTAGCACATATTAAGACATATTTTCTCTTTACTCTCATGGGAGGTTCAAGACCCCAAGAAGACTTGCTCAATTTGAACACTGGTTTTAAGTATCAAAAACAGTTTCATTTTTACACGGTAAGTAAAATCTTACCTCTATGGGGGATCTCTTTAACCTTATGGGGGGTCCAAGACTCCCTAACCCCCCTCCCCAAATTCGAAACCTGGTTTTAAGTACCTGTTTAATTTGTACATGACCATTTTCCAACTTGCTTTGAATTAAATATCCTGTTTTTGTTGCATCATTAAGACTGTTGAATGGAAATGACCTCTCTTCTGATTGGCTACATCATTTAAAAAACAGTCCGGGTTGAAACCCTCCTTATAACTTCATGAATGCGTGGTACTAAACTGCTGTGGGTTGAAAAGGTGTAAATCCATTGGTTTTTTGGCATCAACTTTGTTTTATGGGCTGAGAGGTCAATTTTAAAACTTTACAAATGTTAATATATCAAAAAAAATGTGGAAAATGTTATGTTTTACCCATGACATGTTGTGCTAAATTATGGCTCTTGTGCTTTGATGTTAGGCCTGATAAGCCCTCGCACAGGATGTTCTGCAACTGAAGCCTTCACTGACAACGCAGTTCAGTCCAGAGTTACATTTGAGGCCAATGCTGAAAGCGAACAACTACAGTCTATGGTCTTGCTATCTGTATCCTACAACATAATATTCTGGGAATCTACTTCCAGTTCATTTGAGGCGTTAGGGTTTGTGCCTTTGTGGCGCCTGAAGGACAAGAGTTTCCAGAAGGAGATCTTGGTGGTGTTTCGATAGGTAGTGGAGGAAAAGTAGAAGATGATGGGATCCAAGCAGGCATTCAAGGTGCTTAGTAGCAAGGTGTAGTATCTCCACTGTGGGCTGTTGTTGGAGCTGTAGCCCACCACATGAGAGATGTTATAGGGCAGGAAGCACACCAGAAAGACGGTCAAGGTGCCCAATGCCATCCCGATGGCCCGCTGCTTCTTCTCCTTGGCTATGCGAGGCCTGGTGTAGAGGATCCAGATGCAGTTGAGGTAGCAGAACATGCACACCAAGAGGGGCACCAAACAGAGGACCACGAAGAACTCCAGGCGCATAGGGAGAACGATTTTGCTCTGGCTTTCGGTGAAGTTCTCGTAGCACGTCGTCTTGGGAATGGTGCTGTTTTCGTCGTTCATATGCACCACCACAAACACGATGGTGCAATGGGCTCCGCTGAACAGCCAGATGAAGACGCTGCCAGCGACGGCATAGAGGAGCTTGCGAAACTTTCGGTAGGCGATGGGGAAGGCCACTCCCAGGTAGCGGTCGACGCTGATGGCCATCAGCAGCAGCGAGCTGGTGTATATGGTGGTAAAGAAGACAAATGACGTGATGGAGCATAGCACCTTGGATAAGTGCCATTGCAGGCCGGACGCCGCCTCGTACATCTTCAAGGGCAGGAAGAGGAGGAAGAGGATGTCAGAGGTGGTCAGGTTCAGTAGCAGGATGTCCGTAGGAGTGGGATTGTCAATCAGCTTCCTGATGAAGGCATAAATGGCCAGGATATTGGCTGGCAGGCCGATTAGGAAGGTTACGATGTAGGAGGAGAGAAGCACCCAGTGGTTTATCATCGCGTTAACTGCAGGATGCTGGAGGAACAAGATTGAGATGCTGCTTTATGGAAATTATGAAGCAAATTAACCAAATTAATGCACATCTTACAACCATGGAAATGGCTCTGCGGTAAAGGGGAATGCAGAAATTGCACAATTTGTGATTTAAACAAAGTCATTCAGAGTGTTTTGATGCCAGGCACCTCATTTAGAGAAACTTGCTGTCTCATCCACAGTGGTGATACGAGCCAGACATCTGAAGCGTCCAAGGCCTCCAAAAGCTCCTTCACAGTTATTACAATCACAATATTACAATAAACCTAAAGGGGAACTCCACCAGTTTTTAATTTCTACATAATTAAATGGTTGGGATTTAAACCAAAGCCATTCATCCAGTGGTTTGGTGTGAAATGCTCCATTCTAGAGACACTTACTGAGTCAGAACGGTTCACAGGAACCAGACATCCACTTCTAAAAGCTCACTCACAGGAAATTATTACATAAAATGGCTATGAATAAGCTGCCTGATGCCTGGGAAATTATTTTACAGTAGTTTTGTAATGAAGTTTTGGCTTAAAATGTCTTGTTTATCCATTTATTTAGTTCATGCAGGGCATTGTAAGGCAAAACAGTCCCCCAAAAATGTATTTATTTCAAATTTTTCACAAAATTACACATAAAAACTACATATAAAAAAGACACATGTAGGTTCACTGGTGGTTTTGGATAGTAAATAAAATGTCTATATTTGTGTTGTAGACATTGCAACCCCTGGTTCCCATCACCACCACTGTAAAGAATCTGAATCTGTAACTTTGTCTATTAAAAACACTCTGAATGACTTGCGTTGTACATATCACAACACTCATCACTTCCATTGTTCTTCTCTCACTTATTTCTACCATGTTTCTCTATAATGCACTTTATCACATTAAATCACTCTGAATAACTTTGTTTACATAATGATTTAATTATGCAGAACTTTTGAAAATTGATAAATATTAGGACAGTGCCACTGTCACTTTTTCTTGTATTTTCTGTGTGGGACCCTCTATTTTAGATAAGTGTAATGCAACTAAGAGATAAAGAAAACCTGACCTGAATCAAATACCTTTTGTTGAGTTTCACTCGTACTATGAGTCATAAGCATCTGCCTTGACTGTGTGCTGCTTAATCATTTACCAAAAATGTCCTTTGTGGTTTGATTGTGAATAACCACATTACAAATAAAGAGCTTCGTTGCTAGTGTACAAACATGCACACGGACTGGAAAAGCAATCAGTTTACATTTCCTGGATTAATAGTTGACCTTTTTTCATGTCTGTGTGGTCAAACAATGTCAATCATTAGAAAACTGGATTAAAATACATGCTTGGAACTGATTGGAAATGGGAATGCTTGTTTTTTTTTTTTTGCTATTCCACCCATGAAAACCTCAGCCCGCACGTGAAGGAGTGAGGTTTTAATGGTGTAAATATCATTGCTGATCCGTCTGTAACTGCTCAGGACATCAAACTAACACATTCTGTTTATTTACTTCAAAATTAATGAGAAGATGGAACAACAGAAAGCCAAGCAGAGATTGATACAGTATCATTGAAATAGTGTCAATTAAAAGAAAAAAACACAAAAACAAACAAACAAAAAACTTACCCTGACAGTGATGTCCAGTGTTACAATAAACAAACTCTCACTTCCTACAATCCGCACCCAGTTTTCACTGTTAAATAGTGCAGTCTAACACCGCATTACCTGAGAGGTTTAGGAATCTGTGGGTCCAGATGCACTGTGTAATCAGCACAAACAGCACAAAACAAGCCACAGCCTTCGGAGAGCTCAGGAAGTCCATGCAAATCTATTCTAATTGACGGCACTTGGACACGTTCGCGCTGCAGCAGGAGATAATATCTGACCAAAACTACTACACTGAGCCTCAGAAGGACAGTGTGAAGGTTTTAACCCAGTGAAACATGATTCACCATGTATGGAATATACTAGCTCATACACTTTGTAATTTTTATCAGTAGATTTGATGACTGCATGCAGCTGCAGTTTCCTGTCAACTTTCCCTCAGTTGAAGGCACTTCAAGAATCCCCCAAAAGACATTAACTTCAAAACAGCAGTCTGAATAAAAACACATTGTCACTGTCCAAAACATAACCCAACGCAAGGTAGTATGTCCATTACAATGGGCAAAAGTGCATTACAATGTGCAAAAGTTTGAGTAGTCGAATTACATGTTCTGTCGATTTTCTAAGAAATAAGTTATTAATAAGTTAACGGCAACACTTTCTATGAATGTCACGTTTGTAAGCAACTAAAAGCACATTTATAGCATGTTATAATGCATTCATAAGGCATTATAAACATGGTTATAAATATTTATAAAAATGAATTACATTGAATTACACTTCATAGCCATGTTTATTATGCATTATGAATTGTTAATACAATGCATTTTAAGTAGTGTCAATAACATGTTATACTGTCAGTGCCAAAGACGTCAGTCCCAGCTCGGAGAGCGTAAAGTAAAGACAAATACAGAGGTTTTTTTTACACCCTGGGATTTCCAATATTTTATTTCTCAGCTTTACATTACATCACAGCAAACCAAGTACCCATGAGTTCCTCCCCTGAACCCCCTCTGACATCACACTGAGCATGAAGCTACTGTGGAGTGAAGGCCTGGAGAGGGAGAGGCGAGAGAGTAGAGTGCTGCCATTGTAATTTGTTCCCTCAGTGGTTTTAAAGTCAAGCGCTACAAACCTTCACTCACTAACATCACTACACTACAGTACAGTAATGCTAATTTCTGCTAGCATTCTATTGGATATGCAGCACTAGTTTAAAATCTGACATTTGAAGCCTGTAATGTGCTTTACTGTGTATGTTTTAGTGCTTCAGTAAATTCTTCAGTAAATTCTTCAACTTGAAGCCTCACTCTTAACACTGGAGGAGGCTTTAGTACAGTAGGCTTCACTTTGCTTAGAGTGGACAAATACAAATTATGAGCTCTCATAATTTGTTATGAACAGTACTTATAATGCATTATGTTAACAATTCATACTGCATAATAAGTCTGGCTATAACATGTAATGCATTTTTATAAATATTAATTCCAACTATTCAAATCTTTTTCCTCTTGACCCAGCTAGAATTTTTTTTGTTCTAAAAATGTTCTGAGAATATTACACACACGTTCTATTAATGTTCTCAGCAGGACGTTTTTTTTTTTTTTTCCCCAGAATGTTCATCTGAGAATGTTCTCTAAATGTAATATAATCTGTGGCCCTGACAACATCCTAAATATATCGCCCCAATGTTATGTCTTAGTTAACATTACAGGAAGACTATTTGAAATGATAAACAACCTTAATACGTTCTTTGAGAAATTGAGGCCCCCAAATCATTTAATTTGTCCAACTTTTATTGTCTATTTTTAACTGGCTAGCAAAATAAAATAAAACCAGCTTTTGACAATAAGAGCTTTATAAAAACAATTTGTTTAAATATTTATTTTTTGCAGTATCTCAACTCTCATTCGTGCCCCCTTGCAATTCCTTTGCACCCCACAGTTCGAATACCTCTGGCATAGAGTAAGAAGCAGTGGAGGCCATGATTCCACCGAGAGAAGTGCTCTTTATTAAACACCAGGCCAGAAAAGCACTGAACTCGCAGGGGTGGTCACCACTTCACCCTTACAGATGAATGTCAAGTCCCAAACAGAAGGGGGCGATGGCAGCAACCATGGCGCTTCACCCAGTTGCCATCAGCTCTCTCCACTGCGCACTGCACCATTGACGCTGGCATGAGCAACCCTCTCCCATGAACCTCCTGCATGGCCACCAGCATGAGCATCTAGAGGCCAGCACCAGGCAGTAGCAGGTAGCTACAATATATCGCTGCTGTCGGAACAAAACCTCTCTATTTTTATTGTTTTTCAGTTTTTGACATAATTTGAAAGTATTTTTTGCTCTTTACATTGTATGTAAATTTCATGTTGAATGGAGCAAAAGAAATGGTCCAAAATTATGGTCTGGTTCCATTGACTTACATTAAAAGCAAAGTAGGTTTTTTCCTTCTCCTGTAAAGTTACCATTATGGAGATGTGTGCAGGAGTGTGCTGTCTGTAGAGGATGTGTTTACTTATTTTCACTTTGAAAATCAATAAAACATCTGACCACAACTTTTGCATACGACTCCAAAATAGTAACTTTCAGAATACAAGGCCTTTCTTAACTTCTAATACGAGTCAATGTAAAGAGACTTTATGCCAAGTCATCTAGGAGCATTTTTATTGGTCCATTCATTATGAAGTTTTTTCATAGCTGCTGTGATCAAATACATGAAATGAAAAATTGAAAATACATAAAAAATAAAAATTGAAGAAATGTAGATGCTTGTTTTTAGATGGTAATGATATTAAGAAATTTTAAAAACTGGATATGCAGGTTTCCACCAGGCCATTGAAGGGTAAATTACAATGTGGGTGACCTTGTTGGTTAATACCAATGCTTAAAAATAAATAAAATAAAACATATAATTTAAATTGTTTTATTTATTTATAAGATGTTGTGTTTAAGCCATGCATGTATTCTAATAATACTCTTATTTCAATTGTTTATGGTACAGTTACGTTCCCTGACTAAAGGTACTGAGATGTACCCTTGAGGAGTGGTGCGCCAGTGACAGTTTACTACCTTTATTTCTAAGAGTTTGGAATGTTTTTGGCAAGCTTTGAAAGTTTGCGTTTAACCTAGAATTGCCACAAATGTTCACTGCTAACAGGAATAAGCATTATCACCGAGGTGTTATTTCTTGTTTTTGACCGAGTGTTGACACTGAAGGCCTAGCTCTAACAGTCATAATGTGCCAGATGCGTCACTACGACAATAATGTGACACATTAGTGATAAGATAATACGAAAAGTGTGACGATAAATGGAGATAAAGGCTCCTTGAAGAGAAAACTTGTAAGACATTAAAAAGAGAAAAATGACTCATTTTTCATGACACATAGACGATAAGCATCTCTATTTTCTGTTTTAATGGTAGTGAATGTAAGAGTAACAGAGTCTTTACATCCCTGCAAAACGTCTGATCAATAAACAAACACCCACATATGTTATTTGGTCCACTTAAGCCCTGGCAGTTCACCAGTGAAAAAAGATATAATATCACTAAAAACAAACTGTGGAGCGGTCTTTAGAAAATTAACTGGGTATGAAAGCAGCCTGATGTTAGCTATCAAATACTGCTATCTGAGGTTGCACCAACTGAAGCAGCATCAAAACTAACACTGACTCTGTTCATGATCAGGTTCAAACGTGGGTGGAGGGGCCTAAATCAATACTCAAGTAAAAGTATTGATACTTGCATAAAATATTCACACAAGTAAAAGCATCTTCCCCAAAACAAGTGAGTTGAACTACAAAAGGAGCAGGTCAAAAATCTGCTTAAGTACTGAGTACTGCAGTGGAACCTCTTACTACATCCAGCATTTATCAGCACAGGAACTGAAGACTGTGCAGCTCATTTCTTCTCTTTTTGAGTTTCTTTTGGTCTAAAATATAAAGCTCCAAAATCAGAGATGTAACCAATCACAAGTACATGTATCTGTAACTAGTTACTACCAGTGGCCTAATTGCATTCCATCACTCATCCAGCTGTTTTTTTTTTTTCTTTCTGAAACAATATGTTTTCCCCCACCACTTTTGGACATGTGATGCCTGCCCTGGTGACAGAAACCAGACATCTGCAGAGCTTAATATCTATACAATGTCACCCTAAGTCATAAATAAAATGGCTGTATTTGTGTTGTAGACATTGTGACCCCTGGTTCCCATCACCACCACTGTAAAGAAGTTAGAGTCAGTAAGTTTCTCTACAATTAATCATTTCACATTAGACCTCTCTGAAAGACTTTGTTTACATCTCAGTGATTAATCTCGCTGAAATTTTTAAGAATTGGAATTCCCCTTTAACACCACACCATGAAAGCCTAACACATAATAAAACAATATAATGTACAGTACATAACAGCATAAAGTGTTTGCATAGCAAATTACTTTATTACTCAGAGCCTAAACTGTGTAATCTAAAGGTGAGGTTTTGACTCAAACAGGTTCAGGGCAGTCAGGATATTAGCCTGGACAGTTTTTTTTTTTCTCCATGGAAGCATAACATCCTGCATTAGCCCACTTTTGGTTAGCAGCATGGCCGCATTCTGGAAACATCCATAAAACCTGTTTACAACAAGTGGACAAACAGTAATTTTAGAAGCGTCCATCTGCGGCCCTCTTGAAACATCATACGAGTCCAGTGAGCACCTGTCAGAATGTTTTGGGAATTGGGAAAAGCTGGATGATCATTGGGCCCTGTAGCCACGTAAACTGCTCATACATACAGTAATGCTAAACAGACAAAATGACCACCCTGTTTTATTTAAAGAACAGGGATCTATCACAGTCTGATCTTCACAACACATGCTTGTGGAAGTGTATCATGGCACAAACTAAAGAGATTTCTAAGGACCCCAGAAGAAGAGTTGTTGATGCCCATCAGGCTGAAGAAGGTTACAAAACCGTCCCTAATGCGTTTCGAGTCCACCAATCCTCAGTCAGACAGGATGTTTAAAACTGGAGGAAATTCAAGACCATTGTTACGCTCCCCAGGAGTGGTCGACCAACAAAGATCATACCAAGAGCAAGGCATTTAATAGTCCGTGAGGTCACAAAGGAACCCAGGGTAACTTCTGAATAACT